ACTCATAAACATACTCACATTTAATTACCAACTATAAATATATATTCAAAATGAAGACGAATGATAAGTTACAAATTTTAAGTAGCCCGCATTCTTGGTGTGGGTGGCGACATTTTTACTGCCATTGCGATTTATAATCCTATCTCCTTTTTGGCGGTCATTTTCTTTCGATGAGATAACGCAAACGTAGTCAAATGTAAGGTGGTTAGGAGAAGATGGCGAAGAAAACTGGTAATACATAATTTAATCAAGTCGGTGTTGCTGTTAAGGGATTTGTTCAAAAAGAAATGTTTTAAAACAATTGTTTAAATCAAGTTTTTTTTGCCTGTAATGTTCAAAATGGCTGTACCATTTGATTTTTTTGTATTAAATAGGTTGAAAAAAAATGGATGTAAAAACTTGCCAAGCGCTTCTTATTTGCAATAAATCTTTCAAAACGCCACAAATATCGATAGAGGCTCATACACACCTTCTCAAGCTGTAGTTCAGTGGTTGGCGCAGTAAGACGCGACCGATAAGCCATTACGTGAACGACCCTGTTGCGATGAAACCACCTTGCGAAAATTAAAATGGTATCGAATAAATTTGTTTGTATAACTTTGAAAAACTCTATCACTTCAACCTCAAAAACAAGTATGCTAATCATAAATTAACCGAACAGTATTAGCCATAATAATGCCTTCATTTTATGGGGAAAATGTCAATATGTCAATTTTTCTTACTCAAAACATCTCTCTGATATCTCGGCTAAACATTCCGGGTAAAATCTTATGACTTTGGAGGAGATACAAACGTGGCGATGAAGTAAAAGTCAAAATAAAAAATTTTACTTACATTTTTGAAATTATAATTCTGGCTGCGTGTACAGCTGCCAGAATTAGGGCTGGGAATTTCAGGGAAAACACTTTAACCGTTTACCGAGTAAAATTAACCGGTTAACCGGTTAACCGCCGCATGACGTTCGACGTAATAATTTATAATTGCTTCAAGAGATAGGCAGCGTGGTTCGGGCGTGTTGAAGTATTTTAGAAAACCTGATTCCGTTGTTAAACGTCATTTATGTGACAAATTATCAGTGTTCGATGTGCAAATTTTACTTCGAGATATATATCATAAAGATAAACGGCATCAACTGCGCACTTGTTGTATGACATTGAATATCCGATTTTGCAATGAAATCGTGAACATTATATTTCGAAATCGACCGAAAACTGATTCTGAATTCATCATTGTCAAATTTTCATAAGCAGCAATCTTGGTACTTCCATTATTTTTCACATTTATTGAGTCCTTACCCACACAGTTAGTAATATTCTTTTGAATTAAATGCCACAAGAAATAAATTTGCGATGACGTAATCATATTTGAAGAAATTGTACGGTATGAAGATTATTTGTTCCTGAGATGTCAGTTAACGGTTAAAATAAATCGTAACCGTTAACCATCTGAAATCGGTTAACCGGTTAACCGGTTAACCATTCCCAGCCCTAGCCAGAATGCAACGTTTTGGCGTAGTTTCGCAGGGATGCAAAGGGTATTTCAATAAAAAAATACAAAAAATACAGAAAAAGATTGATATAAAACAAGCCCTTGTTTTAAAACACGATGTTTTTTTCAAATTGATAAAAAACGTAACACTATGTTGGTAAACCATTCGTACGAGACAAGACAGAACACAGAAGCGCTCCGAGTAAATGGATTAAATGAGAGAATACAAAAAGCACGAAATGACCTCAACTTGGCGAAAGCAGGATCTATGTGGAACGAAATGCTTACAGCAATTTTCTACTTTTTGTATAATTGCGTCATAATGGTGCCTATACAGATGAAATTGTTGCCTCGATTTGAGTTCGGGTTTGCATAGAATTCGTCTTTATTACTATCCACAATATTAAGTCTCTATTTCGGCGCAAATAGCAATCGAACCATTTTTACTTCAAAGACTGGTATCCATGGGTGTAAATGTTTACATGTGCAAAATTACACGCGTGCATCAACAGATGCGAATATCCGTGGATGCAAAAGTACGTGGGTGCAAAAGTACGTGGGTGCAAAAGTAAGCGAGTGCAAAAATACGCAGGTGCAGTTGTACATGGGTGCAAAAGTACGTGGGTGCAAAAGTAAGCGAGTGCAGAAATACGCAGGTGCAATTGTACATGGGTGCAAAAGTACGTGGGTGCAAAAGTAGCGAGTGCAGAAATACGCAGGTGCAATTGTACATGGGTGCAAAAGTACGTGGGTGCAAAAGTAAGCGAGTGCAAAAATACGCAGGTGCAACTGTACATGGGTGCAAAAGTACGTGGGTGCAAAAGTAAGCGAGTGCAGAAATACGCAGGTGCAATTGTACATGGGTGCAAACGTACGTGGGTGCAAAAGTAAGCGAGTGCAAAAATACGCAGGTGCAATTGTACATGGGTGCAAAAGTACGCGGGTGCAAAACTACGCAGGTGTAATTGTACATGGGTGCTAAAGTACGCGAGTGAAAAAGTACGCGATTGCAAAAGTACGCGGGTGCAAATGTACGCATGTCCGCGGGTGCAAATTTACTGGGTGCAAATTTCCGTGGGTATAAAGATACATGGGAACAAATGTCCGTCGGTGCAATTGTGTGTGGGTGCAAAAGTACATGGGTGGAAATTACGGGTGCAAATGTACGTGGGTGCAAATATAATGGAACCGTCAATAACTAGCCATTTTTATTTTCTGTCGTACAGCTTATAATTACGCTTAACAATAATTACAGAAAACTTGATTCATTGGGCCAAATACCTTCTATATATCGAAATGATTTTGTTGCCCACATTGTAAAAGTTAATTCCAATGTTCAATTATATAATTTACTGCATGCTGAACAGAGAAAAATGGCGTTCCGTGAATTCAGCGACACTCAGCTTTATACCGAGAGCTATTATTTCATTCCGAAATCACATAGCTATCCTACGACAGGGTTTTATCGCGCGTTGTAGAATTGGAGGAATATCTAGGAGCGTTTTACGCTTGAACAAAAATTTCTAAATGTAAAATGGATTTGGCTTCCTTGTTACTACGTGCTATGACGACTGTGCTGAATACGTTGAAGGAATCGGCCAATGTATCGACAGGGTCGATTATTGATTTTGCAAAAAAGTACGTGCTTTTATACAAAAGTCAGAATTATGATGTATCAGAGTGGAAAACAAAAGGTTTACTTCCTTCCCTATTTTGAACAGGTCAATTGAGGACCTTAAAGTAAGAACCCGATTAATTAACTTCAGTTTCGTTTTTCATTTTGAAACACTTTTACATTCTGAGAAAAATATATTCAATAATAGATTAATTTTGTGTGGATAAAAATTCGTTCACCGCAAATTTTGATGCATGATTTCTTTCTGGGTTTCAGGAACAGCTGATTGATCTCAGAAACGACTCGTCACTATATCTTATAATTAAGACACTTTCATTACCTCAGTTTTGCTGCCAAGTTGGAAGCATTGAAAATTATAATCCTTAGTTCCTATTTAGGTGAGATTGAATTTCGTGCTATAACATATAGGAAAGACAAATATAGAAACCGTCTGTATGCAGATCATCCAATGCGTACGGCGTGCTGGGGTGATGTTGAGCCATGATTTCCAAAACCTTTTGAAGCGAAATGGCATTGAATTTCGTTTTTGAATGCAGATTTTTATCTTTTATTTAGCGTTGTTCAATGCGATCCTATACTCTACGTTAGCATTTCTTAACCTGGCGTAAATTTACCCCTGGGGGTAAGTTTCATTATTGTGACAAAAAGATTCTGAACAAACAAAAACTCGTTTGGTTGCGAGAAATCAGTCCCAGCCTATTATTATCAGTATATTTCAACCGAAATTAAAAACCAGCACCTTTAAATAAGTCGAGTTCTTTGTTATTTCAACCATTACATCAATTAAGACACAAAAATAGCACATTATAATTTTTTGAAACTGTATGTCACAAAAAAGAGAAAGAGGACGGTTATTTAAATTTTGGGTTTACGTCTTATTATCTTCTTCGGGATGGTCTTCAAATTCCTCAGTGTGTTCTGTGCATGAAAGTCTTTTTAATAAATACACTGATTCATGCCTACTAAAACAACACCTATCAAATGCTCATTTAAGCATGATAAGTAATCAGCGGTCCTTTTTCGAGTCAAGATTGTTCTGTCTAAAATCTCAGAAGCTGGCCAAATCCGGCACCTTTTGGCATCAGACTAACAATACTACTGTGCACGCATTTCTTGCCATAGCTTTATAAGTGGCAAGAGTTAAAAAAAAGCACATGCGATTGGTGGAACCATCCTGAAAGCTTTTTATGATTGAAATTTCCCCGCGCACTTTCCCCCACTATTCCGCCCCACTCTTTTTGCTCCACTCTCCACACCCTCCCCCTCCCCCACTCCCAATTAATTTCGCCGCTCTACCAGAAAGGGGAGAGAGAGAGAGACTTCGCGTCCAAAGTTAGAGCGCTTTATACTTTGCTTGGCGAATTTTTTATAAATGATCATCAATGACTGTATTGGGGTAAATCTTGATAAAAGGGTAAAATATGCAAAAAAGGTTAAGAACCACTGCTCTACGTTAAAAAACAACGATTTCACGAGCGATAATCGAACAATCGCTATTATTTCATTCATTTCTTAATTAGACAACAAAGATTTCGGTGAAGAATGTTTGTTAATGTCCCTTTTTGTTGTGTGTTCAACTTAATGACGATTTTCCTGGGTACTACATATTGAGATCCTGGCGAGTTGCTATTGTAGCCCATAATGCCTGGTTAACAGTAAGTTATCACGCAAAAAAAACTGTGTTACGGTAACATTTTACAACAACTAAATGGTTTTAAGGTTGCTCATACCATTCGCCATTTTTAGCAGATTTTCTCTTTTGCCACAACTACAACTTTTCTTCTTATTTTCGAGAAACCCCTGTGCGAACGTCCCGGTCCTACAGTACTCCGCTGACTCAATTGTAACAAGAAACGAATAACAAAATTGATTTTCAACAAAGGAACTTTATTTGTCACAAAAGCTCAATACTGCGAAAGTGATATTAACGACAAAAATGAAAAAAAGATAATCTACAATTTTTAAGCAGACATCAGAACAGGAGAGGAGGACACCTTTGAAATATGTCGAATTCACTCCGTTACACGCAATACAACAATGGCAAAATATGCAGAAATAAATTGTTACGATTATTTATAAATGGGGTTTTGTTGTTATAGTATGTGGCTGTGCTGGTATGTACAAAAATACGCCAGTTGCAAGTTACCTGTGCAGTCTGGTCTGCTTATGAAAATTGAAAATGAAGCGGTATTTATAAATTGTGTGGCTGAAGCAATTATGAACCAAATCACCAAAACTAGTGTCATATAAACAGAAAAAAAATCTATAAAAAGTTGGGTTGTTTTCATCCCAATTAGCTAAGAAATTTTAAACAGTCCGAGTTTTTATTGAAATTTACACTGAAAAATTATCCAATTGTTCAGAATGATTTTTCGATATACGGTATCTTCTTCCGGACCTCCTTTCTATTTTATAAAATATTTACCATATAACGTCTAATCTTTTAAAAAGCAGATGTTGCATACATGCATTTACAACTGTTTGACCAAGAGCACAATAACTGTAAGATGACTTTAGAATCGTCTTTTGCGCATAAAAAATAACATCGACAATACTGAACTGATAAGGAGAAAAGAACTGTTTCATCAGAGTTCAAGCACATGATCCGTTTGGATAAACAGCAGTCAAACGTAACGAATGCTGTTAGTCAGTCTTTAATAAACGCGATTTAAACATAAGCATCTTATATTATCCAAGTTAAAGAAGAATTTTGTTTATGCACAGACGGGTATAGGCCATTCATGCGTCGATGAGGTACGTCCCATTAAAAGCCCTCGCTCGTCCAAATATATTCTTTACCTAGGATATAGCAAGAACCTTTATGTTGCGGGCAATTGAATTTTGTCCAGTGGATCAATTAAATCCGTTAGAAATGAAGTGGGCTCGACCTCTTTGCAGATTGTGGAGTCATCGTTTGATGCTTCGAAACCAGGCCGACAAACACACTTGAAGGAACCAGGTTGATTAATACAAATTCCATTTAAACAGATGTGTCGAAAATCTTTGCACTCATCAACATCTAAAAGTATATATCGATAAAGTGGATATTTAAATTGGACTTCAACGTGAAAAACGAGTCATAGAGCCCGAAAATTTTTTTGGAATAAATAAAAAAAAATGAATCTTTCACCACAAAAAATTGATTCAGTGGGTAAAAAGAAAAGGTTTTTTTTATAGCAACAATAAAAGCTACAACAAGAATGAAATACCAAAAATACTAAGATCAACAACATCAAAAATTTAACAAAGCGATTGATAGGGACAGATGTTCAATAACTAACTATCTAATGCAGCAATTTTTGATGGTTAATGCAACCCCTACCGGAACGTATAAAATTACAGTTTTTTCGGTATCACCTCTTTCACAAATCATTCCAACACTTCTACTGTTCTATAAAGAACAAAATTAATTTCGAGCGCCTTCAATAAAACAGCGCTATAGCCCAAGGTTTTGTAGTTCTTCGATGCTTATTGGAAACCCTTTCTGACTTGTTTATTCATGACTAACTTAACAAACCATATTGCAATTGTGATGACTTTGTTTCAAACACGGAATAAGCCTAACGCATCAGAGTCAGGGACAAGATCATCAGAAAACGTCTTACCCGAACAAACCATCAAGTCTGGATCAAGTATGAATCCATCATCGCAATCACAAGTATATCCATCTTCAGTTCTTAAACATTTTCCATTCTTACATCCGCCAGGTATTCCACATTCCTGTTCGTGAAATCCACCTGTTTGAAGAACAAATTAGATAATGACTCGTACGATAGTACTATACTACTACTATGAATATAGACAACGGAATACCGTAGATGTTAAAAATAATTTTCACAATTGTCATTTTTGGGGTCACATTTATAATAAATTAAGCATTGTTATTAGTAAATATTTTACTCTGAATTATTAATTCTTAGCGTTTAATAAAATGCTCTCAATGCAATATACAACTAAAAGACGGTTACTTTAATTAATCGTACACATCTCGAGTCGAATTGAAATGACAGATGAATTTACGCAAAAATATTTGATATTTTAAACGGTATACTAAGAGTTATCTTATGCCGCCTATATCAAGAATAAACGATCTCAGAAAGACAAAGATTTACCAGAACAAATATTAATTGTCAAATATAAGACACAACAATATTGCCAACACCGAAAGAAAATCCCTCCAAAATAAAAATTAACAAGTAAGCATGAAGCAACTATGATACAATTAACGTGGAAAGTTATAAAATATTTTAATAATCGCTTTATATGATTTATACAGTAGTGATGTCATGATATCTTCGTGTCTCGAAAATGGTCGGAAATCTGAACTCTTATTAAAACTCACCGACTTCATTGACCTCGACCGTTTTCTCTTTTGCTGCCGATATTCTTCGAGGAGGTGGGCGCATTCGCGGCCTAACATCTTGACATAAAAATCTGTAATCATCAGAAGTTCTTTCAGGGCATCTTGAACACGATGATCCCCACGCCATTCCTAATGTGCAGCAGCATTGCTTCAAAATTAAAAATATTCAATGATAAACCCTAATCTTCTTCATATTGTTAATTAGAGATACGTAAGATTCTGCCAAGAAAATAGCATAAAATGCACCTGTTCACATGTATGAACGACAATGATTAGATTTTTGTATTAGAAGTAGGTTTGAAGCAAGGTTCCTAATTATTTATAATAAAAATGGAAAAGTATGATAAAAACATCGCAAGGCACCACTGAAGCTATAAGAGTTTGTATTCATGCGATAGGAGATATGGTTTGAAACGAGCTGGAGTTAAGACTGCATAGATAACGAACGCTGGCTACGTAGAATGGAATTCCGCAAACCAGATGGTAACATCAGAATCAGTACGATTGTTTATTCTCTAAACCAATTACTCTTGTCACATATTGCTATCTATTAGTAGATGTGTAATATGGTTGTTTGTAAAATTGAATCGACCAATAATGTCTGGCCGTTTATTACGACGGAGTTTATTGAATAAATTATTCTATGCACAATGAAATATATATACTGATTTTGGAAAAATATCTATCAAACTGTAAATAATTTACCCTGTATGTATGCTTTGATGGAAGTTGTGCAGAACACATTGAGTTGCTTAACATTCGACTGAAACAAAAATCTACTTCTCCTGTCCCTTTTGATTCTTGGTTCTGACTTCTCTGTCTGTATCGATGGAAACCAGGCAGTCTTCTCCGAGACTGTGTGCCTTATTGACAGAAAGTACAATGCATGCAGAAAAAGTATATTTGAATGCGAAGTACCAGAAGGTACATTTTCTACAAATAAATGACTGCACATAATAGCACAAATGATACAGACGATAGATTTTTTTAATTTGTCTCTATAATGATGTCCTCGTTTTCGCGATGCGAACGACTATAATGCAGGTGTTGTAAAAATGACGAACACATGATGAACACAGGGAGTTGATCTCGTCAGTGTCATGTATTTTTAATATTGTTTCGAGGTATTAGATTGTTTCTGGTCAATATTGTACATAATTCTGATTTCCATACATCTTTAATCCAGACGTAAAGTATAATGCTCGCAATTCGGAATATTTCGATTGAAAAAAAAAAGTTTGATGGGTTGTATTTAATCTCAAATATTTGTAAAACTTAAAAAAATGAGAATGATTTTAAAATTGCATCAGGCTACGAGTAAAAATTAAGAATGCAAAATTCAAACAATTTTAAGGGCGTCATCCGCAAGATGGAGGTATGAGACAATGTCCATATGATTTTATACTGGGAGTCATCGGTGATCTCATCAAAACAAAAAAAAAAAACTTACCTACACAAGTAGTACCATAACGACTAGTTCTTGGAGCAGTGCCACCTGGACATTTACATTCAAATGATCCTGGTCTGTTCAAGCAAAACCCACCTATGCATTTATTTCTCGGTCTCATTCTACATTCATTTATATCTGAAATGTAGTTTTTTGTAATCTTTTATTCTTACTCTTGGTGTTTGGCGTACTGTTTAGTACAGCTCAAATTAAACAGACTGTTAACAACAAAGTAAAAACAGCAGCAACACAAGTATATAAAGAATAACCCTTACCATCACATGCTTGTATTCTTGGATTGTAATAGAATCCTTTGTGGCATACGCACTTATAACTCCAAATGAATTGGTACAAGTTCCGTTCCCGCAAATCTTTCTGCTACCAAATAATTCACATTCGTTTAAATCTTGGACGTTGAACTTGTTTTCATCAGAAGTTAATCCTCGGCCGACTGGGCAAATTTCTTTAAATGATTCTGCAAATATGAAACCAAAAGCACAGATTTAAGGAAAGACAAGGTGCTGTTATACGAGAATTTATACCGTAGCGCACAATAGAGTATATTAAATTTATTACATTTTCCCAGATGTAAGTCAAACGAGGGCCACATTGAGGCGGAGTCCAGGATTGAGCTTAATATGAATAAACAAATTTATCAGCATTAGTACAAAATTTATCTAAAATTGCCAGATGCCTATTATGGAATAACATTTTATTCATCTCACTATTTTGAGTTGAAGAAAAAATATTCAGTGAGTAATTTGATACAGACAATCATTCCCATAAATTCTTTAGTGTATTTCTCTGGAATTCTATATTTATTTTAAATAGTATATTCTAATTGTCAGCAGATATATCCAATAAATTTTTTAAGCAGATGAAATTGGTATTACCGCTGTTGTAGTTACGTCCTCAGATAATTTACAGCCACCGCTCTTTTATTGACCATTATTAATAAATATTTGGTAACATAGTAGCGTTAAATTGTGTTTGTTTACTAGAATTATGTCGCTCTGGAGTATCACTTTATTACGAAGCTATAAATTTTAATTCAAGGAGTGGTATGTGAAGTATGAATGGTATGATATTAATAACCATTAAATGCTAGTTTAATAATGTGTGTTCAATTAAAATTATTCTTCTGAGCAAAGGTTATATTTAAATGTCAATCTAAATGATTATTTGCAACATTATAAAAGTTTTATTTATCATATCTTCAATGAGAATAGTACTCCTAATAAAAATTGAAATGACAGGTAGGTTGGGCGACAGAACTTATTTTAACAATGATATTATCTGCACCCATGTGAGACTGTTATAAATTTGCGATACTCAATCGAAAGTTCGTGCTTTCCTTCTGTAAGATTGCATACAGCTGCATCCCAAACACTGTAACAATGATGGGGTTTGTTCGTTTGCTCATGAAATTTTTACTAATTATAATACAAACCCCGTTATATATGAGAAAGTTACTCCTTAAAATCGGTGAAGGTGAATAATGTATTGTGTAAATGTTACGATACATGTATGAGTTCATTAGCGTATATTTTCATTATTTGTCATAATGCTTTTTGAAATGTCAAATATTCTCCTACAATGTGCTATAAATTTCCCCAAATCTTTTATATTTACAAACTTTAAAATGATAAAACTGCGTTCATGAAATTTTACAAGTTATGATTCACCTCTGTATAAAAATTAATATTTGCCATGTCGTCAATAATAAGGACAGAGTCATAAGCCATTGCAAATCTTCGTAATTGTAAATTTTGCGCGCTAAATATGTAGTAAAATTCGAAACGTTCACGAATTGAAGGACTATTGTTCGCAGAACGTATAAAGATGACAATATCATATGGTTTCATCCATCGCTATTCACTTCCACCCCTAAAGATTGAGAGTGTGTTTAACTACGATATATATGTCAAATCTCATTACTCAGTGTATTACACCAACCAAAATAATAATTTGATATAAAAAGCCTCAATAACGGTTGACTAATCAATTTGATCATAATGATACTTTTCATGAGAAATATAATATTGTTTTGAAAAACGCAAATAACTAACGAAAGGCTTTCGAATCATATTTTCTGTCCTTTTTATCCAAATGAAACATCTTCAGAAATATTCCTCTGTTTAAAACATTTTACGCAATACTAGAAACATAAATAGTTGTGATTGGCAAGATATTTGTTCGGAGCAGTCTTTAATCAATAACTAGTGAAACATTATTAGACTTCCAACATACTTCTCTGTCAAGCTACTTCAGATGCATTGTTGTCAATTTCTACAGGTAGAAAAATTCATAAAAATTTGGAGGGAAATTTTGAATATCAATTCTGTTATTTTGCTTGTTTTATTTAACCTTTTAATTATTCTTCTTTTGTTGCCTTTTTATGTTGTTGTCATGGGATGTTAAAGTAGATATTATGACCTTATTTTAAAGTAGATCTGCATCTATACAAATACCTACTTGAAATTACAATAGGACACATTTCTTTAGAATCACAGTCTCCCCAGCTTCGGCCAATTGTGCAGCAACACTCCGACTGTGTAACATTTTCGGAAAGTTTGTTGACGCAAAATCTCGGAGTTGAATAGCATGGTTTCCTAATTTCTAAAATATAAATAAATCAAAACGACTCTGAAAGAATATCTTCATGATTTTGTCCAGACTCGGGTTGATGTCATGGTTGGGATTCTTTTCGGCGGTCCCTATCTCTCCGAATAAGGGTCGATCAAAGCGCATTTACTAATACTGTAGTGATATTATTGTGACAATATTCATTTCGATATAACTCTTACAAGTTAAGATGATGTAATAGACTCCTGATTTATCTTAATGAAAAATTATTGCAGCACGAGCCATGGACACCGTTTAGAAAGAAGGCAAATCGAGCTAAAAGTTTCAATCGTAAAATGTTTCAATAAAATAATTTCAAAATGAAATTAAGTTGAACTAGTAACGTAACGTACAAGTAACTCAATTTAACAACAACAGTCGTTAAAAAGTTTCATCAACGATCAATGGGGGGTGCATTTCTAAACATTTCTAAACTACCATGGGCGCCAATTCACTTAGATATGATGCCACTGAATGATTGATAAGAAATGTTCTTGCTCTAGCTGACTCACAATTTTCCTAAAAAGTTTCTGGTTAAAATTCCAATCAATTTATCTTATTGCATTTTAATGAATTGTCATTTAGAAAATTAGTAAAGTACATTTTAATTAACCAACCTATTCGAATGTAGTTAGCCTTATAAAATCTGTGTGTACCATCAAAATTACTTTTGTACCTTCTGGTTCCGGAGGCTCCGTGAAAGGTGATAAACATGTTTTTGTTTGAACGTCATAGCTTTCCTCGAAATTTGGACAAACACATTCGTAACCTCCAGGAAAATTTCTGCAGGTTGCAGTTTCCCCACAATCGGTGATGTCGCACTCTATAAGATCTATTTATTGCAAACAAAAATTAATATTCAAATTGGTAATCTCTATATCTAAACTGTATAGCTGAATAAATGGAGTGCAGTCGATCTCAGACCCGGTATCTAAATTTAAGGGTTTCAGTTTGAAATGAATTTTTGTAGTGGGCACTCACAATTCACTTCCTGCCACCAATGGATTCTACCCCACCTTCCTTGCTGTAAAATGCCTAACATTGTTTAATATCTGAGGTCATACTGGTGATTTTAAATGAATAAATGCAAGTATTACAATCACTCAGCCTACCTTCACAAAAGCCGTTCTTTAGTACATAGCCCATGTAACATTCGCATTGATATGATCCTTCCGTGTTAATGCATTTTCCGTGTCCACCGCAAATTGTTGAATTGGAACATTCGTCAATGTCTATCATAAAATATCAATTAAACTAAAAAGTGAAGTATAAATTGATGTGACACGCTGTTTCGTCCACAGACTGGCGATAAAATTCTGATCAAGACTCTGTTTTCACCTTTTTTTTAATCTCAGTCGTACTTACATTTCAAGACACGTCATTTCAGGATGTAGGAAAATGAGAAATGCAACTCTACCTTGGCAAGATCTGGCATCGTCAGAAAGTATGAATCCGTTTTCGCATACACATTCAAATGATCCAATTGAATTCATACAGCGAGATGCTTTGCCGCATATATTTCCGGAACACTCATCAACATCTAAATTTAAAAACGTGATATATATGCAAAAATTGCTAAATTTAGTTAGTGGATAAGGTATTTTAAATAAGAACCTTTGCAAATGAGGCTACCAATCTGGTTCTACAACTATGAGTTACCCCGCATGGAATGATACGTAGTCGCCACTTTAAGAATACGACTCATGTTTCACGGCATGAAATGGAAATTATACTAGGAGAGACGGACAAAAATAGTTACAGATCGCTAATACTATTCGCCATTTAGAATCCAATATCATAATTAGAATAACGATGCCTAATTGTACTAATTACCTAAATGTCCTTATCTGTCCCTGATTTAGGGTTAAGTCGAGGCCCAGATTACAAAGTCATAATAAAGCAACGAACTTCGATTAATACCTGGCATACTTGTTGCATGCTAGCACGTTTTTCATACTTATATAAAACAAAACTTCGTATATAGGAAAATTGGTAAATAGATGCAATTTCGCGCAGTTCCAGAGTCGCTTGCTGTTGATGATATTCATGCGGCTTGCGATTTATCATGCTGGATTCGAGCTAGTATTTTGTTTTTTTCGGTTCCGTTCAACCAAACCTTTGTAACTCGTATACAGATAAGGTTTCAGACAAAATTCTGCAATACATGAGCACTCACCTCCATCACAATTGGTTCCTTCATATCCATCTGTGCACCTACATATGTACCGATCATCAAAATCTTCACAAGTTCCGTGGATGCACGGGCTCGATTCACATTTAGATATACCTAAATATAGTAATTCGTCTGAGTTCCAGATCTTGGATTGCATTTTATAATTGTCCTATTTATTTTATAGTTTCAAACAAGGGAGAAATGTAATTGCGTACACGATTGCACCGCACTATTATAGCATACACCCTAAACATAAAAAATCCGCTGAGCTGCCCGTCGAATTCAAACAGAAAAAAGTCGACTGTTAAGAGGCCTAAAGATTTTGCATGAAGCGGAGTCCAGAGGAAATATGGAAAAATATGATAATAATAAAAATAATATCAACTCAAATATACAATATTTTGTGATGGCAGTAACTTACGTTCTTCGCAATCTCTTCCCCTGTATCCATTCGGACAGTCACAATAATAGAAGCCCATTCCTGTTTCACATTTTGCTCCGTTTTTGCATCTGTTAGGCACGCAATAATCCTCTGTGGAATGAAAAGAAACATAGTGATTTGCATCACAATCAAAAGGCTGAAAACTCCAAATCAACACCAATTTGTGTGGATCGAGACAACAATGATACTGGTAATGAGATTGACTCACAGTGATCGGTATAACGAAATGAATAAATTCTTCTCGCCAATACCAATTATCATGCCACATAAATTAAGGAAAGTCGTTATTGTATCTTTTGTTTGCAAGGAAAACTTTATTAAAACCATTTGCTTATTTTTTGCATTTGTTCGATTTGCTTATCCTTATCTGTTTCCTATCGTATATTATTTTACCTCGATTCTTGAATTTATGTGTTTATACCATTGTGTGTGCAAATAAGAGACTGCGATGAACAAAATTACTACAATGTGAGAAGTTGACAAATGTGTAAGTAAGTACCTGGGTCAGCATCAGCGATAGGGAGACGTAAATCTGTATAGCAAGCAAAATTATACCCTAGAAAGATTAGTTTTAGACAGTTGGCAATGTTTTTAATAATGTGTTTTTGAGGGCTTTTCTGAGATAAGCCAAGTTCACGACCCTGCATTTGGCATTTTCTAAATGAGAATTTCAACATTCGACTTGTTTTGGGAAACCATTACGATATTTGGCAATCAGAAATTTTCTCAGGGACAAATTAATTACATCATAGAGCCAAATTAAATCTCTCTTTTGGCAGTCGTTCAATTGTTACAACGCGGACCAAGCATGTTGCTATTTTGGTTTCAAATAAGCCAAATACTAGTTATTTGGCCTTTTGCCATGTTTTTACGTTTAATTTGAACTACTTTATATTATTTTGAAATGCGCTCATATTCCATCCAACAACGTAATTTTGTGCTTGTTTATGACAAGGTTAAGACTATGATAATATACGTTGTCATTAACGAGGGTCGAAAATCTATTTTTACTGTCGAAAACTTGTTGTATTGTCTTAACAAACAAATTAGTAACATATTTGCGGTTATTTAACGATAAGCGTTTGGCACCTCTTGTCAGACACTGGTAATTATTGATAGTGGTAGCTTCAATTTTCCGGGCGTTTCATTTTTTTTAAATATTGTCAAATGCATATTTAGCTTTGTTAATATGGTTTAATCATACATGTTCGAGTGTGTGTTTGTGGTTGTAAGTATATCGGTCAAAAACTTTTCAAAACGTGTGTAAGAAATAAATTACGTAGATGGTTTCTATATATCAAACTCTTGAAATGTATTATTTATATTTAATTAATATTAAGAAAGGAAATTCAATTTGCTATTTAAGCATGATTACTTTATCTTTCATCATTATTCCACGGTTGAATAGGACGATTACGAAATCAAAAAATTCAGAGATGAACTTTTCAACGGCGTTTGCGAACCTTGTTTATAATTAATTGGTCGAACCTCTCAAATTTTGTGACATTCAACGACACTGACGGCATCATTTAGATTTTTGCGCAAGATGATATATCGATATTCTTCACAATGTTCCCATATATATTATTTTATATTCAAAAGTATTTCGTTAGTGTGACTGAGCAAGATATTCTGATGTATCTATTTTCTGCAACGAATGCATTTCAGCATTGAACTTTCAAAAGCTTAATACTAATAAAACTCATATTAATTCCATTTTGTTGAAAATTAATTGGATTTGATTTTATACATTCATCAACATTAATCGGTATTTTCAATATTTTTATATGTGCGTCTTATTAATATGGGCAATGGCAGTTCCGCAAGTCCGTATTGTTGAAATGGGATTAACCGCAAACCGCTAATTTTAATGTCAATGAAAAAAATTATATATATATATATATAATATTTTGGATTTTGAACATATTTCAACAAATTTTATGACACCCCACATTTACATTTTTCGCTATCATTTATCGTCATATATATATATGTATACCACATGTAAGTTAATTTCTACTTATATTTATGTACTCTAACTCTTGCCCGCTTTCTACAGACTTTACATTTAGGTCTCAGCGATGTAGGACAAAAATGTGATACAAATGAGAAATATGTAAATAGTTATTGAAACAGTATCTTAATCTCACCACAAAATAGGAAAGATCTTTCTATTCTATCGTATTACTGCGTGCAAATTCTGAAAACAATGTTTCAAAAACACAAAATTACCCGATATAGAGTCTTTATCGTAAAACATTAAACGGCAATTAGGTTCATATTTAACGTTTACGACTATTGATCTTTACGTTTCTATTTACAAGGATAAATTCAAGTCGGGTGGTAAATTGTTTTTCACTTCAAAACATCAGAAAGTAAAATCCTGTTTAATCCTAAAATTCACAGACTGGTCGTATCACAGGTGCAAGCAAATTTATCATTGTCGAAAAGTTTGTGAATTATTTTTCACTCCATTATCTAGTCAAGAACATATTCAATTATCGCACATTGGATGAAAGGCCAGTCTAAAGAATCTAATTTGGCACGTACTCGACATAAATTCAACATTTGATATCAGTTCATCCAAGTATGTTTTAGAAGAATGATCTAAGATTCAATTTATTGAATGAAATTACCTCATTAGTTACTTCTTAGTTGACTTTAACAAGTATGGCCCAAAACAAACGGGAAGTGTACTTAGATATTGTAAATGCATAAATATTATCGAAAAAACAACCGCGATTGAATAATAGTTATTTGAGTGGACGAAACAGATGTATGTTACTGTATCTTGATGAAACGGTTTATTATTGTTTTTTGCCCCTAAATGTGACAATAGTAGATAGATTCACAAAATTAGATTGTTACAATTTATATCGTTGTGGGTAATTAATAGGTCTTAAAATAAACGAAATTTCAGCTCTTTGAATTTACATTGAATATACAACATTGCGAATATGAAGGTAAACTATCACGATCAAAGGATTAATTGGAATGGGTGGCAGCTCAGAAATACTTGAGGTGTTTTATAGTTTTGACCCTAAAGTTAATGTGTCGCGCAAATAAAAAAAATCGATAACAAAATTCAAATTAACTTATACATTGAATTACATAATAATTTATCCTCACATTGTCAAATATTAACTTTAAAAAAATAGAACGGTTTCATATATTACAAGATAAAATTGTCATTTTGGGGGGAAAGAGTGAGTGCATAAATTTCCGATGAAATATAAACTATAGAATTTCAACGAAATTGATACGTATTTGAATAATATTAAGCAACTGGGTGAAAAACAATTTGTCAAAATCCGTTACTAAGAATGATACCTAACCGTAACCATGACATGCTGTAACCATGGAAAACAACACGATAGGATTTATAAAAACTCCAATGAATATGCATTTCAGTCAGTAAGGCTTTGTTTTGTTATTTTTAGTTAGCTATGAGCAATTAATGGAATAAACAAATCAATCACATCAATGATTCATGGGTGGCTTAAGTTCTTGAAAAGATTTATTAAAATCATAAAATATCGTTACCATAACTTTCAATAACATTAATACGTCCCTTTCCTGTTATTTTCGTTAGAAAAAATATTAATAGGGTATTTGAATGAACGGAGTTAACAGCAATTTATTTTGTAATTGTCCAGTATCGCAATAAAAATTGTCTGGTTAATAAATAAAAACCACTTTACTTGTTTCGCAAGTACTTCCAAAATATCCTTCAGAGCATTTGCATTTAAATGACAGATAATCTTCTCCTGGCATACACTCTCCGTTATTTTCGCATGGATTTGAAAAACAGGCTAAAAACAATGCGTATGAGTCATTTGATGAGCAAACAAATGGGAAAAACAGCTCTTATAGAAAGATACAAGAATTTATCCATATAAAACACCACAAAACAGGGATAATACACCATTTTATCGACCCGTTTTACAATGGCGTTGTTAGTTAACTGAATATTGACTTGCAATATTATATCCACTTCAACAAAAAGTCGATATCATATTGTTACATTTGTTTATATCATCAAACTGCAATTTTAAAAAGGGCATAATAAACCATTCTCCAACATAAGAAAAAAATCAGCATCTTATTGGTTTGTGCACAGGTCCAACTATACGTCTACATCGTAAGTTGTAGATTCCGGATTTAAGTTACATTTGCTCGGCTGGTCAATCCAAACTCATCACTGATTTCTCAAATCTGATTACACGAGAGCGTAAATCTGTTTCAACGAATATAATAATACTTCAAACCCCTCAGCGCGGGATTTATAAATTTCAGCTCACCATCGGCGATGGGTGTTCTGGTACTTTTTGTTTGTGCCTTTGAGGAAATCTGTTCATTATAATTGCGGTTTATTACAGATGGAATATCTGGTTCTTGCGTGTTTTCACTGAAAAAGAAATTGAATAAGTTAATGTGACTCGCAAAAATAAGTCGTGCTTCGCCATCTTCAAGAATCGCGCTCATAGCAATCGCCATGCAATGTGAATATAATAGTACAATAAATATACAATGTGCAAAGTTAGGTCATGTTTCAGATAATTCAAGTTATACTTATAGAGAACGCACAAATCAAAGCGATGAAATAAATACCTTTCGTCATCGGTATTCAATATTTGAACGCTCTTGGTGGTCGTTTGAATTGTAGTTGAACTGAAAGTCACGTTTTCAGGGCTCAAGTCGATGTCAAGCTCACCGTCAATGTCGTCCATGTACGTATTTTCTTCTAAAATTATATCATCCAGATCATTTTCTAATATTTCAAAATCTTCGTAGTATTCACTGTCCATGTCAAGCGATTCTGATGTTTCGGTGTCCATTATTTGTGGCCACGTTGCCGCTTCCGTAGCAATTGCATGAGTCGGAGATTCAGCTGGTGGTAGCGTTGTGACTGATTGCCGTGAGGTACTGGATGTTGTGCTTGAGCTGGTGACCAAATAAGTTTTCGGATCTGGCTTTCTTGCCGGAAGTTCAATATTCGGTGATTGTAAATTGGGGATTACTACTCGGCGCTTCGGCGATGTAGCAGTTGCAGATATGGAAGTGCTGGTAGTGGACGAAATAGTACCTATGGCAGTCTTGGAAGTGGGAGCAGTAGAAGTGGGAGCGGCAACAGTGATAGTGGTAGGTTTGGTAGTGGTTGTTGTCGTAGTGGTAGGTTTAGTAGTGGTTGTTGTCGTAGTGGTAGGTTTGGTAGTGGTTGTTGTTGTAGTGGTAGGTTTGGTAGTGGTTGTTGTCGTTGTGGTAGGTTTCGTAGTTGTTATAGTAGTAGGTTTAGTAGTGATTGCTGTCGTAGTGGTAGGTTTAGTAGTGGTTGTTGTCATAGTGGTAGGTTTATTAGTAGTTGTTGTCGTAGTGGTAGGTTTGGTGGTGGTTGTTGTCGTAGTGGTAGGTTTAACAGTGGTAGTTTTAACAGTGGTTGTAGTCGTCGGTTTGGTTGTGACTGTTGTCGTAGTGGTAGGTTTAGTAGTAGTTCTAATGGTAGTAGTGGTAGGCTCAGTAGTGGTAGTCATAAGTATTGGTTTTGTCGAAATTGTCAAATTCGGTTCAGAAGTGGTAAGTCTGTGTGTATTCGCCCTTGAAACAAGCGTTGGCGAACTCGAAATGATTTGTCTTGTGCTTGTAGTAGTGTCCTGTGTGGTGAAAATCCGGGGCGTGGTTGTGCTGGTTCTAGCTGTTGTAGTTGACTTAGTTTTCATTCTACCGGCAGGTTTGTAAACATAATTACCCCGTCTCGAGCCCGTTTCAGGGTTAGTACGTGAGTATATGCCTTTCCTAGATCCACGCCTGTTAAAATATGTTGCTGGTCGAAGACTTGGTTTAGGAGAATATGAACTTGTGCCCGGTACTTTCACTGGCCTCTTAGGAGTTCTGATATATGATACTGACTTGAAATAGCCGGATCCGTTTGGACATAACTTTGCATGTGCGGCTAAAATATAAGATTATAATTATTTTGGATCAGGTATTGAAATATTTGTCTCTTCAGATGTTGATACTGGTGATTTTAACAGATTTTATTCATTAACGTTTCTTCTGATCAAAGTCAGACTTTGTTCAGTCGTTGATAATAGCATAAGCATTGTTGTGAATTTCATGTAGACGGAATCCGAATTAGATCACACGAAACGTTACAAGATAAAATTTGCTAGATAGTGAAGAACGACCTCATCCATCAAGTTGGCCAGGCGTTTTGGAGTAGTAGTAAGTCACACGTATATGTATATTTAAATGTGTAACTCTCTGAAAGACTCCTTTGTCAGGCATCGACAAAAAATAAAAATGAGCAAATTACTTATGTGGAATGAAAAGTTTCAGTACGAGGGACAATAATCATTTTGTCGATTTCCGGAACTCTTAATTCGAAAATAATTTTGTTTTTCGATTTGGTCAAAAGTAAAACGTTTTTTATTTTTCACTCAGTGACAATCAGAAAGATATGAATGTTTCGCAGCACCTTATTTGGCGTAATGTGGAATTGAGCGTTTTTTTCTTCGACTAACTGTCTGCGGAGTCGATGGAAATTAATCTTTACACCTCAGAATGTAACTTTATACGATTAATGAAGCGATTCAGTATATGTTAATTAGGATCGATTAATGGCAGAAGGGGCTAAATACGACTTCCTAGACCAACACTGAAACGGACTTTAACCCAGGTGACATTTGAATTTATAGCTAACCACCCGAAGTGTCAATTTCACCATTTGTTCAATATGTTTCCCAGCATTAAAGGAAACAGGTTTCCTGCTGGTAGTGGGAGTTATCCGCGTGGTGCCCGACAAATACGAGTTTATTGACTGCTGACTGATAAAGCAGGGGATGACATTGATTATTCCCAACCTGTTTTATCTTTTTTTTAGTCGTGTGTGGTCTTTGTGGTGGTCGGTGGTCTGTTCCATGCCCTTATCGCGTGAATGTGACTGCCAAATGCTACACACACTATCACCGACAGTCCACTTTGATAATAATTTATGTTAATACCCTCATTGCCGATGGTCAGATAGAACAAAATCAGCTTACAAGTGTGGTAGACATATAAAAAATGGAATTTGAAACTGCGACTACTTAATACGTCAACGGTAACTTTAGAAAAATAGTTCAAAAAATACTTTACCGGAACCACGCCTTGGACATCTTTCACAGTTTGGGCCCCATGCCAGGCCCACAGAGCAGCAACAGACTGCCTTGTTTCCTTTCACTGCTGCTTCAACACGACCACATCCTCCATCACGATCCAGAGCAAGATAGCAGTAATCGTGCGATCCGGTGGTGACGCGAGTCTGAGAAACTCTGTCAGCTGAGTACACAGAAAATAATTGAGTTTAGGAAGTCTGGATTTGTGACTTTACAACAAATTTGCCTGATCAAACGTGGGCTATTAGTATACCAACCCATCACGAACTAAATTATCCGTCTTCCGCACTTAATTGAAATTGTGATCCATACATATCACTAGGATGTAATACAACGCTTTATTAGTTATGCAAACAAAAAACGAACACCTACGAAGACACATAGATCGAGAGGTGTGTTGATGAAATCCTCTGTGACATCGACACCAGAATGAGCCCCTGGAATTGATGCATACTCCGTTTTCACACAAATTCCGTTTCGTTAGGCACTCGTTCACATCTAAATAAGTACATATAGCAACCCCTCTAATTAATATTTAATGTACTTTCTAAGGAATTAAATAATAGAAGTATAAATGTATCACTATAAAATTTTTTAGTATATTGTGCATTAATTATCTTCTGGTTATTTTGATATAAAAAATGAAAGGTAAATGAAAATATGTATATATATATATGTAATAAATTTCAATCTTTTTTCAGTTTTTGGTTGCCAAGTAGATTTTTGCTGGTTAAAACAGAAAACCCCGGGACAACCTTACACAACACAACCACAGTTGAATCTCCTATGGCGTTACGCCGCTACCTTTCTTGGCTTTTTTATTGTCATGTGTTATCGGGTTGCCTAGTGGTTTTAATAGCATTAGACTCAGCTGGCATCGCAGGTTAAAATCTCGTTCAAATCAAATGCGTAGAGTGAAATAAATTGTGTTGGCCATGGGTTCTCAATCAGTGGGCCATGGCCAACAGAAATATTTTCAGGTGGGCCACAAACATTTCAAAAGTATTAAAATCACTTCACAAATTTAGCTCATTTGTGTTACTATAGTTAAATTGACGATGCTGTATTTTTGCTACTGATTGGTAATTTTCATTCTAATTATTAAAGAGAAAGTGTCGATTTTTGCTGAAAGATTCTTGCAGTTTTTTTCATTGCATAAAAATGTTATTAGGCCACCGAATTTTTATGTAACGAAAATGCGTCACGAATGATAAAATAATTTCGGTCCTTCCAAACTATAGTGGCTCTATGCCCAGCACTGGTTGCTTATGCAGAGCCTTGTTTCGAGCGATGCGTAGTTTAGAATAAAAATGAAAAAAATGATAATTTCCGGTATATTCAAATATGTGTGACTAGAATAGGTTGGAAGATGAACGCCCTTGAACAAAACCGTAATGATAAATTGAAGTATCAAAGTGCATCAATGTTGTTGACCCCACTAACACAGCATCGAGACTAGTGAGGAAACGTTATGTCTATTCCTAAAGGTCGTCTTGTCTGTATTATTAACTGTGAAAAATATGTTTAAATTACAGTACTTTTCTTACCCATTATTTTTAATTTCGTCAGTCAAAGCAATGTTATACCTTTTTCAGCTTTAGGAAAAAAATGTTAAGGGTGGAACTTTTGAAACGAGACCCACCTTTGAAATACTTTTAAAGTTTACTAAACTTTCATAACAGTGTATTAAAATATACCTTTGCATACTCCATTTACGCTCTTGAATCCTTTGGGACAATGATGTAAAGCTGATAACCTGGAACTTGATGATATTCTTCCTGAAAGAGAAAACGATTGTAATATACATTTCTTAAATATTATTCTCTGATTATTTTTGCGCTCTCAGGGGGCCCCATCATGTTTCATTACTACCTACTTGTCTTTTCTTATATCGCTTCAGATGAAACATAAACCAAATTTGTAAATTGAAGTTGAAAAAACCATCATTCTTAAATCATTTAGGCGTTAAAGATGCGTGGATAAATTTGTGTGAAAATTTAAAAAAATTATTGATATTTTTGAAAAAATCAATGAATTACTGTTTTTAAATAATATAAACGGTGTCCGAATATGAATATCCTTCTACAAAATATACTAGATTTTGTGACGTGTGAATTTGCCGACCGTGATCTCTAAAAAAACTGTTATACATGTTATTCAGTGTTTTTTTAAATTATATTCAATGTACCTAACATCAAGTACCTTCAATTTACTTTAGAAATAAACCAGCTATCAGGATTGGTCGATAATATGACAAGAATTGAATACAGAACAATCCAATAATATAATTGTTACCAGGAGCGTAAATCTATGTATAGTGCTTGGCAGCATTTGTCCAACACTGATCAAAATTTTTATTGCGTCTGGGTTAATTTTTTGCCAATAAAGAGTTTTTGTTGATCATCAAAATTATGTATATTATCTTGTGTATTGCTCCCAATAAACCAATTAGCTTGGACTCAATTTTAAAAAACGGAAATTCAAATGCGGTCACATCCAATCTCAAATTGACAAAAATATTACTATTATTTCTTTACACTAGAAATACCTATCTGAGGTCTGCAAATTACCGTACATGCTAAATAAAGTTTGGCACAAAAACAATGTGATCAGCGTCTTGTACAATTTGAATCTGTATTGTACAGAAATTCAAATATACTATCAAGAATTTTTCTGTCTAAATAACGGATTTTATAATGCTTACCAGTTTAATTTTAGGTAGAAATGATAATAATTTTATCTAATGTAAATTCATTTTAATTTTACCGAAAATAACTACAAATAAATATATTCACCGAATAACATTTAGATTAGGAATGTAATTCTAATGGCCCGGATATTTGCACATAGATCTACCAACGTTCCTAAAAATGCACATAGCCGTGTTTAACCGCATTCATGCTTGGTAGTAAATAATTCTAACTTCATAAATTTCAACTACTGATAAATGCATTGTATGATGTACTACTTTTTAGTTATATAGTCTTGAAAAATAAACTCTTTTTGTCTCCATGTAGCAGACGCGGTTGTGTCCTGAGTAGGTACAAGTTTGACAAAAGAGACAGAGAGATTAACAACGTAAACTATACTCAAGCACAACAACATACTTTCTTTCCTCTGCTTCTAGTACTGTCACTTTGGAATGTTTACCGCCCCGATTTGTAGTAAAATATTGTCGCCATCTTATATTTGGAATTGTCTAAACGTAGGGTATTAAAAAAGAATATATTTATGGGCTACAAAGGAGGAATTTCAGATTTCTTTATTTCTAATTTAACCTAAGTTATTTAAACTCACAAACCGTTGGAAATGATTAAAATCTTCATTAAAAGGAAGTGAGTGAGAATTGGAATAGTGTTCAAATTTTACATTTTTAATGGCCCGTCATTATCAACGACAAAAATATTTCTCAGAATATTCAAAGTAATCAAATCTTTGATTCCAATCAATCTGGTATATTGTTTATAATAAATATCGCTTCAACAATTTCTGCTTCTTAACAACAGTTAAAGTCGAGTAAATGAAAGCAATTATGCTTGTTTCTTTTTTAATGTAATTAAGTTTCATTTTTATTTCAACTAGAATCAACACAACTAAACCTGGGAATATAATTACCGAATGTATTCAACATCGGTTAGCAGAACATCTGTGACTACTGAAATGGAGACATTTAATAAGGTTGACATATGGTTGATACAATGGTGCAAAAAGCAACCTTTTTTTTAAATATTTCCAAAATTACAAATACTTTTTTGCACGATATTTATCATAAAACAACCATATACTCTGTAAATTTTTCATTCAAAATGCACGACCTAAAGTATTTGCCGTACAACGGAAAATTTCTATATATTTTATCATTTATCATAAAGTGAAACCACCAATTTTCGAAACTTATGAATGAAGCACTCAGCTGATTTTATTGTGATAAAAATGCCACTTCGTCATAACAAATTATGTTAGTTTAGAGTTATCGCTATTTCCGATCGTTGTAAGGTTTTATATATTCCGGGATGTGACATAATCGTCGATTACAATCAAACGTTGGTAAATTACACATCAGACAATTGCATTGAAAATGTGAAGAAAGTAAATTATTTTAATGTATGCCGATCCTACATAAAGCGTTCGGCATATTCGATGACTGAATGCCAATTGATAGAAAAATGTCCATCTATGTATTTTATTTTCAATGCCTACATTACTTTTCTTTCCCGCGTAATATTAAAGATTGACAATTTAGGTAAGACAATTCAGTATTGCTTTATTACTGCATAAACTGAAAATTGATAGAATCATTCTGCTTTGCACCTTCGCATTTCCAATGATGTGAATAGATTTCTCGAAAATTGAAAAAAACTTATTTGTTTTTATATATGAATTATGTTTCAGAACATGAAAATTTATTTATTTTCGCATTTTTGTCACAATATTTGCGAAATTAAAAATTACGTCATGACCTATAATTCTCGTCTCGCGTTTCATGTTGTTACCGAATGAATGGACAAAGTAAAATTAGATGACGCGGGGTTACGGGCTTAAAACTATTACAAGTATTGCCTACAGATTGTACGTACTACGTATTGTTATAGTAAAGTAAACCAAACATGTTTTGCCGAATTTTCATAAATCTTGACCAAAAAGTACGTCATCTGTTATTTTGGGATTTTATTTTTCACAAATTGACTTTGTCGATCCATGGCCTCATATGCAGGATATAATAATCTCATATTTAGCGGTAGTTGAGTATTGTCGTGCCGAAAGGCATAAGAATCGACAAAATTTGTCCAAAACTATAACATGTAACGAAATGTTTATAAAAAGTTGAAGCATTCGTGAACAGCACTGTCACAAGCAGACAACTTTTTGAATTTTAAGCATTCAAAGCAATGGATTCTACCTTTTTTAAACCTTCAATTATAGCGAAATTTCGAGAGCAAAAGATTTTACATAAACTTAAGATCGCTGATATTACTTATATTACGAATAAATATCGCTTACGATAACTAATATTATATAAGATATACTTTTCAATGAGTAATGTTTTTGTATCGGCTCGTCAGTCAAGTACCCGATATGGCAACCAGGGTGGGATAAATTCGTTAGGCAATGACGAATCGGAAAAATGCGTTTCCTTTTCAAAAAATTAAGTCGTTACGTATTGGTGGAGTGAAATGCTACTGAACCGTTTGCATAAGGGGTCCATGTTCCATTTATATAGTAAATCTTGACTACCATTTGTATAATATTTGGGATATTATTGCATTAGGCAATCCCTCGTTTGCGAAGCATTACCCGTAAATGACCTCATTTGTTTAATCCATCAGTAAACATTGAAACACATTACGTCTGACGTCAAAATCCGACGTAAATACGTAAATATGCACTCAAGGGATATAGTAGGTAAGTAAATAACAAAGTAGCGAGTGATTTAAAGTGGTTAAATATTTGCTATATAATCTAATCTGCTCATAACAAAATATATTTGGCACGCAAAAAAGTTAATTGATTAGCGTAATCTGAGATAATAGTTAATGCATATCTTGAAAGGTGGTCGTTTAGAGAAGTCGGGTTATTCCATACAACGATAGTTCACCAATCTCGATAATGTCCTTATCAATATTTCAGGTTGCGACATTCACATACGTCAAAAATTATTTCGCGTTGAAATGTAATTTAATTTTATAATTTTAGAATGACTTTACGTCAAAACTTGAACGGGAGAAGCATTCCGGAAGGCGACATTTTGATTTCAGACCAAACAATACAAATTACATAATAAATCTTTACTCAATACTTTGAATCCGGAAAATAATTCGAGATTTTATTGTTATTTTTAAGTCTGACCCGGTATGTGGACGTGGAGGAGCTGTCACACAGCTAAATCTGTTCCCGATGCAAAACATAAACATCTCTTTTGTCATTTCCAAACGGGCCATATGTAATCCATACTCAGTGCTATTTTAATGATTAATATTAAGTAGTCGACGTAAATCAATAAATAGCAACGGCCAATACATGGCGCAACTTGATTCGCAGAATAATCCGATCTACTAAAGTACAATGATTTTCAATCCTTAAATAGTAGTTTCAGTTGTTGAAATTAATGGCGTTTGTAATGTTCCTTTTATGCATAAGGAAGTTTACGTAACTTTTGTGACAAAAAACGTAGATCACAATATTAAATGCAAATATGAACTATACTGAACTAAATATCATGTAGCCACACCTGCTCGTGTGATGGTAACTTTTCTGCACGGAAGACATTCTGATCCCCACCCATCGCCGAGTCCTGATCGACAACAACTTTCTGCAGTCATCATTTTGTTATATGAAAGTCCACATAAATCTCCTCTGTACTTTTTATAGCATTTTCCATATTTTGAACTTGTGGAAGAACCAGATATTCGGGGTGTCGCAACAGGAATCCCTGGTGAAAAAAGTTTATTCAGTCAAATCTTAAACCAAATATAAACCTTAAATAGTTTGTAATTGGATTAGTTGAAATCCAATATACATCAGTGCAACACACCCTGTGGTAATACCATAGATTTTCCGGCCTTTAAGCCAAGGAGGGACAATATTATCCAATTGATGGATATCACAATCATGTTTATGACCTGCGTTATGCAATAGAAAAAATTGTTGTTTTTCTGTTGACCCCGAAAACTATCATTCGTTGATCTTGGTGCCTTTAATTTGAAATCAAGTTTCTTCCGACTCACGCTACACAAAAGTAAAATGGAATGATTTTCTACGTCAATATAGGCAACAACCATAAATGGAGTTCAAATAGTCGAACAGGATGCTAGTTATATCAAGTATTTACAAAATAATTAGGTTAATCATTTAACTTTTGGACACTTTTGACAACAAAATATTTGTTGTGAAAAAAAAGTTAACTGTGCTTTTAATTAAATCTTTTTCTTAAATGCAAGTTATTTTATCAATAGGACGTGGGTATAGAATGCCTTTCGATTGTCCGTACACGTTTCCATATTTAAAATAAGTATTCATTACTTTTACTTCAAACAGGGCTTTTACACCGCTGTCTCAGAAACCGTCCCGTAACATTTCTCGTTAATAACTATCGCCGGAAGCTTTACCACCAGATGTAAAGCAAACCACCGAAGTTAAATTTTGAATTTGTTTACGATCACTGACAAGGTGTTGTAAGAACCGTGAATTTTTGCAAATTACAACATCGATAGAACTTTCCCACGGCTTTTACTTCCGCTCTTTTGTTGATTGCCGGCGCGTGTTATAGTCAGGGTCAAAATAACAAAGGTATTTAAACTTGCCAGCGATGTTACAGACATAATTCCCTAGTTGCAGGTACTATTTTATGTGCACTTGTGTACAATTTGTATCAACAAGATACCTCAGCTCAAATGATTAGAATATTTTCCCCATATCACTTTCAAAGTACTCTTTACGTTGGTCACGGTCAGGGTAAATCCGGCCTGTGGGTGGCTGAGATAGAGCAGAATAAGTTATTCGTATTTGCAAACTATCAGTTGTCAATTGAACTCTCATTTGGTAGCGAAAAAGTGCAAAAAGGCGTGTTGTGCAATCTAGTTCAAAGGTTTTCAAGAAATCTAGCAAAAGCTTCAAATTCCTTTTACAGGTGATGTATGTCGTGTCGGAAGGCCACTCAACTTCATCAACCTTAAAGAGGTTTTCACAAAATCCATGGTCACCTTTTTAATACATGCCTTATAGTGTTGAAGTAAAGTTTTGTCTGCTGCTCTAACATTTTTGAAGAAACACTCATTTTATATTGGGCCTAAATGATATGGTTGTTCTGTAAACCCTATTCATATTAGTGTTTTGTCTATATACCTTTGCTTTCTACCAAAATTTGCCGACAGAATATTTAATATCAAATTTATCTGTGAGTGGGTTCGTTCATTATATACTAGATATTGTACAGTCATATATATTTGAAAATTCACAAAATTTGTTTGGAATGGTTTTCAAATAAAAAAAAATTAACTTCATCTTCGTCTCTATATTGTGGATAAGCAGTATGTAATCTGTAGAATTATAGAGCATTAATTGCAGTGAAAATGTCAAAACCACCTTTAACCTGAGTATGGTCTGATTTTTTTCTCATCACAAATGTCGGTTTGCGCATAGCTGCGTTGATGCGTTCTTATGCTCTTACGTTATTCTTAGGTCAACAAGTGACGTCTTATTGTTTTTCTCCTACGTTTTGACGTCAAACAATAAATGAATTTAGTATTGATTGTATACATCTGGTACATGATTTGGATATAGATTATCTAGATATTGAGAGGTATTCATCTTTCGCTTTCGAACCCGGAACTCCAGCTTTTTTCAAATTTTTGTGATAACACACTTGTGGAAGAAGCTCTGAAGGTGATCAAAAACTCGATAATAGTGTTTACTTATAAAGTCAATGTCCAAACGTTTGAATTCATAGGTTTACATTTCGGATATTATAATCAGCATACATATCTTTCTTGTTATTTTTGTCAACAAGAGATTCATGATTGCTAGTCAGAACTTACAGATATGTAGGGGCAATTGGATCTAGCTTCTGCAAAGAAACCCCGCCATGGTACATATCGGCTGTATCAGGCAGATGAATATTCAAAGTACGGATGAGTCAATTTTGTGTTTTTCAATTAGGTTCGCGTTCGAGTCCTCAACTTATAATTCATGAAAATACTGCGTCAGGCACAACGTCTTTGTCTGGATCTGATAACGTCATTAGGAGATTTGAAGCGTTAAAATGACGTTTACTGACGTCATACTCACTTGTCATTATTTTATTCGGATAAGCCGCAACAGGTCTCAACAAATTATTGCTATACTTGATTCCGGATTCCACATTGTCGGCAACCATGCTAGATTTCTGCTTCCTTCGTCTGCCATATTGAGAGGATTCGCACATTGTTCCATAGTATCCTCGGTGGCATTTGCACACAGGTCCGGCGCCTACAGTACACGTTCCATGTACACAAAGCGCTTTACATAGCTCTGGAATGAAATCAAATCCTGTTTAATTAAAGTTGAATTCAAAATAAATATATTTAATCCCAATGGAGTCGAGTTTGTATCTCCGAAATAAAACCTACTATGATCGTTCATAGCTGAACAATTTAAAATCAATCATATTCCGAAGATGAACTGAGTTAAATATTCAAAGTTTGTCTGGAAAAGAACTTTCTCCTAGTGATTGATATAATAAAACTTCGCGGCTTTGAATCAGACTGGTCCCAGCGGGATGGTGGCGCGTCTGAAAGCTCGTCTTGAATTTGCTCGGAAAACATGCGAAGGGTAGTCTAAATCCAGACTCAAAAAATCGAGTTCATCAACCTTTGTTAAATAAATCGATAAAGGATCTAGCTGTTGTTTACCAGATTTGAATTATAAATTAACCCCCATCCAGAAATGGTACGGTGGGTGATAAATAAGCATATTAAATCAAATATTACTGATCATAGTAAACAAAATCACTATTCCTAAAGATTGACTTGACTGCATCCTTTCTGATACTCAAGGACAGCAAGAAATCAATTTACCGTTGCTTCAGATACGTGGTGACAACTACAGTAGAAAAAATGGATCGGAACAACACTTAGATAAATATGATCGTGTTATAAATTCAGATTGCAAAAAATAAAGATCAAACAACAGTAACAAAATTGATTTAAAAGATCCATGGTGAACTACATTTTTGTGGTTCATGTAGCATATTTTTCAAATTTCCAAGTTTATGTATAAAAAAAATAAAATTTGCACCCAAAATAGCAAAAATTCGTCTAAAACATCGTGCAATTCGAATGGTCTGATAGGAAAATCCATAACAAACATAGGCCGCAACAATATGGGAAAACTTTTGAGGAGAATTATTCACAATCAAAATTTTTTTTACAACCACACGATTGACAAATTCTAATTTAAGTCGGAATCACAGAAATTAGTGTAAATTTTTCAGCTTTATAAGGTCAATTGTCGAAAAGTTCAAATCATCATCGGTGTAATCCTTGGCGCTTTTCTCAGTTTATCGGTAAACACGGACTCCCATATTTCCGTGCGTCACATAAACCACAATATGACCAAGTATGAAGTAAAGCTAAACTATGCTATGATAAGGCTATCCATATATGATCCATGTAGTATCATTTAATTTACAGACTCGGTGGTAAATAATAAAAAACCTTAAACTATGATTGATGTGCTACTGATATTTTCTGATACATGAAAATATGTAAAGGAGTGAACAATACACCCACGTCCGATCAAATTTGGTCGAAGTGTAACATAATCTTTTATTACTACGATTTGAACAATCTTGCATGATAGTAGTTCATACAAACTTTTACAATTCACAAATACGCATGCCGCGAATATTTTGATTCGATGTAGGTATGTGAACTATCTCTTGTTGTCAATTCGTAGATTAATAGTTTTTCAAAATTATGCTCGGCAGGGAATAACCCTTATTTAAAAATTCCTTCTTAATAAAAAATTATTCTGTATCAAGTATGAATAAATAAGATAAAATATCTTGACAAATACTACAATGCATGGCACATGTTCGATCAGTCATGAATACGTACACTATATTCCATTGAGATTCAATTGGAAATATTCAGACATTTCCGGTAGGCGCGACTATAACATTTCTTTGTATAATTTATGTATTAGATATTAAAAAATATTTATTATAACAATCGTTTCCAGATTGTACCGTACTAATCGTTATGGAATGGAAAATATGTTTTGAGAATCTTTCCCGGGTGACTCAATTTGATTGACGAAACGGCAACGCAATTCACGATTTTAAATTTTGCAATTTCATATTTGTTATTAGCGTTATAACATAATGGAGATATTTACAAATATTTCTTGACTTGTTCATTTTGTCAGAAATTGCTAAAAAATAAAATTTAAAGATTTGGATTTAAAATTTGATTCAAGAATGAAATCGGAATGATGGCAGAAACGAATTTCTATTTATTTTTGCTTTTAAAATAAGTATTAATTCATGATAGTATGGAATAATCTTACTTAATGCTACTTGAAAGTTTGGCTCAGCTTCTGCGTCTTCTCCAGGAAGCACTGAATCCAGACTCATCTTGACGACAACGACTTTTTCACATTTTTTCCCGTCGTAACCACTTCGACATATGCACGATCCCTTAATACACGTTCCGCCATTAAAACATGTTGAAGGGGAACAAGACGACGTCGTATCTGTTAATTGTAAATCACTTTTAATTCTACCTTGAAAAGTCTATACAGTTGGAAAAAGAATATTTATTGTTTTCAAATATGCAGTAATTTACTCATCGAAGAACATCAAGCTTTCTAAACATCGGGTATAAGAGAAATAGATATTCGTGCTATAGTAGTTGTGAAGTGAATTGAGAAGAGTTTAGCTATTAGCAGTTTATAATATATTATTAATATATTTATTATATATTATACAAAATTCCAAAATATGGTAGCGAAATATATATATAAACAAAGAAATTCATGACTTCATTGAAATTAATTATCAAATTCTCCATTCCATTATATTCTGTACCAATGGAGAAAATATGAGGTTATGACGATGACTCTTTTCGGGCCCAAAAAAAATCAGACTGGACTTACTTTAGAACTATTTCAATCTGGGATCCTTTTTCAATTCTCAGGTACCAGTTCGGCCATATTTTATTAAATCGTTTTTACGTTAATTTTCGTATTGTATACTCATGGCCTAACATGATTATGGAGTAACGGAAACGGTGAGATTGCTAACTTCTAGTAAACTGATTCATTCACACAAGATTTTAGCATATGTAAAAATGCTCTTAGCTGACAAGACAACCTGTCACATTCTTGCAATTGGGAAGATAAACTTATCATCGTATACGGTCTCCCTTTTTAAAGTCAATTCTGCCAAAAATGTCTCTTTTGATTTTGGTAGGCGTGGGAGCATATTTGTCTGTTAGAAGATAGTATATATTTGGTGGTTTGGGCCGTCGTTTCACATTTCTAATTTAGTCGACTCGTTTGTGGCAGTTTTGACCTAATTAGGTTATCGCGAAACAGATAATTTGTGTATATGTCGAGTATTTAACGGGATAACAAATCATTCGCAACAATTTTGTCTCTGTAAGCTGCGGCTTAGCATTCTAAACCAGACGTTGATTTACGCATCAACGCTGGAGGTCTCACATACTTGTTCAAAAAGTTGTGCTTGGCCTTAATCAGTGTTGATGAGACCACACGCCTCGAATCATCTCACATTGGTGTGAGTGAAGGGTGTTTATGGCGGTGAAAGTTCGATGGTCTGGTCAGTGCGGTCAACATCTTCTCCATAAAAACGGCAGATAAATTATTACTTCCTAGGCAATACTTACACCAACACAGATTGTGATACAGATGTGAATAGCACCACTTGGATTGAAAAAATGTCTCACCCGAAATCAGTTTCTTCAATTTCCCACAGTCGATAGCTGATTTTCGCTTAAACAATTCACAAATTCGAATGTCAGCGGTAATTTTTGATAATCTATCATTTTACATCAGTAACTCCAGTTTGCTAATGATTTTAAACCCACATTAATGGTGTCTCATAAAAATAGAGCGATGTTGCTCTAAAAATGGGATTGCCAATTGTTAAATTCAACTTGTTTAAAAAAAAGCTTTTCAATACGTCAAAAATACATAAACAATAAAATTCCAACTTTGCTATCTCATGTAGATGAAGATTCCAAAAAAGGTTGCGCGATATTCTATTCAACTTCGTTATTATCGAGCGGAAAATTGTGATTGAATAGGGACAGAAACGCCACTGCGTGTTTGTATATTCAAAATAGTTCATAGCGAATGAACTGAAACTGAACTAGAACTGAAATAACACAATATCCATAACCTACTATTTTTACACTCACATACAACATTGGAAGATGGTAAATGTATGTATTTTTAATGTATGTAAGATGTATTTTCTGTGAGTATGCGAGTGACTGCGTTTATAGGCGTGTGAGTGCAAATACTAAAAAAAATGATACAATAATTCACAAGTGTTTGCACTTATCAGTCAGTTAGAGAAAAAGGTAAAGCCTATTCAACATGATATCACCTCACATCTAAATTGATTACTTTTCTGATTTTGATTTGTTAACATTTTAACTCGGTATATCGCATTTCACTCACAGAATCAACTTTTTCTTTTGATCACGTTCAAAAACATGTATTTTTTATATTTTAAATCACCAATAGTAGTTTTTCTATCTATTTGCTCTGGGCTTGACGGGATTAAAACAAGGTGTAGCAAATCGTTGTGCGGTACGTTGCAGTCAATTTTGAGCGTAACGCTACCATTAATGATGACAGTGAACGTTTGCTGAACCCTCTGTGCAAATAAAAAGAAAATATTTCGAATTGCTTGAGCTGAAACACCGTGAATTATGTATTACTTTAGTATTGGGGTTATGATGCTCACTTTCAACTTCATTATTAAATTTTAACGCTCTATTTATATTTCATGCTCGAGCTAAGACATTATGAAAAGGGAGGCACGTTGACATTGACATTTATTGTAAATATCGGTAATTAAAAATTTTGAATTCAGAAAGTGACAGAATTGTTAGTTTCAATCCAAACTTTAATATCTCGAAGTCTATGTTTTGTTGCCAATTGCTTTTCAGGGGCGAAATATTGATTAAAAGCCTTCTATCTACAAAATAAAAGAATTTATAACCTCTTGTAAATTTTTACTTACCAACGTCAGAAAGACAAAATTTAGAGCACATATGTGACACTTCATGAAGCTGAAACTAAAGTAGTCGACTAATACAGGATTCAGAGTTATTAGGCCACATTTTGCTCTCGAATGCTACAAGGAGACGAATACATGCATAAATACTGTTTGAAATATTCCTTTGTGCAGATGTAGTGTTTGCGGCAATATCGTGACAGGTATTTTACAGCAAATCTCTTCTTCCATTTATATGAATATTATCTCGTAATCCGGTATTATGTCTTTGTCATTATAAATTCCTGGCGTACTTTCTAGGTCGAATATAATAACCCTCATATTACAGTTTAAAAATGTTGGGTTCTAGACTCTACAAGCGATAACTATAAGTTTTTCATCGGGGTCGCGCGACCATAAAGCTATTTTGGGTTTTAAAATAACATGCCACCAAATTAACAACCACAGATATTAATGTTAAAGGGATATGTCTTTTTTAACGACAAATTTGAAAAAATAAAAATCGCATATCCTAACAATGAGATGTAATATCAGGGTTTTAAATTGTTTTTCGTGTTCAAAAATGATGAATGAAATTAAATCTAGAAATGAAATCTTGAGGTTTTAATGATTCAATAGACACATGGACGGATGAAAACACATCAATGGTCATAATTTATTTACTTTCCTACCACCACTATTAAATACGATAAACCTTTCGTTTTGAATCATTTTGTCGCGATGTAACTTTTAATCAAACATGCCTTCTTCTCCACCCTAGCAATCGAAAATGTTTATTAGACTTTACGATGTTTACACAGCTTCCTTCTCGTGTCGGCTAACATTGTCCACGTGTGTGATATTCGTTTTAAACAAGCTGATGACAACTTACATTCGTTGCTGATGACACTTCAAGATTTATTGATAAAAATGGTGACACTAAACAGGCGGTCAATTAGCTTCAGCAAATTATTCATATTTTGTCAAAGAGCGTGAAAATATAACGCGAAATTTACGCAAATTTGAAAGAAAATGAATTCGTCTATAAGCTGATTAACAATAAACACAACGACCACTTCAGTTAGCATTGCTAAGCCAAGCAGTAGGTGACAGAGAGCGTTGTAAATTACGAACTGAAGGAAATTTCCAGATAGTAAAAATGCAAGATGTATTACCTCAAAATTGTTTACACGCTGATGGTCTAACATTTGTGAAAGGTTGTATAATACGTTAATTAGTACTTGATGTAAAATATATGCAAAAAAAACTTTTTACTCTACGCTACTCCTTTTAAATTGAGACAAAAACTATGGTTTCCGTCTGTTCATTAGATAAAAATACAAGAATAGCTCATGAACTTTGGAGAGGGTCTTGATTGAAATGAAGACCCGAGCTTTTTGCAAACTACATAGACTGTCCTACGATGGGCAGTTTATATTTCATTAGGACCGCCTTGTGTGGTTTGCGCATTTTCTCGCAGCATACCGGCATCTGAGATAAAACCATGTACATCTATTATGCAGTGTGTCACTGTGTAAACAATCATGCTTTCAGATTCTACAGGGAGCCATGTAGCTTTAACATAATTTATATTCCCTACAGGAAATATTATAATTTAAAATATTATAATATGAGGTATTTTATCTTACCTCAATAACGACACATGTTCGGGTCGACTAGGAATATATGTATACTTTATATAATATCTGCTATGAAGTGTGATACGTCATTGAATGATACAAAATGTATTTGAGTGAATAACACTTTATTATATATATTGCATTTCTTACAAACAACCGACGTAATCGTAACCGATTTAGACACGCATCAGATTAATATCCCATATTATTATCTGTTGTTCTATTTTGTTTGCCGATCAAAGCAAGGTTATTTAAAAACGGAAAGAGAACGGAATCACTTATGCATTAGTCTGGATCATAGATCACATTTATCCGGGGTACGCGTTTGCGCCAGGATAATTGAATAATTTTATCGAGATAGTTCGACGTGTACATACAATTGAAATTTGATAATAAATAGTAAAATAAATGATTGTTTTGTTCTGTATAACTTGATGACTTGAAATACCAACTTACCTAATGCAGACGAATCTCCTCCCGGGTATCTAACATGAACTAGAGTTTGTCGTGGCCCTCGCTTTCGTTTGCTCATGTTGGTGTTGGACATCGACTTCTTTTCCGAACAATCCGAGCCGATAAATGATGACGGACACAAGCAAACATTGACTCTGATGCAGTAACCGCCATTCTTGCAGGGCTTATCGCAGACAGCTGTGTGAAAGTGTGTCAAATGAGTTATTTTTGTCGTAGGTCAATTCGACAATATACACTTCCAAAACGATACGTGATTATTGTAAAAAAGCAAGACCAACATTTCCGTGTTTTGTTTGAGAAAAACAGATTTAAGGAGCGATTACATCATCAAACTCACTTTGGTTTTCTATTGATCTTAAGATTTTAAAGTCAACAATACTTCAGTCAGATACGGAAAAAGTCACGAAGCGGAAGTTTTAGAGTATATGCTATAATAATGGCCGTGTTTTAGTATTTGTTATCGCATTCTTGGGTGAAGAGGGATCATTCTGTATCCCGCTACGTCTCTGCAATGCAATGCAATCTAATCTAATCCAGTTTGAATTAATAGATACATTGGCAAATAACAAATGTTTATAGCACTATTAATAGTTCATCATACAGTCTTAGTACTTTAACTTAGCCAGTTACATGATATTTATTTACAGGAAGCCTCCTTCGTCATATGCGAGTTGAAACGTAGATTATTTTAAATAATTTTTGTTTCGGAATTGAAAAATCATTATAGAATTTGCAATATCTTTGACAACATCTGTACGTGTAAAACTTATATAACAGAAGCAACAGGACTCCTATCACAGCGTTCCGTAATACGAGGTAATCGCCGATTATTCTGTTAATAAAAACAATAAACCGTAAATTAACAACTATTTAAAATTTGGATCAAAAGTCTATTATCTGTGCGATTCACGTCGCCAAACAAAACTGCATGACTATTCGGACACGCTTTTTATTCTGTTTCAACGTCCATAAATAATCCAGCTGTATCAATGTCCAGTTGTCCATCTGAGTTCATTTATTGTCCATCGAATTTGAAGACCCGCAATTAATCACGTATGGTTAGTGGAGGCGGTCGTGTCTATTCAAAATTAATAATTTTTTTTCTAAAGAAAATATTTATGGGAGTGCCAACTGAATATTGTGACTGACCTGCGACATTATTTGTACATCATTTTCATCAATCAAGGATGGTTAAGATGAAAACCCCATTTAGATTTGGATTGATGAAAGAGATTTACCATGATCGCATGCAGTTACTTAACAAGTTTGATATCATTTGGAAAGATTTACACTCCATCTTATTTGTTTTCACAAACTGCAAGATTATACGCGGATGTCCTATTTGAACAGCTTTTTCTAAATAAATAAGTTACTAGACCGATTTCAGATTGGAGTAATCACGAGATCCTCTGGTCTCATTTCAATTTATTTTGAGATTTTCAGATTATCCCGGATAATCACAAATACTCATTGCATTACAAATTGGTCATAGTGTATAGCAATAGATATCTAGGATTTGTATTCCAGGTTGTGAGTCATTATATTTCAATTATGTGCAGTCAAGTTCACAACCATTCCAACTGAATTCAAAGCATACGTACGTGTTATACACATTGCAGTATTTCCTGAAGTCCAACCTTCACAACATTTCGTTCCACAGACATTGGGTCTAAAAACAATTTTTAGCATAATTTATCATGTTATAAAAGTTCCAAAAAATATCTTGTAATTCAGCATAATGAATCTTTTGAAACACTTCACTGGCCACAACCTAGAAACACTATTTAGATTTGATGGTTTGAGAGTTTAAGATTTGAATATTCATTCACCTTGATGCTTGATGTCAAATGTTAGGATGCCAAATGTTAACGAAACCAAAACTCAAACTGAAACTGCTCAGTTATACAATTGATTCTTAGTTGATTTTTTTTTACTTATACTTATCTTAAACTCAATTTTTTAGAAAACGAGTAGACAATTTGAAAGATAATGCAATTCTGTGGAAAGTTTTATTGATCGCTAGAGAATGATTTCTAAGGGTTTCGTTTTTCTTTGAATAATTATATTACGTGAACAAAAAAAAACAAATTTACCCAGATTTACATGTATCGACTATAATCACTATATGTTACTCCGACCCAACATTTTGCTACAAAATAAGTGTAAAAGGGTTACACCGTTTGATGCACAAACATTGACCAACAATTCAAAATAATTTTTGTTTAGAAAATAAATCCTCAATGAATAGCCTACCTACGTATTTGAGCTTAGGTATGACTAAATCAAGCGTAATATACACGGGTGCTGCGAACTCTGTTGTCTAGACAAATACTATCTCTCATGAATATTTGATGATAAGTCTGATTAGGTTGAAATCGTTGAACCAAAATTTGTGAAGAAAAATAGATTTACTGTTTTAAATTATATTAGTACAGTGTATACTCTTAAAACTTATAATCCTATTGCAACTTTGAATTAATATTTTTTTTTTTTAAATTTTGAGAATGTATGCTAAAAGTTTCTTTTTATGAAATACTGTTATTAAATAGAAATATAGTTAGCTCGTGATTTTATCAGCAAAGAAGACAAATCAATGATAATCACAGTATAACGCTTTGTGATATTAATAACTTTTTGAAAACGGGTTTACGTCTTTCACCCTATTCCGTTTTTATACTTTGCAATGGATATAAGATACCACCTACTGTTGTCTGGGTTGAGCAATAGTAGTCCATTGATTCATAAAAACAAGCAATTCTATTTTTCCCAGCTGAGAAAACACAACAATTATGGCAATTGACAAAATTTGAAGGACTCAAAACGCGATGGCAGCGCTAATGAATTACCGTAAATACAAAAAATATTATTATATATTGTAAATGTTACACCGCATCGTGGCTGATCAAATAAAGAAAACATAACTGGGCCATCAGAGGTCGGAAAAGTACTTCAATGCGGTAAAAAGCATTTTAGTTTACGCAGCTTATTCTCGATCGCAACAACAGAACGGGGGTCAGGCGGACAATGCACAATCGAAATTACGTCATTCAGGTCAAATAGGTCAGTTCTCCTCGTATGACGTACTATGTTATATATATATGTGCACAGAAAGTGACTCGACGAACGACAAGTTATAAATGGTATTGTATGTCTGATATGGCTTGGGGGAATGGTTCACTGTAATAAAAACTTTCGTCAATTTTCATCAACTTCATAACGAGGCCAAAAACCATAAAGAACGTTGCTGATATATCGCCTTTCCACCACAGAAAACAAAAATGTTGTTCGGCGGGTTACGAAATTTATCACAGCTTTTCGTGGGTGAAGGTAAAGTCAGAAACAAAGCCACCAATGGAAGAACCTGACAGCCTATACGCATATATAACATGGCTATCGTGAAACAATGGTAAAACCTTTTAACTTCATTATTATGTTATTGTCTCTGTGTCATAGACAAGTAGAAAAATTTGTATAAAAATTTGAATACACGAATGTACATTACATGCTTAATCAATAATACAATCGGATAATATCGCAAGAAGGTGTGTTTTCAGTTATAGCGCACGAAGCCGCATCTCATCCCATTAATGATGCAATAATTAAACTAAATTGCCTATATATGGAGCCATGTATCCCCACATAGTTTCTAGAATGTATTTCCTGGATTTTTATTTCATGTTGTCAAGGTTCTAATGTGCTTATTATGCAACCTTTTGGCATGTGGTCAACTTTAGGCTTGGTAATTTGTTATGTCAAACATTTTAAGTAGTTTAACAATTAAGTTATTGTCGCTCATTTGCAGCATGCAAAATTATGGTTCCATAATATTAGATATATGAGACAAACGAAACATATAAATCACGGTGTGTGGTTGAGACCGTTTCCAAGAATAAATATCGAAAGAAAAATGCAGAAATGTAACTAGAATATTGGAGTAAACTTGAAGAAACCAAACAGAATATATTTTCGTCCCTGTTACAGGGCAAGCGTGTTTGTTGTCGAAACGTATTTTGAGAATGAACTTGTTCAACATCTCATACTTAGAAATGCAATACTTAAATATGCAATTCAATATTTCAGTTAATTTGATGAATTTCGCTAAGTAACAAAATACAAATAACAAAACGTTGTTTGCAAACAAGTCTGATGGCATCGACAAAAACAACAATAGGGAAGAAGTGATATCAATTCTAGGAACTGACGCCGTTGTAGAAATAATTACGTCAAAAATAGTAAAGAGGTAACATTTTAGAAACCTTGATTACTATGAAAAATCGGCTGCAAATCACAAAACATTAAGAAGTAATTAAAATTGATAAAACGTCATCAGGAAAAAGTTGGGCCAATAAATCAAATTTAAAAACAATAAAATTGAATAAAATTAAAATGCAGTCACAAATTTCTAGTCACATTTTTTAATGGGTAAAGGAATAGAATATTTCATAATTTTAAATCAAAAAATCTTACCCGACTAATGTTTGTCTGACCGTTGAAGAAGTCACGGTAGATTTATATCGATACCCTCCTCTATAGACAGATCTTGGTGATGTTCGTCGGGATAGCCCACCATATCTTCTGCTTACAGATCTTCTTGGTGATGAAGACACCAGTGACATAAAAGACAATATAATCACTACCACGATTGCAATTTTACATAACAGTTTCAAGCGTGAGTGTCCTATTTTCCCACTTTTACAATTTTCATATTGAAAATCCACGGCCGTCTGCATTTTTCTACTGAGTCGAGTTCACCTTTTTGCACTCAACATTTGAGAAAGACTTATTTCAGTATATGCTGAAAAATATAACGTAACAAGATTTCTTAGTGACATGTAGTCCAATTATAAACACCAAAGATAAACAGTGTTACACGTTTAAAAGAGTCAAAATAAGTTGTTTTTTCATATCGAGATATGCTGCGGATTGGAGCGGATTGCTACGAGTTAAGAGCAATACTCTTATTTCAGACTAAATTGAGTTTATAGTTATAGTTTTATGTAAATCAGCCTCGATTATAAGTAACTGACTAACTTTTAAAACCGCCTATAACTTTTCTGAAGGAACTATAAAAGAACAACAGTATTTGTCATACACTCACCATCAAAAATTAAGTGATCACTGAATATACGGCTAAATCTTATAGAACAAGTTGGTTTGGAAACTTTATTTTCCTCATTTGAACAAAAACGAAACTGTTGTTATTTGAGACCCGTGGATGGATAGTATAATGTTATCGAATGTGTTTCTTGAAATAGTTATCGTCATCTTGAATGTTATTAAATGGAGGCTTGTTGTACTGTGTTGTTATTGATAAATATTCTGAACACAATTTAGTATGTAGAATAAATTCTATCAACTAAATAAAACAGTTTTTGTAATATCAATTACCAATTTAAGTGCATGATCTTTTTAAATTTGAAACGTTATACCTCGTCAAATATCGTCTCCAATTCAGTTCGTGATACTGATTCTTAAATCTGCTGCAGACAATAGTATTTGCTAATCTTAACTTAACTTGTAATCTACGTCATGTAGACATGTCCTCAAGTGTGCAAAGACAAAGACACTACAAAGTGTACTTTTGAGGCTTTCAAGTCTTCCGACCAATATCTTTAATACAATCTATCAGATGGTTAGCTCCGTAAATTTGCTCTATACGCGGCAATATTGCTTTTTTTAACTTTTAACCTGTTTGCAAATGAGATTTCAGGACTCGGTAACAAGAGACAATTCGGCCGACTTAAGATATGCCGAATAACCGAAGGCTATAGAACGAAAGCCGTTTTATAGATCGAGACCGAAAGTTTTCCTTAACCGCAAAAAGCTCTAATCGCGTCCGGTAGATATTGGATCCGCTTAATGCTTTCAAAATCATCTGAAAATATTCCATTAACGTGTACCCAAGTATCTCTATATCAAACTTCACCAAAATGACCCTACTAAAGTACCACGAATATCAAACCAAAAATACCAACGATTCTAATACGTTGAGAGTTAAATCAACTTGCTTTCTAGAGTAAATCAATTTAGTGCAATTGAGTCAGCGAGTAAATAATTTCAATTTTCTTGCTTGAATGAGAACTAAAAGGACAAAGTTTCCAAAATACATTTTGCATTCTTAGCGTAAAATAATGTTATAAAAGGATTGAAATTATAAAGCAAATTATTAGACCTAAATTTGGAACTACTATCGACACTCCTTCACTCTTCTGCTAATCTCTCCTATCGAACAATATCAAGCTCTTTTATAACAATTATAACGCTTTGGGTAATCCTAGCGGGAGACTGAAATCATTAATTTGGCAATATACAATCTGGCCACCATAATAATTTGCGGTAGGATGAAAGAGTTTATTCAATAGCTATTACATACCAACCATCTTATTCACACTTTCAACTTTCAATTGGTCAAAATATTTTCATTATTAAGTTTGTTATCTTGTAAATAAAATCAGTACAAGAGGAGTTCACAAGGGTATTCAACGTTTCGTGTTTCCGTCACGCGTAAGATATTCGAAAATTGCTCTTACTCGTGTTTGAACCTTAAATAAAGGACGACCAAAGGCTATCCCTTGAATGGATAATACTAGAATGTGTATATATTTCAGATAACTAGAAATTAATATAGTAATCTTCGTAGTTCGCAGTAACTTGTTCAGGGCAAATATCATTATTCACAGTCCCGTATGCTCAGAAAGATAACAGTATGTTGACAAGTACTATAGGGTACCTTAGCTCACGGGTTCTTAAACTTTTGGTGTCGCGGAGCCCTTCAAAACTTGAAAAGGTTGACTATTATTCACGGAGCCCCAAAAGAAATGTTAAAATTGTTACTTTCAGAATAATATTCCTGGGTAAGTTAAAAGTGCTTTACTTAATTTAAATACTAAACCTTTTTTAGTAGGGTTAATACAAGTCATAAATAATCTAAATTTCAAAGATAAAATATACATACTACAGCTGTAAACTTGACACTTGATAAACATATCAATAAATTAGAAGCCGGAGTTTTTTTTCCCTCTTGACATTTTCGAAAGATTTAAAAAGCGCTAATAACGTGCGCGATTGTATTTTGTTACAATCGCCGATTGTTTTCGTCAGCGTGGGGTGTTTTTAAACATCTTTACGCCGGTGTTTATTCTCCCTAAATCGAAAATTTCCTTCGGCATACATGTATTGTTCCACAATGACGACGATAATTTCTTTTTTTGTTCTCGTGGGGAATTATGAGTTCAATGTGGAAAACAGGTTTCCACATTATAGTCATCGGCGACGAAATACCAAAAATAATAATTAATAAAGAGGTAAATCCGCAACTCAAATTTCTTGAATGAAAAACTGCATTTTAAAATAATAAAACTTAAAATGGAAGATCACACTATAAGTTTGGTTTCAGCAGACTCGCGTCATATTGAAAACGCTTTCACAGACATTGTAAATCACAAAATTTGGTGTTATGTTAGTTTTTAAATCAAAATATAAAATATAAAAATATACTTATACTTTGGTTATTCATCGTATAGTAACTGTGAAATCGAAACACAGTCAATTGTGCACGCGATGTATTCATTCATGCGATTCATTCTGAAAATACCGACGGAGCCGCATGCAATAAAATAAATTTTAATCGTTCGTATTTTGCCCAGACCTTGTGATTTTTTAAACGGCGATATCTTTCTTAAAAATATCAATCAAGTTTGAAAATCCCAAGATCGCAAAAATACGACTCCAATTTATTTATAGTTGGCAGTTTATAACGTATGTTATGTTATTTTAGAATAGTATTTATTCATTTTAGTAATCCTAATACTAATTTTGAATCAAACGTGAATAACGATGAGCACAATTAAATTATTACGACAAGATACTTTAAAAGTTCGCATCGGTCATGGATTGAATATTTTACGCAACAGAAATCTCGTTATCCGTTTTTTTAAACGCCGAGAATGTTGCGCGGAAATTTCAGATTCCAATTTTGAACCCCCCCTCTTAATTAAGAATACTGGCTGCGCTCCAGCTTATAAATAATGTCATTTTTTAATTCCGCCTCTTTGCCATATTTCGAGACTATATTGTATTCAAATTTATCAAAGCTGTTATCGCTTCAGTTACAGAATTAGCCAAGTCAGTATTTTGAAAAGTAATCGAATCGCTCGCGGAGCCTCTGGGTTTCTCTCGCGAAGCCCTGGGGTTCCGAACGGAGCACTTTGAGAACCTATGTTGATCTAATTCAAATCAGTAACTTGCTTCAGTTCAACTGAAGCATCGCCTATCATTTTGATATTCGGATCGTTGGAAATTTCATTATACGTTCTCGACTCTTGTAACAAAACAACGATGCGTTCTGGAAAGGGCAAGTATTATCAAGTGTCGAGTATTAGTATATTTGTTCTTCGTTATGCTCCCTAAACAGTATCGTGCATCACTCTTTTTATTACATGCTCTATTTCACTGTAATTATCGCATGACTATAATATACTGAGCTGAAATATGACGGTTATATTCAACCCACAGAACTGTTGAACCCGTGAGACATCAAATTTTTAAACTCTTCACAAACTAAATACTCAATATTACAACTATTAAATTCAATTCGATCGTTTGTGGCGGCGAAGATTCCGCGAACCTGAGACTACGGTAGGCTTTCATTACGTGTTATAAGTTGAAAAGTTGATATGTCAGGATTAAAATATATTTCGTTACGCATTTAATAGATTATTATCTCTATAACATTGCACCATCTGTTTGTGAGGTAAATTGTTTTCCTATAACTGTACAAAGCAATACCTAATAAAGATGAATAGCTCTGTTCAAGAGTAAAGCTACGTAAAACATCTATTTCATTTAATACATTTGCAGTGCAATATATGTTTTCTCCAACATAGTATCTGTCCTGTCACTACTACAAATCCTTGATCATTTAAAGTATATTCGTAAACTGATAAATTTATCGATGTATTTAAATGGTCGTTGTGTTTTGCGAAAAAAGTTTTTACCCAAATTATCATTTTTTACACCATCCAGTTTCATATTATTGCCTTACCCGTTGGTCTAAACTTTTGTATTTATCTATACCCAAATCACCTCGCTAAATCCAATGTTCGTACTGTGAGCACTATACCTCAGATCAACAAGTCATGCGGACTCTTCTTCCCTTTGATCATTTATCTAACTGAAAAATGTTTTATTCAGTAATGATAATTCATAACCCTGCATAAATACGGAGTTGGCATTGACAACTAAACCAATCTGGCGGTCTGGTGCGGTACCAGTGCTGGTACATAAGAGAATAAGGGCATTTATGTACAAAGTCAAGTTCAAGTATATATATCTTCGCAGTTTAAATACATGTTCAGCATGATCAATATCGTATACCCTACTTTAGTTCAGGAAGTTTCAAGAATGGGTGTGCCTTATTGACTTGGAATAATTAAATTTCTGTTCCAAGTACAAGAAACAATGGCACGTACAAATCACGTAGAGAGAAATTGTAAAGCAATTAAGTAAACGCACTATTCTGTAAACATTAGGAAAGCACTTCAAGGCACAAAACTAAATGTGGATTGGTTGGTATCTGTTTGTTATGTAAAAGTATGGCGTGAATTGCACATTGGAGGACATTGTTTAAACGGGCGTTGATATATCGAAATATATGTCAATCATATGTAAACCAATGATAATAGATATTGCCACTAATCATTGTGGTGGTCGGAAGAGCTGCTTGATTTATACGTGTAGTAAAGTTATCAAATTTTTACTGTAATTCAATAAATCGCCGAGCTTTCAGATGCTTCATGGAAAATTCAAATTGTTCAAACGTTTTTATTTTCATTGCCAAGCTTCTCACAGAACTGAATTTTTAAACTGAACTTGTCAACTATGGACTTTTAATGTACTTTTCATCAGCGGCCGTGTTCCTTTAAAACCAATACTGCAATACGATAACGTTGATAATATTTTTGTTTAAGAGTTGAAAGAAAGAGTTTCTCTCATTAGGTTCGTTCCGTTCGTTTTAAGTTCGTGTCTTGACTTAGATAGCAAAATTCTGTTCAAAATATTTTTCTAAACCAGCAATTTTGTAGAACAGACTTCAGATGCCAAAAAAATAAAAAATAATGTCAACATTAAATGGCAAGCCCCCTTACAACTCCGTATATGTTTGTATTACATGTCCATAATTGCTGCCAATGCAATCATATTTATTTTTATGGAATGTTTTCTTGACGTGCAACGATAATAAAACAATAACAACAATCCATATACGAACTTACCAATATAGTTGATTTAAAATGAAATTCCTGTAGTAAACTAAGTAATATTCAATTTTGTGAATTCACTGGCTCCCATTTAACACAAACAAATCTTAAGTTTATTTGTAAGCTCAAATCAAAAAAACAATTTTGTACGAAAACCGATATTAATTTCTTTGAGGTGGTCTAGCATGTCGGTAGGTATTGACTGAGATTTATTGCTTTGTAAGCGATAAGTTTGTCACTTAATATCATATTTAAACCAAATCAATGATCACACGGAAATAAATTAAAGAATCAATTTAGTATGAAACTACCTGTGTCAATAAACGACATAGTACTTTTTTTCAAAGTTTTAAATTGCTTTGTTAAAACGTAAAACTATTTCTATGATTTATCCACTATAAATGTTATCTTCTAAACTTTTGCACCTCACGATTTTCTTCATCTTTATATCCAGACCGTAACTCTAGGATACTATCCTGTAAGCGACCTCTACTTATTTATCACTGATCTGAAAAACATATTATCGACTCTGGAGTTTTATTATCATCTGTCGAGGAAGAAGACGAGGAGGCTGTCTGAACTTTTTTCCATGAATTGGTATATTTTTTTGAAGCACACATACGCTACCTAGTGATGTGGTTACAGTTTGTTACCTCGAAAATTTGAAAATGGCAGCGGCACAAATGCAATACACCATGGTACGAATCGTATATTGACAACTTGGAGTATATACCTTATATTAGAATATACCTGTAGTAACTTTTAATTTATTAGCAAAAGTAGGTCTCAATATCAAAGTCGAGTCGTAAATCGGACGCTTCCATACAGCTTACTGCTGACCCTTCCAATTGAACTGTTAATTGGTCAAATCTGAATTTCAACTTCATTTTTTTCGAAAAAAAAAATACGTTGTGAATGACCTATATATCCATTGGAAATCCACGACAAATCTTTACAATATCACAACGATCATCAACGCGTCACGCACAGTGCAGTTTAGCGTAAATACACACTATCGCTTACCGCAAATATTTTGGGCGAGCTTGAGTCGGATTTGGAAATGTTGACATTATATATGTCTTGGGTTTGCCACAAAGACCCCCTGGCACTTAAAAGATAGGCTTTATGTGTTTATTGTTTTCATTTGGTGATACCATAGCTGGTTAGTGACAAAATGCGCATAGTATACTCCGAAAGGTGACGGCAGGTTAAATACGGTATTTTGACTGGTGTAATTTGAGAACGTTTAACTTATTACCGAATATCTTTGAGGTTTGTATGAAACCTCCAACTAAAATATGGTATTTAGCAATACAATTTACAAAAAATGAAACAGCTTCTGGCATTTAGGGGTAATCATAAAACTTATTACGTAGAAGGACGGTCCGATATTTTGTATCCTAATATTAACCCACGTTTATCCTGAAAAGTATCACAAGTCGCAACTCTACTATCCGGGCTCTTTTAACTATAAGTTTATGGGAAACTTGTATAAAGAAAATTCCGATTCGATAAATTCCTGAGACACTGCATATAATTTGCGCGGATGATTTCACTGTAATCGCGGTGCTGTAATAATATGGTAAGCCATATATCAAGCCTAATCTTTCACTGTGAAAATACTCATCCTAGCCCTACTTTGAACACACAAAAAGAATCAAGTATGCAGAGTAATGTTAATAAAACATAATAAGATTCAAAATCTTTGTCTAAATAAAAGTCTCGGTCAAAATGTGACGTCAACAGTGTCACAGTATCGTCAATTAAGCACGATAGATGTCATGAGAGAGCAGATCGGAGCCAAAATAATGAACATTATTGTTGCATCATGCCTGTCACCTGAATATTCAAATGAAAACATTATATATATGTATAATATTAATTGTTCTAAAACAATTAAAAGCGGCGGTATTAAGGAATAACGCAGTGAGTTTAAATTGTAGATACATTTCGGTCTTAGATAACCAACCTTACTGTTTACACTAACAGGCATTTAATATGCATACAGAACGATTATTATTATTAAAAAGTCATTGAAATTACCTGAATTTCCGCCTTTGTTGTTGTTCTGTATAAAATATAAATAAATATTTAGTTGCCACTTTTTGCAAGAACAAAAAATATATTCTTGGGTAACTGACACCTGCCCATACGTTTCACCAGCATACCTCGAGATAATATTAGCAATGTTACTAGTGTTTGTCACGTCTTTAAATCGCTAAGGATTAGAGGACACTAGCCCTCATAACATTCCAAAAATCATTTAATATAAATTACAGTTACTTCATATTATGTAGTTGCGGATGGCCTATTCCATTTTTTTATATAAAGCTTACTAAATACTATTAGCAGAAAATTACACGCTACCTGTAAATATCCAGGATCGGGTTCAGACTTCTTCTTTTCTTCGTCCGCTTCTGAGAAAAAAGTTAATATCAGTGAGAACTACTGGGTCAAATTCATATTTCGAAAAAAACATAAACATTATAGTTATATACGAATCTATAGTTATATTCTGATTAGAACACGCATAATCGAGGTTGCTAAAAAGAAAGTACCCTCTGAGTTAAAATGTTAGTATTAATTACATGTTATAACTAGTTATTTTGTTCATATTTTGCTTGAATTTTTTTTAATAACATAAAATTTCAAATCAATTGAATTGATCTTTTATAATATCCAAAATCTTAAAAGAAATTTAATTTGATCAGTTTGAAAAAAAGTTGGTACTGTTGTGTTATTGTCCAGGCCCTAATTTCGATATCTTTTTATTCTATTTCTCTTAATTTCGGTTAGATTATTGGCCTCGCCTATCACCTTAACTTAGTATAAACGAGTTAGAGAAAATAGATTAAGAGATTAGGGGTGAGGCAACCCATGAATAAGGAAAAAACTTGATACTAGAAATGTATTAGGAAATGAGGAATACAAAACAATGTTTATATACAAGAATTTAGCTTTCATTGACAGATATCTTTGCTAGGACCTAGATTGTCTATAAAGCAAGGTCAACTCGCTACTAAACTAGAACATACGGACCTGTGTACGAACCTATATACACAAAGTTGCCACATTATGGATGGCACTAAGAAGATATTAATATGAACAGAGTTACCAGGATGTAAATTCACTTTCTCTCCTTTTCCATTTCTCGCATTTGTTGAATTCATTGAGTCAACAATGTCAATCATACCAGTTCGACTTATCAAAAACTTTTGATCTTTGTCCACATCATCATCCTGTAAATAAAATATTGAACATACGAGTTATTTATCATATATTTGTTGGAATCAGCCTCCTAAAATTATGATTGATATCAATTGTGCGTTAATGCAGTGAATTTGATACCATTTGTGTCGTACTTCAGCATATATATTATATAGTTTGTCAATTGAATCGAATTATGATTTACTTTGTGCAACATTTTCACGCTATGCTTATATTTATATTTACCTCTGCAGCACGTTTACGACGATACTGGGCTTCGGGATCACAGGCATAAGGACATTCGGGAGAACTTTCGCTGTTTATCCTACACACGATAAACTTGCAATGGATGTAAACCTTGAAAATAAATTTCTGTACACGTTTCACATGGTCGATTACAAGACAAAGGAATTCAAATCAAGCATAATTTTTTTAAAGTGAGGGATGCACACCGTACACACCAATCGAATCAGGGCGAATACATTGTTCAATGTGCTCGATCGTTGAGAATCCTAGCCACGTTAGAATGTCACGGGGGCACGATGAAGAAATTCGTATTTTCATTGGTTTGTGGTATCGCAATGTTAATTTTGTAATCTTTAATAGGTACTGTACTTTTGCCCAACTTACTTCCAAGTAGAAACAGGAAGAAGTATCCAGCTGATTTAAATTTTTCGTAGTAAATATTATACAAAACCCCCAAAACAAGAGACAGAAGAATAGGCTATAATATATACTACATACTAAATACTCTTGTGAGATGGTTAAATTATTATCATATGTTTTACAAAAATCGGTACAATGTTTATCCCCCACTTCAAACACAGGCATTTGAGAACTCACATTTCTAAAATACCCAACAAATCTGAATGCTTCAACGCTAAATCTCGACACTTTGCGATTCGGATTATCCTCAATGATGAAGGTATCATCTTCGACGCATCTATGAAATTTCAAAAGTAATACATTATATTATTGTCAATAAAATTTACATACGAAATGCAATAAATAGAGTCAATTTAACAATATACTCCACCTAGCAAGATTAGATAAAATCACACCGTTTCCAGTTAGATTTGATGATGCGCAATTAATATATATATACATATATATAACACGTTTGGTAAACTCGTTAGTTCAATTTACTGGACTTATCTCAATCAGTTGTCAACAGTACATTATATTCATTCCAAATTATCCCTTTTGCTCAAGGGGTAGTAAATTATGTAGGCTGTACTGAAGTTTCTATGTAGGTTTTATAGTCTGATTGGCTAGGTATACGTTTCATGGTGTCATATTTTATTACATCGCATTTATTCGACTTACCCGTCTTGAAGCATCACATAATTGTTCGAATTGAATTCATTTCCATCAGGGGTAGCAAAACAAGTTATTGGATGAAGTTCAACTCTTACACTTGGCATATTTAACGTGACCTGAGAAAGTTTTAAATATAAACTTGCATATGGTAGCTTTGCGTTGTTTTCAGTATTAGTAACATTCGTATATATTACGCGCTAGTTTCTTTACCAAAGATGTGAATGCTGCTTAATTGTTTAATCGTTTTTGTTCACAATAAAATAAATTTAAGAGACAAAGATAAGAATGCTGCTTAATCGTTGTTGTTTTCAATAAAATAAATTCAGTATATAATTCCATAAAATCGTATAGTATTCTAGATTTCCATGATCCATATATAAACGATTACTGCAATAATATTTATTCTTCTGGTGTTTCAAGCAAAATATAATAATTTTGAGAATATTTCCTTAACTTTAGAAGACTTCTCATTGATATTTGAATCTCCGCATTCAGATATTTATTGCGAGATAGTGGATAAGCAATTATTTTAATTTTTACGTACAGTGGACATATATATTTATTTAATCGGGTGTTATAAAGTCATATTAGAAAATATGATGACCGCATGTTCGAGCTCGTTGGTGATGACAATGGATTACTATTATTGAATTATAGATAAATCAATCATATTACGTTTTCTGTATTAGTCCCATTACAATTCAACAATAAGTTTAGAAAAACATCTCAAGCTGAAAACAGAAATCCTTTAAATTTTTTATCTAACGAGTAGGGCGTATATACTTACCTCAAGAAACACCCGATCTGACAGCATCACCTTTACCGGATATGCTTCCCGCTCGTATGGACAATCATATTTTTCAGTTTTATACAATAACATCACGTGGTTGAGTTGCGGACCCTCCCCTTGCGTCTTGTAAACAGGGGGCTTGGGATCTGCCGGTTGAAAACTATGCTGCGGAAAGATGAAAATGCGATAAAAAGAATTCGAAAGCAAAACAGTCCATCCAAAATTTAGTTTAATTTGAGTAAGTAACTAACGCATATTTGAGTTTTATTTAAATTTAACTCAGCGTTGGTTGGACTCAAATTTCAAGTAAGAACAGTATTGTAATGTTTTTTCTCCGAAATTGAATAAAAATGCATTTACGGTCGAGATGTCAGACTGAAAATAATTTCAATACGCGTAATAACATGGATTTCTATGTTGAAAGTCGCTGTCAATAATTTATTTACACTTACAGAAACAGTATGTTTGCTTGGATATCTGCAGTCTAAAACCATAACTTCTGTGAGAGACGAAGCCATTTTGTAATCACGAATGATTCCAGATCCACTGGGCAAAAGTCTAATTGTATTGCGAAATGAAAGCTTGTTTTTCCTTGGAACATTCTGTGATAAAAATAGCAAGGTATAAGTGAATTCATGGCGCAAAAATAGAGAAAAATAAATAAATAATAAAATAATATTACAATAATTCTTTAGAGATTTCCTTTAGTTAGAATCACAACAATGTTTTTGATTCAATTCGAGTCAGGCATTGAATTTGGGCTGCAGTAATAGCGTTCTTGAATACCCAATTAGTTGCTGATCTATAATACTTTTTTCAGTTTTGCCTTTATGGAGCAGTTCTCATAAACCAATTAGTTATCCTATAGCGACCGTGTTGTTGATCATCGAATAATAAATTTTATTCTACATATGAACTTTTAGTTTATTTATCCATTTGAATATTTAATGCAGCGTCTTCATATTTCTAAAGTTCAAAACACTAACAGCGAGTAGATAAATAAAATACATTCTTTATTTTTGAATTTATTCTAGGAAACGCTGTTGCATAGGATACAATTGCAATTGCCGTTGGGTTATAGCTTTCGGCCTCTTCTTCCGGGCTAAAATGAAATATTTTGGGACCATACTGTGTCCGGGCTTGTATTGTCGATTTTGGCCGGTTTTATTATATAAATGGGAGCTTGCTTACTTATAAACGTGTACTAGGGCATTTGAGCTGTGTTTTAAGTCCAGATTCTAATTCGAACCAGCTCACCTCGACAATCGTTCCACAGCTGTCAAGATTTGTGTGAACAATCAAATGAGTTCGGTTTCGTCTTGGTCTGCAACTTGCATTGTTTAATACCACTTTAGTATTTTCCAGCTGAGGGAAATATTTCAAAGGACATGCTGCTCTTATGTAATTCGGGTGGCATTTTAAACTACACGTACGGCGCTCTTTCTTTTGGACGCCTGGCTTCGATCCTATGTTAAATAAAATTTAAAGTATAAGTTAAAAAAAAACATTTGGCAAGACAGGATTTTTGAATACTCATTCTGTCAATTTTTGGATACAAATATGACGCATGCATTATTATATGACATCAGAAAATTATTTTTGTTTATTAGTATTTAGTTGCATGGTACGCGTAAGTTCACCATATGTATGTTGTGACCACATAAAATTTACGAGTTGTATTTCTATTAAATTGCAATATCAACTAGATTGACTAAGAAACAAGCTTATATTTGTAATTTCTGTTTTAAACTCACCGCTTCCAGTTTTCCTCGTAATTTCTCCTGTAGGCTCTTCAACCATTTCTTCCGGATCGTTCGGAAGATCGGATACCTCTGGTCTGAACTTGGTTGAGGAATTAGATTTTAGCATCATCCTAGCTTCGTATTCGGCTTCAATGTCATCATAATCTGCCGTAACCTTCATTGGAAAATGTTCGCCTTCTTTTCCTTCTTGTGCATTTTCACCATCTTCAGTGTTAATATTCGAAATATTATTTGCAATTATTATTTTTTATAAAATGATAATATGTAATAAATTGTAAATGATTTTTAGGGAATTTTAAACACATCACCCCCAACCGTCTCTGAAACAATATTGTTTCCCAAAGAATAGGTTATAGTTTACAGATACCATACTATGAATATACTTATTTTCGTGTCTAAAGAATAAAAAAGATTTTCAAATTGCTGGAAAATTAAATTGCCCAGTGACCTTATTAATCTATCGCGGGGTGACAGTAATTTATTTTGACGCATCATTTTTCATATCACTATAATTTATTATTCAATTTTCATCTGGAATACAATTTTCCATATTTCATCATACTAACACCAACACGCGAGTGAAATTTTAATGGAAATTTAATAATTCATATCTTATGTTTCATAAAATAATACCTGCGGACATGGCCTCAGTGTACTCCTGTTTATTGGTGTCGTTTTGAGACAATTGTTTGTATTTCTTTTGGCCGATGAAGTCGACCTAAAGTGCAAAAATAAAGCTGCATTATGCATTACATATGCATTAATATTTCACAAACGGTTTGAAAATTATCCGCAAAACTTGTATATTACTTTCTGAAATACTAAAAGCATTTATTTGTGTTATTTTTTTCCGTAGAATGTATATATCATGCGGAAATAATTTATTGCGGAAATTCATTGTAAATTTCATAATTTGGAAGATTGCTTAATTTCATCAATTATTCAGCTGAAATCAACTTCAAATTCTCTTTATCTTTCTGTGAAATTTTTATTACGCATTGTTTTATTACCATACGCCATATTACAGCAATTTATAATTCGGTATTCATGTAAATAACAGATGTAACGTACTGTATACTGACCTCAATATCCTTTGGTCGTCCCTCCCCGGTTCCGTTTGAAAACACCAGTCCTGTAAATAAAATAAAAAGGATTAAATAAAAATGAGAAAGCTATTTAATGGATACACAATCAATAATTAATATTTAATAAAATTATATGAATATGAATTGCGCTTACCGCTGGAATTTCTTTTTACGTCTTCGAATATCGGTTTAACCTCCATGATCGGGTCCTTTTCGCAAACATATGATTCCATTTTTGCGCATTGTGTATCGTAAAACGAAGCTGCTGATCTTTTTCCAAATATCTAAAACAATATTAGCATACGCACACTCGTTTTTAATCTAAACCTGATTTTATCGTTGACAAAGTATGTCTAACGAAGTCGGTTACTAATTAAATATAAGTCACCTTATAGTGCTACTGTAAAATGTCCGCAAAGCATAGAATAGTGTTAATTCGAAGTACCGATTTCTGCTAGCATTTTTATTCTTCGTATCGAGTAAATAAGTTCATAGTTTTTAAAACGCAAGAGAATTTCCTGATATGATTGAAGGAAATTTATGGTATCAAACACTCAATCTTACATTCGCTCACATATTGCGATCACCGCATCCAATGTTAGAAGGTGACAGACGACAGCGAACATATAGATTAAGTATTCGAAGCTTTTACGTGCTAAAGTCATGTTTGTTTTTATTCAATACAGCCGATATCGTTTCGGAGAAAGTTAACAGAGAAAATGAATTTAAAGTGCAAAGTGGTCTTTAGAGCTGAACAAGGAATCGAAATCACAAAGTAAAAAATGATCCGTTGTGTGGTACTGCAACGTGTTCATGATCAAAACCATATTGCGAACATAGGATTATGTATATACATGTGTTTATTAAAAATATAAAAATAAACAGAATAAATCAAATCACCCATATCGCCATTTTTACGCAATCCTGTTGATCACCGCGACTTCCCGGCTCTGCACTCTCAGAGCTGTCGGGTTCTCTCGCGGTCCATGACTTGAAACTTGATTGCAATGTTGCCCCATCATCTGCCCATTTGAAGACACCTTCCTCGGCCTAAGATAATAGCAATACTTAAAAATGATGTAAAGAATCAAATTTTTTTTTCATATATTACTTTCGTTAATGCATTACTGAGAAGTGCGCATAAGTTTTGAAAATTTATTAAAGAGCATTTTTTTTCTTCCGTATAATGCCTGTACAAGCACAATTTACCTGATCAGAGAGGCCGATCCAATATCTCTTAGTGTATGGCCTGTTTTTTAAAATGTAGTTTGCAAGACTTTCTATTTCAACAGAATGTTTCGGAGTTGCCAATGTTGATCCAATGTCATCACATTTTTCCAGGGCGCCCTGAATAACAAAGAAAATAGGGCATAGCTACTTGAGGAGTACTACCTGTAGTTACATACTACCACATTTATGCGTCAAAATTGCCTATGTATCACTGGAACAAATTATTTTATTCAAGTGCAAAAATTTTGATATTAAAAAACTCATTACTCCTATGATATCTGGAGAATAATACATTCCAGCTCTCAAACAAAAATGAGTGATATTATATATATAGTCACAGGTTACCTCGAAGGAAGCCTTTGCATTGAAAAATTTGTAACATTTCGGTATAATTTCCACGCCTTCGGGTTCACTAACAAACGGAATCAGCGTAAAACCTTTTGTACACGGTTTCTCTGCAAGGACATTTATTTCAGAAATCTCTCTAGAAACAGTCGCTGTAATAACCAAAAGGTTTAGGAAAACAGAAATCAGTGCTGTTTTCAATCCCATGTTGATAAGTGCATCCACACTGTAATACAAATGTAACAAATTTTATCATTAACAATAATACCGCATCCCTTTCAAAAATATTTTCAACACTTGGTTGGTATGTCCTTTTGAAATATACCATATATTTTTCTTGATAATGGGCGAGACACTACATTTACAATTTACCTCCTTCGAAAAAAATATATAACAATATACCTGAAGACTTGGATACATTGGAAGCAGTCTGTAGGTCCCTTGATCAAAGTATCGCCGCACTATTCTCAATTGTAAGTGCGTAATATATAAAGCATTTCAAATAACTTCTTCTTATAGCACACAGAACAAGAAAAAGGCTGACATGAGAGAATATCTTCTCATAATAAAGAAACCGACGAGTCGCATATAGCAGTTTATGGTTCAGTTTCGACAGAAGGCCAATAAGGAAAATAAATTCATTTTACACGATTTTCAAAACTCATTTTTGTCGTATTCATCATTTTGTAGGTTTGAACCCAGTCCATAGTCTGACAGCAGTACTTATTATACAAAGACCGATGAGCACGTCTCGGAATCCAAAAATTCTAGGACAGTCTATGGCTCTATGCCTTAGATCAGGGGTTCTCAAACTTTTGGTGTTATGGATCCCGTGATTAGGTTGGCTTTTATTTACGAAGCCCGCAACAAATTTCTAAAGATAAAACCGGTGCTACCGTTGTCAAAATTTATAAATGCCGTTTTTGCTTATTTGGATTCGGTCGAATTCCAGCATACTTAGAACTGTCATGTTATATGTCTCATAGCGGTATGTAGTGTAAGTTGCCGAAATAGTATTCGAAAACTCCAATTTTGAAAGTTTCAGGAAACACCCCAACTTTGGTCACTGAGTCGTAGTAACTTAGTGTCCGAATGAAAAGAAATCATCTTAAATAAGCTCAATATGGAAGACTGTCAACGTGTCAAGTGTCAACGCTGCTAACATCTCACTAACAAAATTTTGCGTGTTCTATTTTTCGTTTGATTTGTCAAGGGATATAGTCGTGATATATATATATATATTACAGGTTCGGAACTTTTGCTATAAACAGACTTAATTTAATTATCTCGAATATATATGAACGTGGAAGGCGAAGCAAAATAAAATGAGAGATGTCTTTCACCACAACTAGGGCTGGGCATTCCGAATCGAATATTAAAATATTCGAATCGGTTCAGAGCAAAATTTCGAATCGCCGCCATAATCTTTTTTTTTTTTTTTCCGCTAACGGCCGGGGTACATTACTCAATTTTTTTTTATTGAAGCCATATTTTTCAACGCAATCCTGACGTATGACCCTTTTCTGTAGTGAGGTATTGATGAAAACGTGTTTTTTTTATTGTGTGTGTGTGAACGCTCAGAAATATGCCTGAGTGATGTACTCTATGTTTTCAGTAATTTATGTGTCTGGATGACCTAATACAATAAAAAAACTACATACAATTTTATATCTCCCAAGTATTCGAGATTCGATTAGATTCGAAAAAAATACTCGATTCGATTCTGAAATCATCAGGTATTCGAAAATGCCCAGCCCTAACCATCACACTGTCAAACAGTGAAGTTGCCAGAACAATATATTCCAATAGGTATTAAACACAAGTTTTGTTTACGTATTTATTAGCTTTATTTATCGAAATATTGATATCGCAACAAATCGACTCCGAGAATATGATCTTATACGTTTTCATATTTACATTATATTACTTTTATTTTTTGTTTAAACGTGTCAGGTGAATCCGTTGCATATTAGTATAACATATCAGTTTGACCAGCTGATAATTTTTTGTCACATACACATCAGGCGATAATAGTTTTTCGTGAAGGAATAGCTTTTTCTTTATCATTATTTATGGTACCGCGAGGGTAATTTCGACCCAGACAAGACTAAGACATTAGAGGACATGACAAGGTATAGTATCTTAAATACAGATATTATGTTAATTTTTTGCCTATAAAAAAATTACGATTTTCAATTCCCACTACATCACATCTAATCTACATGCATATTGATAATTTATTGCAATATTTATATTTATTAAGATACCAACAAATAATGAAATGCGCCACAATAAGTGGTCAAATAGCAAACTATTTCTCATCACTTGCATGACTGCATATCTAATTCAACGAACAAGGGCAGGTGATCAGATCCAATTCTCAATGCCCTCAGTGGATTGGTCTCTTTGAAATCATCACGTGACGGAGATACATGATTAAGAAGGTCAGACTGTCTCGAGTCCAACAAGGCTGTTTCCTGAGTGATGTTTTTTCTTTCTAGTCGTCTGGAAAATGCGCTTAAAATTGTAGATTTATGATTGCCGTTATCTGCATGAATTGAAAGTGTAAATATTTGCAAAATAGTTTTACGCATACAAATCTTTATTCAACATCAAATTTCGAGTAATATAAGTGAAATGGAGGGACGATCATAAGGTGAATCGTAACCCTGCCTGCCAGAACCAATCAAGTTTAATAATATATATAATAGTCACACACTTCAGTGTTCCAAAAGCATGGTTTGTTATAATGGAGGGAGTCGAAAAACCTCACCTACATATCGATTTATATATATATAACAGTTGGATATATACACAAAGCAAATACAAATATATATAACTATCAGGTAGGGTTACGCAAGACTAACTCCTTTCCTTGCTCTATGCCAGGGGTCGGCAACCTACGGCCGCTTCACTGAAATATAGTAACAAATTATAGCTGTTTTGTCGACTATATTCTTTACGCAAAAGAATTTACGAGTAAACTAAATTATATTATAACGTAACAAGTATATAATTCACAATTACTCGTTTAATGAGCCTATAATTTAATTATAATTTAGATAAATGACAACAAAACGCAGTAAAGTTGATGCTAATTGCAAATGATTTATTGGCGCAAACAATATTCAAATGGTCAGTTTTCGCGCGCTGCTTAAAATTTAACTTCTGATCTGTGTGATAAAATGTGATTCATCGGTCATCCATTCGATTTTTAACATTCTAAAAATATGTGCGGCCCGCCAATGACTTGCAACCTTTAATGTTGGCCCACGAGCGACAAAAGGTTGCCGACCCCTGCTCTATGCCTTTGTGGCGTGAATCCGTATGCGTGTAACGCAAGGATGCTCTGGCAAAAATAAAGATGACCATACCATTTGATTCAATAGTCTCTTGCTGCACACTAATACAAATGTATTTCTGTAACGTTTTGTCTGACCGGGGTCAGACTTCTTCAGACAAGCATTGATCGCGTTTCTGATCATAGTTGAAAAACGTTTGTCTGAAAAAGTCTGACCCCGGTGAGACGAAACGTTACAGAAATACATTTGTGTTAGTGTGCAACAAGACTCTTGATTCAAATAAATTTATATCTTGCCATTGTCGCAGCTCATACCATATTCAGTTGAAGCAACATTTGGAACCTCAAATTTTTTCACAGAAATTTTTCCAGAGTAAACTTGTGATTTTAATAAGAAAATATGATCAAGTTGGATTCCTTCTTCTTGTCCATCTTCAGTCACAACTATTATGAAAGTTGGTCGTATGGTGTTGCACATCATCTAATTGTTAAAAGCATATGAAATTATTCCTTGTTTTATAGCATTTTCGAGAATATGTAAATTATAATAAATTCAACAACTACTATTCAATATATCATGTTATCTAATTGATGACATATTTATCTTGCCTTGATATCTGTAACCGTTTTATGAAATGTTCAATAATATTATTTCGATTTTTTGAAAACTATTTCGCGAGTATTAAATGTCATTTGTATTGATACCTTCTCAATGTCGATGTAACCTTGCTTCCTCATTTCCCTCATACCAAGCTGATTTCCGAAAGTATTAAAATCACCCAGAAAAATAACTGTTGGTGAATCTTCTTTGCCGTACTTTTTCATCATTGCAACTATTTCACCGTGAATCTTTAGAACCTGTGAGTAAATTAGAATTTCACTCTGCGATTTTTCTTTCCTCAAATTGATTTAACCAGTATATATATAATACATCCTATGTTGCTAAATATCACACGATTTGTACTGTACACCATCTCGGCCTGGTATAGATATATCAGATTGAGTCCTGTTTATATACATTGATGCAAACGGAGAAATGAATAAAGGTAGCAGACGAAAAAAACAGAGCTGTGCATAGTTGAGTTGGGTTATGCATAAATAAAGTAAATAAATTAACCCAAACAACTAAAAGCTCGTGAGACAAAAATTAAGGTTTTTTTCCACACATTTATTACTTACATGGTATACGGTTGTCATAAATTACATGAAAACACCAATGTATTTATTACCTGTCCAGCCCTGGTTTTATGTTTCCAATCTATCATCCCAGATTCAAGATGGCAGTTGACTAATATAAAGATACCATCATGACTTTCGCAATGAGAAAACTGAAGAGTGACAATTTGGCACACGTTTCCGTCTTCTGATGTTCCGAACTCATGTTTATCCAAGACATTAAAGAGCCCCTTGCGAACAAATGTGGCCTGTCCATTCCGCTGTGGCGAAGGGCAGAAGTGCAGTAAGATACCTTATATCTAAGTCCGTGCATTATACAACGATGCATTTATTTTGCTTTCAATTTTACTAACACTTACCATCACCGTACAATCATCTGCAAGCCATTCCGTCCAATAATTTTTATCATGTTGTGTATGTCCCAAACTATGATATTTATGGAATAACTCCTCACATATATCTATATATTGATCCTCTTGAACCTGAAAACAAGCAGTCTTTCAAACTGATAACCATCAAAGTACATAGCCTACTCATGGGCCCATCCAGAATTTATTGAATCTTGGGTTATGCTCCAGCATAATTCGCGATTCTCGACACCGTAGGCTTAGAAGCTAAAAAAAATTGAGCATCGGCAGGAGCAGTGATGGAATTCTAACTTCTCTCACATGCCTTTGCCAGACATCGCTCGAAGTGTATTTAGTTTGAGGTAACCGTATACTGCAGGGGTGGCCAACCTGTTTCCGACCGCGATCGACTAATATCTTCAAAATAGATCGCGATCGACTGATCGGTAATAAGGTCCTACACAAAAACGAATGGGCACTGAATGTGCAGATAACTGTACACACGCATACAAAAAATTAGCAAAATCGACACAAAATTTGTATTCTTCGTGTTCCATTCAAGTTGTTGATTTGAATATTTAACTGTACCCGGAGTAAATGTTTCATTATTTATTTAAGATTTATTTAAATCATACGATTCAGAAAAGGGACTTGCCTAATTTTTAGTCGTAAGTGTTGAAAATTCTTCAAGAAACCTTGCCAAATGCCAAGTATTATCCAAACAGCGAAAAATAAATATTCTCAAATCATGAATATTACATGACTGCTCAAACTTCATTATCTAATTTACAATTTCCTCCAAACGCGATTCTTCGCTTGCTTAGAATTAGAACGAACATTTTGATGCCACTGCTACCATTGAGAATAATATTTATCACGTTACTCTTGGAGTGAGACAATACCTTTCGCATACTGCGGAAGTCTTTGTAGGATCGTTTGTCAGTCTAGACCAGGGTTGCCAGATCCCAGTGATGAAAAAAAGCCAAATCCAGACAGAGAAAGTCAACAATTTTAACAAGTACAACAACCTCATAATTTGAAACTCCTAGCACAATTGTGGATTTTCTCAGTTCGAAATATGCTTATTTAGAGTCATCAGTTGATTTAGTGAGCCTCATCAAATGCTAAATCCTAAAAAGCCAATATGGCAACGCTGGTCTAGACACGCGATATTCGGTGCTACATTTTTAAACCTTGACAGCGAAAAAACTTGTATTTGTTACGTGATAAATGCTTTATAGGGCTTGCCCAGACTCAAATACTGTATGTGTATGTTGTATTTTGCGCTGTATTCTCCCTGTTGCAAAACACATCAGACGCGATCGACTGCTCGAGACGCGGCGATCGACGTGTTGGCCACCCCTGCCAGCGTTGTTTACTGTTCATTGTTTCATGCATGAGCAAGCAGGGTATCTGTCGGAAAGGGAACGAACGAAATCGCACTTTTGTGAATATAGGTTGTCCAGTTACGACAGTTAGTGATATTTGCATCCCCGAAACCATGTAGCCTACTTTGGCATCACATGGCTATATTATACTAATATGAAATATGGCACAGTGTAGTTTTTAGAAAATATTCACGACATACAGCGAAATTAAAATCTAATACGGTATCGAAACACAATAATATAGGAAATTTCAACAAAACAAACGAGGTGATGATGGCCATCTCGTAATTCTGGAAGATATCGCTCAAAGTGATGGGATATATAAACCAATTCCAAACGGTTAGCAAAACCTTTTTCTCGTAATCCAAGAATAACATTTCTTTCTTTTTATACGACGAGTGGTTAGCTGGCTTTCACCCCTGCAAAAAAGGTATTTGACCTATCGATACCTTGTTTCAAAGCCCAATGACGCAATGAGCTCTAGTTACGTGACTGGTGTCTTCAAAAAGTAGCATCTCACTTCCTGTAATGTGATAATATCCGCATCATATTGAATAATTCTATCAATCACCAGCAGAAGACGTTTATCTTTATGTAAGAGATTAAGGTCACCATCTCTCTGCATATATTCCTCTATGTTTATCCACATAGGCGCAAGAATGTTCCAGTCAAATATCGTGAGATTGTGTTTCTGGTATAACAAATATATATATAGTTTAAAATGACTAAAAGATTTTAATTCACAGTTTTCCAATAGGGTATGTTTTCAACAAAAGCGGTGTGATTATTAATTTTTACATTTAATTCCGTTCGTTCAATGCTTGAAACTGTTAGGGTTGCTTTTACCCTAGAATTTTAATTTAGACTTCGAACTGTAAAGTGTCAGCATGATTACAACAAACAAATTATATCTCATATTAACCGAATCTAACCTTGGTTTGCATGCCAATAGCTACATTACTTAACTTTTTAGCTTAGTCGTTTTCTTTTACCTGTTTATTCGTACCTACGGAAACTATAAACTAAACGTGCAGGATTGAATATAATTATGTGAAAAGGAAAACAAAAACAAATATGATCACCAGTAAAGTTTCATAAGATGAGGTACCAGAGTATACTTCCAATTCTGTCCGATCTTTGGAATTTAGGACTTTAATTGGATAGAATGATACCACAATTACCGGGCAATGCAGAAATGACACTGTGGGAGATTTCGTGTAAGTACCAATCGGCAATCACTGATATTTCCTTTGCAGAAAGAGCACAACTTTAATGTTCAAGTGTTCATTGTAAGTGTATGTCAACCCATGCGGATTAATGTAGTTAGGCTATGTATTTCATTTATTATCGAGATATTAGATACTCACGGAATGCGCCATCTCCGATTGCTTGGAAGGTATAATAAACTATGATATATTGTACATCACAGAACAACCAAGCAGGACAACCCTTCGACTTGAACAACTTCAACCTTGCCCGAGTCGTATAAAAAAAACAGTGTTCTTAGATTACGTACCAGCTAAACTACAGTCTACGCTTTGCTCGTTTGCACGCAGTGCCTATGACTAGGTACTTCTGTTCGCGTGGTTACTTCGCCTGTGCGACTACTCAATCAATCATTAATCATTTTATTCGTCAGCACAAAATAAACGTATTATGAGAAAAAACATTTCAAACACAATAGGAACTTAACTTAAGTTGTGTGACAGGAGTCGCGTGGGACCTCAAAAGGTCTTCAGGCAGCGAAAAAAAAATTACTAAAACCTGCAAGCAAAAGTCTTTCTATATCTACATATATTGTAATATCTCAAACTCTTCATAACGAAAGAAGCGCAAATGTAGGTACCTTCGAACATCGATAAGATTTTTAAAGCAAAATCTCAACTTTGGAAAATGCTCATTGCTCACAAGATTCTAAAATGCCGTTTAAAGTTCAATTATTTTGTCACCGACACAACTTGCCGACATATCAAGCAAGCATTGTGATATTTTCCCTGCCACATCCAGTTAAAAATCTGTTTGGATTCGTCAGCTTTCTTTTTCAACGCATGTTTACAAAATAACTGCAGATTGATTGATTACCAAATGTGAGGTACAGAAAAGTAATTACGAAATTTTCTGACATATAAGCACCAGTTTTTGCAATACTGTTTAGGCTGTTTGTAAAAAACACCGGGTAGTTATAAAATGGCTATGTCCCATGTGTCCGCTATGTCCCTACTAAAATGGCTATGTCCCTTCTAAATTCGCAATCCCTATATGTCCCTACTAAAATTTCGATCTCCACTATGTTCCTACTAAAATGGCTTTGTCCCTACTAAAATGGCAATGTTCCTACTACAATGGCGATGTAAAATAGCTATGTCCGCTATGTTCCTACTAAAATGGCTATGTCCCTACTAAATTGGCTATGTCCCTGCTAAAATGGCGATGTCCGCTATGTCCTTACTAAAATGGCTGTGTCCGCTATGTTCCTAATAAAATGGCTATGTCCGCTATATGTCCTTACTAAAATGGCTATGTCCCTACTAAAATAAATCTGTCCCTACTAAAATGGCTATGTCCGCTATGTTCCTAACAAAATGGCTATGTGCCTATGCTCTACTGAAATGTCTATGTCCCTACTAAAATGGCGATGTCCGCTATGTTCCTACTAAAATGATTATGTCCGCTATGTTCCTACTAAAATGGCTATGTCCGCTATGTTCCTACTAAAATGGCTATGTCCGCTATGTCCCTACTAAATTGGCTATGTCCCTACTAAAATGGCGATGTCCGCTATGTCCCTACTCATGCCTCATAATAAACCACAAATGCGGAATCTGAGTCTTCTGATTCTTGCAACACACAGAATAAAAACCTATCTGTGACAATGGCGAGCACTGCGACGGATTTGGCGGAAGACATTGATGGCAACTCGGAAGGTTCTGACAATCACGAGAATGAAACAAATTCTAGATCGGACGAATAGTTCAACGGAACCATTATCAACCCGGCGACTTCACGGACGGTGTCTCAGGCAAAACATACCCACATTTTTGCTGAAGTTAAACACTTTAAGGCAAATTTTCGGGAATTAGAATGTAAGTTTGGTTCTTCTTTAGAAGCATCTTTGGGGATAGTTGAACGGAAAAATTCATTTAACATGGCTAGGTTGTCTGACCGCATGGGCAATTTGGAAAGGGATGTTCACCAAGTCAAAAGGTCAAAGTCAAGTCACTAGTAATAATCGTCGTCCTCGTTTACGTGGAGCATGTTATACATGTGGTGTTTTTGGCCACTACCGTGATAGTTGTCCACATCGTCCCTGCCCACGTTGCAATAATCCCGGACATTTTGGTCAAGCTTGCCCCCATGGTACAAGAAATATTGAAGCCGCTCCTGTAGATTTAAACTCCCAACAGCGACTATGAGGTCCACATTTATCGCTGCTCCCACTTGCTCGAACATTTGTATGGACCAATATGATGTCAAAAACTTCAAACCATTTTATCCTGTTCCTAGTTGGGTTGCTGAACCAAAGTTAAACTTTCAATTTGATTTCCTTGTTGCTTCTGGTTCTTCCTTTACGTTAATTGATTCTAGTTTTTATGAATGCATGGGCAGAAATTTGTCCAAATTAGAGCCATGTTTTGTAGCGATCAGAAGTGTTGCTGAGGCTTCTGCGTTTTTGGTCGTTTAATGGCGAAATTGTGCATTGACCATGTTTGTGTTGAACAATCCATAGTAGTAGCTAGCATTAAGGTCGCTCAGTGGATTTTGGGCATGGTTTATTTTGTCGAACATGACTGTACGCTTGAGTCGCGTTTAGGTGAACTTGACATTGCGGGTAAAATGTTTCCCTTGTTAGAAAACCACTTTGTGTTCCCAGTTGTAGAGTTGTGGTAAATGGAAACGAAATTATTCCCCCTTGGTCCAGAAAAGTCATTTTTGGTAGACTGAGTGAGCCCTGGTGTAATGATAGAGGTCCCAGTGTGTGTGCGGTGGTTGAGGCTGGCTGTAATTTTAGTGACCGGTTTGCGAATTTGAGGTTAAGTGTGTTACCTTCAGTGGTGGATCCCTGTAGCGTTAGAATCCCGATTTGTGTGGTCAACATGAGCCAGGAACCGGTGCATGTCGAGGCGGGTACCTTAGTGGGAATAGTTCACCTAAGGGGGGAGGTTTACCAAATTGCTAAAATGTCTAACTCTGATCCTGAAGTGAGGGAAAGTTTGCCTGAGCACCTCGAGCCGTTATAATCCGAAGTGGAACATTTAATGAAGATGAGCAAAACCAGCTTCAGTCACTGCTAATCAATTACCAAGACACCTTTGCTAAGCCTGGAAGACCCATGAGAAGGACATCAATAGCAAAACATCGAATAGTAACAAGATTTGCACAGCCTGTTAAACGTGATCCATACCAAATGGGATTTGCAAAGCGAAAATTGCAGAGAAAGAGGTAAATGAGATGCTATCTTCTGGAGTCATCCGATCTAGCGTGAGCCCGTACAATGTTCCGATCGTGCTTGTCCCTAAGAAGGATGGGAAGTGGAGTTTCTGTGCGGACTATAGGGCCTTGAATGCAGTCACTGTGAAGGACGCGTATAGCCTGCCACACATAAAAGAAGTTATCGGAACATTGGTCGGAGCCAAATATTTTTCAACGCTTGATCTCGCGAGTGGATACTGGCAGAATGGAACTGGATGAACGAGATCGTGAGAAAACTGCATTTTCTGTGCTGGAAGAGGGCATTTCGAGTTCTGCGTGATCCCCTTCGCCCATGTAACTCAGGAGCACAATTTAGCCGCGTTTTAGAACAAATACTTGAAAGATTACGACTGTAGATAAATGTTTGCTTTTACACAATTTCGTTCATGACTATTTTTTATTGTATCATCTAGTTTAAACCATGTGGCTATGAGAGAGATATGGGACCTCCTGAAGTATGCGCACCAAGAAGGCGCACAACCTGAACTCAGGTTGTGTACCAGGTTATGGCTCAGGTTGTGCGACATCTTGGTGCGCATACTTCAGGAGTACCGATATATGTTTTGAAGAGGGGGAGGGGTACATAATCTTTAAAAAAATTGGTTGGCTTGTTTTTTTTTTCTATTCGATTTTGAGAATGAAACTTGGCACTGCACTGGAGGAAGTTCTGTGCATGTATGTATGAGGAACAAAATGACATGAGGGGATGTTACGGGACTTTGTTGAGGGGCTGATAAAGAGGGAGCTGTCACCACCACCTGTCTCGTCACCAAAATGGATCCAATGACTTTTCTTGCAAAGTGCATTCCATAATTTACCTTATTTGAATGTTTTCTCGATTGCCCACTACAAACTGACACACAATGAGTTCTCCAGGTAAAACAGTGACAAAATCTATCGCTAATAAAGGTTGAAGTTCATGGATCTTTCCCCGAGCATCGACTTTCTTGTTCACTTCGTGACATTGGCCAGATGCAAAAAGTGACGTAACAATGCTCCCTTTTCGCGTCCGCTCAAACACTTTTCCCACTCCGACAGATTTTCAAGCGTAGTCGTAAACATAACCTCGTTTTCGCGTTTTTGAACTCTATTCGTCATTTTTCAGTTGTTTTTCGGAAACTTAAATATGAATCAGATAATTCAATGATCACTCTGTTATAATAGGAGTATTAATTTAATTGCAGTAATAAAAAATTAGTGTAGAAATAGCTGTGATAGACTGACTTAAAATTTTTTACCGGTACTTTTAAAAAACAGATTGTTGTATGCGATGAATCATAATGATGGTTTAAAACAGTGGTTCTCAACCGCCGGTCCGCAGCAACCTTGCTGCCGGTCCGCCCAATATTTTCCAATATTAATATATTATAAACAAATTGCAAAATACAGAGTATTGACGGCATGTCCGTTAGTTTTGTGTTTTTTTTTCTGATTCTTATTGATTCGTAGTACCGTTATTCGTCTAACTGTTGGACCAGGGGTGGGCAAGGTTTTCAGACCGGGGGCCAACAATTTTGCCCATCTAGACTGGCGGACCATGGAACTGTGAAGTAAAATGTGAAAGTTACATTTATGGACAATATTTGAAGTGCTGCAAAAGTGAAAAACGATAAGCCCCATGCCAAAACTAAATTTTATCGCAATCCCAACAAATTCCTTGAGCTATTTTTTGCTGAAACAGCAAAATTTGGATTTAGTTTGGTTGTAACACCATCAGGCGGGCCAAATTGAATTAGTTTGCCCATGTATGTGTTGGACTCTAACAACCAAACTTGGTGAGATGACCTTTGCCAATTTCAAGCCCTGAACGACTGGATGTTCGTTAAGTCTATGAACTCATAATGGCGACTAGCGTAATAAAGGAGGAGTTTGATAGCACATTCCGTGTTTTCCCGGAAATAAGACTGGGTTATATTTCAATATTTTTCCGAAAAATAACACTAGGGCTTGTTTTCGGGGGATGTCTTATATTTTTATTTAGCAAAAACAAAATTCAAAAGTAAAGAATTACGATAATTTCAAATATATATATAAAGTATGAAAACCGATATCCATTTACCTATAAATACCACGTTTTTATTCAAAACAACTGCGAAACATAGATTATCAATCATTTAAAACGTGTAGAAGAGATTTCTTGATATCGACTAGGTCAAAAAAAAGTTTGCGTTATTGACTAGGTCTTATTTTAAGGGGAGGGCTTATATTAAAATATTTCCTAAAATTCAGGCTAGGTCTTATTTTCATGGTATGTCTCAATTTCGAGGAAACACGTTTCACGTTTCAAAAGAAACCCAGCGGGGAAAACCAAGTTAGTGGTGTTTACAGGAAGAGACTGCTACTTCAACTTTACAACATACCCCGAAACGAATATGCAAGTTGCAGCAAAATTGATATGGATCATGCGGAAACAAGCAAAAAACGAGGAGGATATTTTATTGAGCACTATAATAAGTATTTGGAGCTAGGTTTCACTATTGCTCCCAGCAGCGAAAAAGTACCGCTTCCTATGTGCCTAGTCTGCGCAAAAATTCTTTCAAACGACGCAATGAAACCCGCAAAGCTAACGAAATCGCGTGGAAGTCAACGCTCTACTTTGCCTTGTACAAACTTCATTAGAACTACGTTTAATATCACGTATAATATAAGAAAGACAGCAGCAAATTTCTCAATGAATTGGATTGTCTTCTTTTGCACCGCCTACTTTTGTCGTAATTGCATTCCTTTGATTATGTTTTGTGTTCATGACATTTTTGGTTAATTTTGAAGGTCCGCCGGTCCGCGAAATTTTTTTTGAAATTTTACCGGTCTGCGAACTGAAAAAGGTTGAGAACCACTGGTTTAAAACACATACCCCATTCCACAGGCGCCAACTCGCAAAAGCACTCTTAAAATAGCCCCGAAAATTTTGCAATGGTAAAGGAAGGAATGGTGTAGGAAGATTTTTCGGCGGTCAAAGGTCCATTGTGTACAAGTTGTAGTTGTTTTCGTTTGCATTTCCTCGGTATTAGTTTTAAAACCTTGTTTTGATCGTCAGTTGTTAAGTCGCCAAACGCGTCGATTATCTTTTCCAAACAAAACAAAGTTGTTACAACCGAGGTTCCCTCTAAGCTGCGCAATTGCGCAGTACCACCAGAACATTTGCGCAGTAAAGTCTCATTCTCGCGCAACATTTCGTTTTCAAATCGTGGCTCATATTTCATATGTCATTTTTATTAACGTTCAACTAGAATGCTCGTTTTATGTTTCACGAGTATTCTTGTAAACACTAGTCAGACCTCCTGAAGTACGCTCACTAAGATGGCGCACAACCTGAACATAGTATGTGTGTACCGGTTAGGATTCAGGCTGTGAGACATCGTGGTGCGCATACTTCTGGAGCACCCACTAGTCATTGTGATGTCACACACGTGTCTGTCACGAATACCTTGATTTTTGTATGCCAGCGTGAGTCTGTTTTTAAAATTTTCATCGCGCGCTCTGAATTTCGTGTTGTCGACCCGCAAAATCTTGTTATTCTTCGTAGTGTAATCAAACAGATGAAGATATGGGAAAGTTAAGAATTGTAATAGGTGTCAAATGTTGCAAAGCTGGTGCCCTTTGTATGTTACAGGGAATTTGTTGGTTGCTCGTAGCCAACAGCTAGCTAGCACTGTCGGCTCTTAAATCTCTAAATTGGTACACACGTAGCCATGAGCTTATACTGAATGATACGGATGTTATATAGCGATGTTGTAAGTATGTTTCACCAGAAATTACTAAAAAAAGTTTTTATTGTTTTCATAATCAGCATAATAACCAAAACCAATAATATACTAGTTTTCTTTATCTGACGTGTGAGTGAATTGTCTATTCAAGGAAGTAAAGCTAAACATAAAAAAATTCATTTTAAAGTGGAATGGCTAAATTAGGGTTGCCATACCGTCCGAAAAATTCCGGATATGTCCGGAATTTAGATTTAAATTTGGCGTCCGGAAAGAATTTAAAAAAATGCTCAAAAGTCCGGAATCCGGAATTTTACTGCATCTACAATTGTACTGTGCACACTGCTAATACTACGAGGTTGTGTGGAATTTAATGTAACAGAGCGTTTTCCTTATCGATGATGTTTACCACTAACTGTCTGATTATTATTCGCAGACTGTTTTACCCGTTTCGTTGAGCAGCTGCAAGTGTAATAGCAGCTAGTTCCTTGTTAAGTTAGCTGTATACAGAAGTTTTATACCACAAAGCTTTACTTGTGGATTTTTTTATTTGAATAAGAAGCTAGTCAGGAATTCGGGATCGAAAGTGCTAGTCCCTATAGTCTTTTGGATCAGTTAGTCTGGTGGTGAATTACTCTGTTTTTAAGAGTATGCATTTTTAGTTGGGTTGTATTTATTGTTAATAAAAAAAGATAATATTTCAAATGGATAATTCTAAACAAAAATACACATTCACTAACGAGATGCAAGAAAAACATCCATGTTTTAGAAAAGGCTGGAATGATTATGAGGCAGAATGCTTGGTTTGCAAATCAGGAACCTATATATCTGTCGTGCACAATGGTAAAGGTGATTTAAACACACATCTGCAGTCGGAAAAACATCGCAAAGCAGTAAGAAGGGCTGTTGCATCAACGAAAATGAAAATTATTTTGTTACAGCAGGAAGCAAATGCGAAGATGAAATCACTGCCGCAGAAGTCACTCTTGCATTCCATGCTGTTAGGCATCATCATAGTACTTGCGTAATATTATATTGATGCTGTTCTGAAAAGTTTTGAAGAAAACGATTTCGCGTATTTTGGCGTTGCAACAGATGGCAGCAATCACAATGAACTGAAATTATTTACTACAATTATTCAATATTTTGACTGGAGGAAAGGTGGTTTGCAAGCAAAATGGATTAAGTTTACAATCAAGACTGCCGACACAATTGCCACTTATGTAAAAGACACCTTAGCAAAAATGTGTGGCATTTACAGGAGACAACTGTAAATGCCGTATTGAAGAGAATTAGATCTTCAGAAAAATATGCATGATCAGAAAAGTAAATTCGGCACAACCTAATTCTCATTAATATTTTCCACTCTGAAGTTGAGATTTATTTAGAGCTATATTTAGAGAGTGCTTACCCGCCTGGTGTGAGATTCTGCTTGTGACTGAAGACAATACTCTTCATTTCGGTAGCTGGCGCTTTAGAATGAGTATCGTCCAAGTATCAACGTTAGCACGAGTATCGTACAGCGTTTGCAGCCTTAGCATTTCGGTAGCGCATATATATGGTCTCGTGAAAATACGGAGCTCACGAAGTATGTGCACCAAGATGGCGCACAACCTTAACATAGTATGTGTACCAGGTTAGGGTTCAGGTTGTGCGCCATCTTGGTTCACATACTTCGGGAGCGCCGAAAATACTCATGCACTATCCGGAATTTTGCTTTTTCAAATATGGTAACCCTGGGCTAAATACAACAGTGAAGTTCGACACTAATTTGCAATCTTGATACCGGTATGCATAAGCTAAAACAACTGCTAAACTTTGCGAAATTTATTGCTATTCCCCGTCAAGGAATGTGATAATCCACAAAGTTTGTCGTGAAGTGGCACCTGATAGTGATTTGGAAAAGGAAAATCATGGGAGGGAATAAGAATCTGACTATTTAGAACGCCATTTAAATCATGAAAAGCACATTGACGCACTAGATGCATTAACTCAGAAGCGAAACGTGGAAGCAAGAGGAGGTTGTTCGAACTTTTTCACCGCAATACCGACCGCTGAGGAAAATTAAGTTTTGAAAACCCCATCAAATGAAATTAAGCCTCACATAGATAGTGTTCCACCACGTGTTAAGCTGAATTGATCAATATTTTCCCGCAAATTAATAAATAGTCGCATGTCAACACACACTAAATTGCCACATTCATGGTGAATCAAAAATTACGGCTTCGAATTTTTGATAAGCATAGACTTTGTCGCCAGGGAAGAAATCATGCGGAGCATAAGACAAGCAAAATTTCATACTCTGATTTTGATGAAAGCAATGCTATTTCAACAACGAAAATGTCAAGATTGTACATCAAGTATTGTACTTTGGATGATTGTCGCTTGATTCAGCAATAAACACAACAAACACGGACAAAATGTATAAACCTTGGAAAGGCACGAAAAAAAAGAGAAGCTATTTGAGTAAAACGTGTGCTTTGCCCGCATTCCGATAATACATAATAAGCTACTATTACTACATTTCACAATGTTTGCAAATAATTTAGGATTCTGCTCAGCCTTAGAATAGTCTTGCTCAGTAAAAACAATATTTGCGCAGTGTGAAATTTTCCTAGAGGGAACACTGGTTACAACGATTAAAAAAACACTTGGTACTAGCCACTAGCGCCACTAGCCACTGACTAGCAGAAATTCCATCCAGAATAGTTTACTCCATTGCATACAGTTTCCACGCGCAAATAGATTTCACCTTGTAATGCATGGAAAATCAAGAGGGCCGATAAAAATGTAATCGTACACAGAAGGACATGGCCGAGCTTTAAATACAATGAATCAGGCTTTAAAATAGTGTTTCAACACGGCCAACCAAACGAAAATGCATTCTTCAGGTATTCTCCCCAATACGAAATTGGGAAGATTAGCATCGGTAGCCTACCGTACATCCCTACACATTTAAAACATGGTACGGTATCCATCAAAAACCTCCAACAAAGGCAGTGAGAACTTGCATAAATAAGATTTTAATGCGACAGAACAATAGTGTAGATTAGCTCATGGGCTAGACAACAGATATTTTTAAATTAAGTATGATAGGTGCCAATGTTAAAGGAAATGTACATGCTGGTGTATTGCAACATGAAATAGACTCTGTTGTTAGTCAGCTCAATGCTTTGTTATCAGCATCCATCTCCTTGTTTTATTCTCCATGTTCGAAATATCCTTTGCGATATCATGACAATGGTAGGTGAGTATTCAATTGCAAACCTATTTCTTGTTAAAAATAATGTTCAGCATGAACCAGAAAAAGACATATTTCAGTATTTCCTTTATCTGTTTATCCAGTCTTTATGGGTTGATGGAATGGCAGAATGGTACATGAAAAATAGGTTATGCCATTATGCTGAACTTGAAAAAATTCTTTCCATAAGATGATCTGTTTTTAACTTGATATAGTCTAGTCTGTGTAGTACAAAACCATGAAGCAAATTGCTAAATACTATTTGATCATTATGAATAAAAGGCACACTAAGTTAGAACAATACATTCATATTTGTACAGCAATGTGAATGCAATACAAGGTTCAGTTGTATTCCACGAAGATACATTGTGTTCCATGGAAATGTTGGTGAAATCGACAAAAACAGCTAGTGCAGTTAAATCAACCTTCAGGGATGATAAACAATGGAAATTACAGCAGGTGAAACGATTTTGTTCTTGGAAATTGTAGATGATCATACATCCCACAATGTACACTGAAGCGCATGAGACTAAAGGACAAGGTAACACATGTTGAATATGTTGCAGAATTTCATCATATCCTTTGGTATATTGCAAGCCTAAACATGAATACCCAAGCTCACACTTTTCAATCATAATGCTGTAACAGGTTATTACTGAGTTGGTTGGTGGTATATTTTTTTCAGTGTCAGTATATGTCTATTAATAAGCTATCAAATTTTTAGATCCAAGATGCTATCAATCATTTGAAACTGGCTACAAGTGCTCTAAATGTTTTTCCAAAATCTTCTAGGTGAGATAACTTTCACTAATACAATGTTACTACTATATATAGATGACTCAGTCATCATGACTGATACTGCGCGGTTGTATAATTTCACAAGTCAAGTCCTAATAGGCCTATGGTTAGCCGCAAAGACACGATTGCTTTCCTGTTTCATTGATATGTAACTTCAAATCTTGTATAAATGATCTAGAATATTTTTTCTATTTGGTTTGCTTGAACCACTATAATACATTTTTTTTTGTTTCCAGAAATGGTCAGAATCAATATAGCAAAGGATATATTATTGATGTACTCGATAAAATTAATAGAAGTATAAATATGTGCCGAATGAGATTATTTTCACCATGCAAACTATCACTTGAAGCTCTAGTATCTAGTGGTATTGTGGTGAGTACCTTTGATCAATTGGGATAGGAATAGAAATGTTCAAGCCCTGAATACTTGGCAGCATAGTTATTAACATTTGAAACCGCATGCTACTCGTTGATCCAATTTTCTAAATATCTATCTGTAAAATTGAATTGATGAATGATTTTTCTTATATGTGATTGGTTTATTGCTATTAATTAATTCAACAGAAAATGTTCACTCCTCCATTACCTGGTGATACGATTGTAAACTTTTTCATTTTGGAGGATTCTCTAGTTGTGACCCACTACACTGTGCAACAATCCCACACAACTATATCAAAGAATTCTCAACACAATAATCCTGCCTCACTCTTTCATCCTGTTGGTGCAATATTGTGAGTAATTTTTATGTTATATGAATCAATATATCCAGCAATATGCATATTGGAATTCCTGGTTACAAATTCTCCAATTTGTCTATTTGATGCAAGATCTTGTTACTATACGCAAGTGTGACCAAATCTTTCCACTGGGTTGAGTTTCATCGAAGTCTTGAAACAGCATTTTTGTATGTAAAGAAAAAACAATTTTTGGGAGAAGTATAGACTTTGAAAGCTCCATTGACTTTTTACAAGTAAAAGCTACTCTTCCATGTCCGGATATGTTGTACGTTTATCATAGTTAGTTGATAACTAAAAGATACTTCTCACTGTACTGTAAATAAAAGTGTGTAATTAGTATTTATTTGGGCATACTTCCAATAAAAAGCATTGCGCCCAATGAAGTTCTGTATGGTGAATCAGATGCCTAGGCCATCATTAACTATCACATGCTTCGCATGTTTTGTGCAAACTCACAGGTGTGTCCACCACAGCCTACCGCTGTTATCAACTCACAAATTGGGTGTTGCTCTGAATTTTGATAAAAAAAAATATAAAGAACTGAATATAGACTCTCTGGGCCATACACACTGTTTTTGTCTTTATCATACTTTCAAATTATAATCTCTTCAGGGAACATGGTGGTACACTCTATGAAGTTGCTACAGCTCATAAAGCAGATTGTCCAATACCATGGCTGAAAAAAATTCTTGTTGCTACAGACATTTGCCTGCAACTGACAAATGAATTAAGGGAAAAAGTAAGTTACTTTGGTAAAATAGATTTCATGAGTTGTGTTCTATGAGCTATTTTAGTCTTATTTGGTATAGGGTAATACTTGGATGAAAGAGTTAATGCACTGGTTAAAAACATATCGGTCATGCATCACCTCTAATACCGATTATTGCAATTTTGACTCTTGAGACCAACTTTATCTATTTATGAATAATATGGCAAATATTGGCCTACATAATAAAACTCAATAATATTACAAAACTGTTTTTTTATTTTGTATTTCTAGCTTGTGCACACAAAATAGTTTCAACCATGGATTCTCAGATGTCATATAATGCTACTAGCTCCATTCGTCAGAGTTTGTCTACGGTGCCTTCACTTCATTGTGCCATTTACGTACAGTATTTATGTTTTAAAATGAAGCAAATTTTGTATTATTTTGTCGATTAGCATTGGTTTCAAATAAAGAAGCATGTCATCCAATTGATCACATGAATCAATGATGACTATTAATTGTACTAGTATTTTTACCACTTTCTTCTTGCTAGTGTTTATTTGGTATTAAAAAAATATGATTTATTCATGACTAATGTTTACTCACATCATTGCTCATTGTATGTGCAAAATTGTGCAATTTTCATTGTAAAATATATTTTATGTTTTGCTTGATACTCTCAATAGATTGTGTTTATGATAAAATGAACCGATAAAGAAAGGGTAGGTAGGTATAATGTTAAGCAGCTGCCATGTTAGTTCGAGGCCTGTCTCGCTTCAGTCAACATTTCTTTATCTATTTATTAAAAAACCCTCTTGGACGCACAGAAATCTGTCCGCTAACAAAGCTTTTCCCTGCAATCCACTTTAGCGGAGGCCGAGCAGTTTTGGGATTGCTCACAAAATACTTTAGCTGATTTGATACGTACTCTGGCAGGCATGAGCAGATGAAACCACATACTACAAAAGACATGATAAATATATTTTTAAGCAGTAAAAGTAACACTGTTGAATAGTATGCGAGAACATGACATAGATACTTCAAAAATTCTGAAAAATGTAGCTGAGTTGATATCGGGTCATATTACAGTATACCGTAAGTAATGATTGAACGGTGCCTGGTCACTCACTAGCATTACTGTGTGCATGGCTTGCAGGATTTCTTTGTCAATGATGCACAAACGTCGCCAACGATCAGTTTTTGGCATCGTAAATTATATTTGTTCATTGAGCTTTCTGGGTGAACAGAGCACCAGCCTTTACCATAAACAAAAAAAGGATGTTCAATTGGCGCTTCAACAGTTATTTGCAGCAAAGCATGGCCAACGAGAAAACTAAGAATAACCATACCCCTATGTTGATCATGTTCAATTTTGGCCACAGTGCTACTGTCTAACTTTAAGTCTGCACTCAACTGCGTGCATTTTTCAAAATCTTCTGTGCTGAGTTCTTCAACTGATTTAATTTCGCCAGTGCTCAAACTAATTTGAGCGCCTTTGTGAAAATGTGGTGGATAAAGTCCCATCCTTTCTTTGGCTTCGTTGCTCCAGTCTTGTTCCGCGGGAGGACTTGAATACGCATGAGCCTCCATATCGCAGTATTGTTCAGCAGTGGTAGGCGCGGTGCAGATACAAAACAGCCTGACTTTGCGATGTCTGAAATAATCTAAATTACCGAATTCCCACACGTAAAAATGTTCCCATTACTATGTCACAAGTAGGAGGTAGGAATACGATTTACGTATATATCTAGAATAGATGGCGAACTAAGTCTCTGGAAAACTAACGGTAGCTTGTGTTACTAACCTTACTGGAAACAGAAAAGTTAACATATTGTGTCAAATCACTGACCGCCTTAGGGTGCGGACGTGTTGAACGATGGGATACTCTTTTAGCTAGAACTTTGATGGCAAAGCTACGTGGTACCGTCAATATATTTAGAATGGAAACCTGGTAAATGGAATGGACACAGTAACAAATCTTATTCAATGTACTTGAAAAAAAAATGGAATTCATATCGGAGCTACGTCTAAGGGCCGTTATCTATTTACAGACTTATCTGGGAATGTGATGTCCTTAAAAAAAGCTTACGCCTTCTGATAATCATGAAGAAATAAAAGTTATCGAAGATCAGACAATAAAAAGATGTTAGTTTAGGATATCAGCCGACATGTCTGCCTACTAAAATTTTGATTTAGTAAAACACGGTAAAACTGGTTGAAAAGAGTTAATTTAATGGCTGACCACCATAGGCAAATGCTCGAGATGAAAACTTTCTGAAATCTAACCATTTCCTTAAAGTTTAAAAAAAAAACGAACTTTAGATTTGTTTGTTCACTAAGAATATGGAAAACAGCAGCTAACACTAATCACTTAGATGCAGTGGTGTGATTCAAATTTTTCGTCAGCCGGTTCTGTTACAAACAGAACATTGACAGTAATGCTAACCAGTTCGCTGATCTCGTAAAATACCATGAGACGGTTCTATAGAACCGATGCGAACCGGCTGAATCCCACCACTGCTTAGATGTGATTATTAGGATTTGCATTCCGGCACATACCGTAAATCTCATTCTACTTATTCCGCAGTTTTCACCACTTTTACCCACCAAAATTATTTACAACTGTAAAAGTAAGTAGCCCGTGAATATTACTTTCTCGTGTTCATGTATGCTGTTTATGAATTTATTCATTTTTTTAGTTTTGATTGTCGTGATGTGTTTTTCCACATGTGTGAGTGGGATGAATGGGCACAAAGGCTAGTTACAGCGTTTGCTATAAACCTTTCTCTAGGTTTTGCCCAATTTCCCGATCTTTCCGTCGTAATTGTCTGTGTTATTTTTTTGTGTGCGTTCTGTGTTGTAGACGAAAGATCAAAATAAAATTGTATTGTATTAACACTGTTTGTTAGTTTTTGTTCCTGATAGAACAAGAGAGCTATGCTCAAATGTATGGACACGAAAGGCGAAGAAATCTACCTTATCTCTTACAGTACCGGTACCGTCAAAAACCTTGAATTTCGAATTGAAAAAAAAAACGAATCACATAGAGCCGGAAAGTTTTGAAATAAATGAAAGTGATAGCCTTTTAGCGAAAAATACAATTACTGACCACCGATTTGAGCTATTTTGATGTCAAAGTGAGTTATAGAGATTCATTATAAAAACAGGATTACAAATACGTTCGAATGTCAAGTTCGAGTTTATGGCATGCAACATTGGGCACGCGTGGCCTGTGCTGTGTCCCCTGCGGCAGGCAATGTGTCAGCAACTTTAAGTTGAAATACTCAGATGGGAGTGAGTTGTTGCGTGTCAAATCTCAGCTGGTATAATGATGCAAATCGTTTGAAAATAAACGATATATATACGAGAAGTCCGAAAAAAAGTACACATGTCGTTGCATTTGTAAATTACGTAGGCCTACATCGGATATTTCAAACCGACCGGTCTACAATAAATCGTGAAAATGCATTTCCAACGGTAACTATATTATTTTTTTTAATGAGGAGCGCTTAAATTCATCGTATGTATCAAGCATCCCTGCAGGAAAGCTTATTCGCTAGTTGGTGGTTGGTTATACAGGAAAGCATGTTTCCTTGTGGTTGCTAGCTTGTTAGTTGTTGTATGTCTTGTGCAATGTTCCCTCTAACTTTTTGTAGTATGTGTGCGCAGAAATTTTGGTGTGTGCGCACTTTTTTGGAAATGACTAATATTTGTGCAAAAACCAATGAAGAAATTTTGGCTTTCTAACCGGGTAATAAGTGGGCCAACAACAAACTTTCTCAACCTGCCAGCCGAGCACATTGTTACATTACATCGAAATAAGTATGTGCGCAGTAAATCTATGCGTGTGCGCAGCCTCTGAAATCTGTGTGCGCGCGCACACGCGCACACCTTAGAAGGGAACACTGGTCTTGTGATATGCTGTCTATTTCTGACATACACGGTGTCTCATATCATACAATGAACAGTTCCAAAGCCTGGTTGATGAGTCAGACAAAATCAAAGATACACTGCACGCATGCCGAGTTGTAGAAATTAGCTGATCATCCCTCTCCTAACAAGTGATCATTATTTATAAATTTGTTTTGGCAATCCGAGGGCATGACGCTGTAATGTCATTGTAGCCAACAGGTCGTTTAATTGTCGTGCTTTAATCACCTTGGCTTGGTTCTAATTTTAATGTTCGAGTAAGATTAGAAACAATTCCAGGGTAAGACACGTAAGACAGCTAATTGCTTCTGCAACCAGTGTAGAGCACTGGCCAAGCTTGTGCTTGAAGTGAAAAAACGCGCAAAATGAAAAAAATTCATGAAAACATAAAAGAGTTGAAATTATGATTATGAGGCAGAATATGTGCGTGCTAAGCTGTGTTTCGAACGACAAAAACTTGGTGCTAGTTAATTTTAAATTTGACTGGCAGATTACTAGGGATTTTGAACAAGAAGGTTTATTTGCCTATTTTGTTTAAAATGGCTATATTATTCGATTTTTTTGTATTAAATAGGTCGAAACTAAAACAAAAAAAATGGATGTAAAAACTTGCCAATTACTTTTTATTCGCAATAAACCCTCCGAAACGCTACAAATATCGTCAACTAACCTATAGGCGCTCAAACCTCCAGGGCTTGACAATCAATTTTAAATTGTTTTTAAACTGTGGAGGTTCGTTCCAGAATAATGTCAGTTGAAACTATATTTTATGTTCAGGTTAATGATTCCAAATATTTACTATATAAAAGTTGAAGACAAAATTTAAATAGGACCGAATAAATGAATTTCTATAACTTTGAACTTTATTTATTTTACATTTTTGAAATTATTATTCCGGCAGCGTATGCAGCTGCCAAAACGTAACAATTTGGCGTAGTTTCATAGCGATGTAAGGGGATTTCAATAGAAAAATACGAAAGATAAAGAAAAAAGTGATTTAAAACAAGCCCTTGATTTAAAACAGACTGTTTTGTTTAGAATTGCCAAAAAACAGAACCCTGCAGATCACTACAAATGCTTTGCTTCAATACACTTCGTATCACATTAAAAATGCACAAAATAAAACAAATTCATAAATACATAAGAGCGAAGAAATCATGATTATGAGACATGTGTTTGGAAAGATATAGATATTTCCTTAGTTGATTATAAAATTTGCTAGCAGATTACTCAAATGCTGTTCCAATCCACATTGGTGCGATTAAATAAATAATATGCTCGTTGCGTTTACGAGCCTTGTTGACTGTAGTTGGGGGGAAAATCAAGCCTCTTGGGACGCTTAAAAACTAAAAATGCGGATTCTACTTGCGTTTATTCAAATAAAGCGCTTTTTTGTAATACGATCGTTTTGAAATCATATTCAAAAAATAGTAACATCCATGTAAAGTATATTAAAAGAAAACGAATGCTATTATTTACCAAAATCGAATCAATTCAGTATTTTTGAGCAAACCCTGTTGGGTTTAGCACCAAATATACAACGTCGTGTAGATTAGAAAGAGGAAAATATGAAATACATTTGAAGAAGAAGAAGAAGAAGAAGACTGTCTGTCCATTTTGTACACAAAATTGAAATTAATAAAATACAATAATATACAGCAATGGTCCTGCGATTTCTTGAAGGTAATTCGCTGGCGTTTCCTTCTCAAGCTCTCTGCGTTTCATACTTTTATTCATTTGTTTTTGTTGTCAATAATTCTGACTAGTTTTTAATTTTGCAGTTTTTTTTTTCTCGGGATAATGCGGTCCATATAGTTGCACATTTTCAAATATAACAGTCACTTTCTTTTTCGTCTCATAGCCCTTGGTTTTTCGCTTTTTCTTCTTGATTCATCGCACGGTCTGATTTTTGATTGGTATCGAATAGTTTTTTTTGATTTTTTCTCGATCTGTTTATCCTCGGTTCGTGCACTTGATATTCTTGGGGTCACTATCCAACGGTTGATGTTCTGACTCTTTTTGGGTACCAATGTGGGAAGCTTATGTGCTAGTTGGTGGTTGGTTATGTGAAAAGCATGTTTGCTTGTGGTTGGTAGCTTGCTAGACTGTCGTTGTCTTGTGATATAGTATGCTGTCTATTTCTGATCCGACGAAAACACTGCATACACGGTGTCCCAGATAAATGTATTGATATCAAACAATGAAGATGTATCATTACCTTGGCTCGGTTCTAATTTTAAAGTTCGAGTAAGATTATGAACAGTTTCAAGACAAAACACGTACAACTGTTAAGTAAATGATAGCTAATTTAACCCAGTATGCTATTTACCCATATTGGTAATGCCCTTCAACACCGGAACAAAGACAATACTTTAACAAGAGAGCTACGCCCAAATATATGGACGCGTCTGTTCGCAGTACAGTACGGTTTACCGTACCGTCAGATCACAGTCTACAAATATATTCACAGTTCACACCAAGCAAAGCAGTACAGTCGGACACAAAGTGGCATCCGATGTCCGCAGAACATTCAGTGACGTCATAGTAAACAAAAACAAATCTCACAGAGCTATAAAAGTAATAGCCTTCTGGAGAAAAATTTCATCTTTAACCACTAAAAATTTCGAAGCAATTGGTCCAGTAATCAAAGAGAAAAGCGATTTTTTAGATTTTCCACTAGGTGTCCAAAAAGTGTCGAAGAACAACATAACAACAAAACGATCGTTATGTCCACTAAACGTGTCCAATAAAAGCCACCAATATTAAGAATAAAACTGACAATAATAAAGCTATTTACTTCATTATCAAAATAAAAATTTACATATATTTTTCTGGAAACACAACAGAGAATTGCGAATAAAATAATTTCGAGTAAAATACAACCGAAGAGTATCAGAATCATGTTACAAACCCTACAGGTCAATAATTTATATATATATGTATATATTAGAGAGGCATATTTTATAGAAACGATCATTCGTACAAGATTATGACTTTTACAAGTTTAGGGTCATGTCTCTCGGACTTCCGTTTTCTTGGCGTTTTAGATTTCCGCTTAATTTTTTCATTTTTCATGAACCATTTTTTGATTACTTCCAACTGTTTCAAGGCGCTGTGAGGTTCGTTCACACATCGCAGAACTTCTATCATTGCATCCACATCTCCTTCTGCAGAATGTACGCCTTGTATATAAGATTTATTTGTAAAATTGGCATATGCGGATGGCAAGCTATAGGAACCAATTTTTCCTGAGGCTTTTCCAAGTTGTCGTACCGCCACCAACGCCTGTGCACTGAAATAGCGGTCAAAATTTCTCTCCATTTTAAAACTCTCGATACATGCACGCAAGAAGTTGAAATCAAATTCGTTATGACTGTACGCAACCAGGCATATCGGCTGGGATTGGCGATCTAAAAAATCTGTCAGAAGCAGCAAGGTTTCTTCAGTAATAAGCTGTTTGTTACGTTTTAGTAACTTGCTTCTGGTAAGTTTATTAAGTCGAGCAGACATTGGATTAATATTGCAAGTAGGATCCACGGCTAATCTGAGCCTGTCAGCAATCCTGGGAACGTCAATGTTAGAGTCGCCAACTAAATATGGTGTACATTGGTCTCTATGAATAGCAACCATACATATTTCTGCTATTTTATCTTTGCGTGGTGCCAAACACGTAGTTTCTAAGTCAATAAAAACAAAAGTTTCTACATCAAGGTCTTCCAATTGTGGGCCGTTAACAAAGACTTGCTCAGATTGCGCCACATGACAAATTTCTCCATTCTGAAATGTATCTGATTTTCGGTACATTTCTCCAAATGGAGTACATGTCAAAGATTTGAAAAAATTTCCAAATCCCAGAAAAGTGCAACATGTTGCCAAAGCGATCGATCGACGCTCTGCACTTTCTATTTGGGACGATATTTGCTTTTGGCAAGAATCCAAAGTTTTTTCGAAGATTTTTCTGTTTTTACTTTTTTTCTTTGGAGGAGCACTCTGAATAAAAGCGTTATAACTGGACTGTATATCCAGCCAAAATAACGCATCGCTTTCAAACACAAGAGGTATATTAACCCTAGCAAATTCTGAAACCAGTCGATTGTATTCGCTTCCTGAATTGTCAAGTAAAACCAGGCAAATAGGAGCTTCTTGTCGATTTAAAAACCGCCTAACAATAGAAGCTGTCGAATGATCAAAATACCTCCTTCCGCTTATTGAAGTTGAAGTAAAAAAACAGAACACATTTATCATATATTCTCGGTAGTTGGGATTTAGGTTCTATATCGTCATTTTTTGCCAAAACATCGACTTCAGGGAGTGCATGCATTGCTAGTTTGAAAAATCCCAAAAATTTCGGTAGCTGTGGTTCAGGTTCTGTATCGTCATATTTTTCCAAAACATCGACATGGTGGAGTGCAAGCATTGCCAGTTCAGAAAATCCCGAGCCATGTTCAAAATTCTGTGTGGATGTGCAAACAAAAGTGCGAACTTCACTCAATCTCATTATGTGTATATTTATTTCTAATGTTAATGAAAAGAAACAATTTGGCGTGGTTTATATAGTCGAAAGTCGCCGATAAGAAGTAAATCATTATATTGGGTTTAATTAGCCTAGTCGAATCTGGCATCGAACTAGCAATGTAAGTGTCTTGAATTAAGTTCAACAAATCCAGATTTAAAGTCTGTGACCAACTTCACCAAGTTTAAACGCCGAATAGGAAAGATCCGGGTCGACGATATTTTGGCATCGTACGTAACAGTGGTCGTTTGATCACAAATTTATATCTACGGGAAGACGTCATAAAAAAACACCTCATAAATCATGGGACCTTATTGATACAAGTTATACAAATAACGCGCACCTCCTTTCAACCTCCGTTTGACATGATAAATATGAGAAACTGTTTATTTGATTATCTGGTGTCGCATCGAAATATTATACTCTTTAGGGTGTTTGCGTCACGTTGCAATACCCTACTAACAGAATACGACAAACAATTTGACAAAAGCAAACTCGAGTTATTAGTTATAGCTTTTTGTTTCGCGAAGGGATGACACCACAGACATTTTTTTCTCTTTTCTGGTAGTTTTAATGAAAAGCGCCGAAACTCGTAGCTCATGAATTGCTATCTCCTTTACATCAAAATTTACAACTGCACTAAAATTTACACTCTATGTATCTCACTGAGTCTTTCAGATATACCTGTTTACCTTTCTTTGTCTGAATTGATAAGCAGTTAAATATTAACAGAAAATTGAATGAACGGCAATTAAGATCAGTTCTGTTTACCGTACTCAGTATCTTGAAGCGCCTTCGAAAGGTGCTTTCGATTTTCAATGCAAATTCCATATTATGAGATGGGACGGGCATAAATTGTTATGGAATGGGAAAAAAACTATTGTCCCATGGACAAGCCTGCTGCCCTATTTTGCCTAATAGTAAATCCGGCACTGCAGTAGCGTAATTTCATGATTTCTGAATAATAAATCCTTGGCCTTCGACAAGTTTTATACACTACACTCATATTACTTCCACTGGAAAAGATCTTTTTGTGGCATGTCTCCCTCTAAACGCACTGCCGCTATATGCTGATCTGGTAGGAGTAAAGATAATAACTCTATCAATTTTGGGTGATACATTTTACGGTGGGTGCTATTAAATATGTCAGATTGTCGAGTCAGAGAATTGTTGCTGTTACTGAACAAGATACTGATCCGAAGCATACCGAAAGCGCCCCTGTTATGCCATGTTTACCCGTGCTTCGTGGATATCGATCAAAGAAAGGTCACCAGTATTTAGCTTACGTTGCTGAGGGTATATAGAGCCGAATGGAGGTTAGAAAAACAATGTAAGTCGCCGACGTTTTAATAACACCAGTTGTGCTTTGTACTCGTAGCCTATATTCTCAACATAATCCCATGCTCAACATAAAAATACCTAGTGGCACTCTTGCCATATTTGAACATTCATCACTATGCCTATGCTCCCTTTGCCATGGACCTTTCCCCGACCTTTGACCCCCGGAAAATTCTTCCTATACTTTACCATTGCAAACTTTTCGGGGCTATTTTAGGAGTGCTTTTGCGAGTTGGCGCCTGTAAAATGGGGTATGTGTTTCAAACCATCATTATGATTCATCGCATACATCAATCTGTTTTTTAAAAGTACCGGTAAGGAATTTCAGGCTAGTCTATCACAGCTATTTCTACACTAATTTTTATTACTGCAATTAAATTTAAACTCCTAGGAAGACAGAGTGATCATTGAATTATCTGATTTATATTTGAGTTTCCGAAACACAACTGAAAACTAACGAATAAAGTTCAAAAACGCGAAAACGAGGTAATGTTTACAACCACGCTTGAAAATCTGTCTGAGTGAGAAAAGTGTCTGAGCGGATGCGAAAAGGGGGCATTGTTACGTCACTTTTTGCATCTTGCTGATTGGCCATTGTCACGAAGTAAACAAGGAAGTCGATGCTCGGGGAAAGGTCCATTGAGAGGAGTTTCGTAACTTATTTAGTCACTTACCACAACATGACAAAGAAGTAGGATTGCATTCCATCTTGTAGCAAAGCCTGGGAGTCGAAGTAGTATTTTCAGTCGGATTTCAAGACTTTTCATGGTGATAATAAAAGTCAAAATTTGTTTATCAAAACTCAACTTAATTTATTGACTCCTATTCGGGCACGTGCACGTGTGCTTCGAACCAACGCAGCATGTTGATGCAATAATGTAGTAATAGACGAATTCCAATGTAGAAGGAGATATAGTGCAACGCTCCAGCTAGATGGAGGAACCAGAAAGGTTATTGGCAAAACAGTCAGACAGGCGGTCAAAAAGAGTCAGGGCACAAAATCCACAGTTGCTCGGTAGGCAGCCAAGAATGCGGACAAATGCCGCAGCCAAACAGAAATAAACAAAGCAGAAGTCAGCGGTCACGTGAAGAGAAAATTTGCGGTGCAAAATGCGTGGATTGTGCAGGGCAGCCAGGGTCAACAAGAGAGGGAAGGCGTGGGCAAAAATCCCGCATCTGCCAGACAGGGGCCCAAGAGAAAACAAAAAAAGAGAGATATGCGACAAGAGATGTCACAGCCAAAAAAATAAACAGAGACGAAGACGGAGGGAAGGAAGCAGACAAGAAAAGCGACCTCGTCTGGTAGTAGACAGAACGATGAAGATGCCAAAACGGAGCACCTGAAGTTTAAGTGATGAAAGATAGCAAAAAGCCAAAGATCTTCTAACAGCTTTTGTGTCGCAGGTATCTGGATCCGCAGACACGATGAAGTCAATAAATGCCTCGCGAATGAAATACGAAAAAATGGCCCAGCGTACCACCGAGTCACCAGTTTCGCTGCAAAACACTTGTGCGACGCAACGACGTGATTGATATAAGTGGTAGGAATACGCTCGTCAGCTACCACGTCCGATTACCTATCCTATGCGAGTTCGCCGATTATCTTATAACCCTGTGGGAAATAATAACGCGCGTGAGGATTGGAGGAATCCCCACACAGTGTATCACGCATAAATAAACAGAGGAGCCAGACGAAGAGGGCTAAAAAAGACAAGAAAAGCGATAGCGCCTGGGTGAAAAGAGAAGTACCAAGGAGAGGCGGCAGACAGAGCGAGGGAGATGCCAAAACAGCCCAGCTAGGAATCAAAGTGAAAAAGAGAGCAAGAAACCAAATTGATCAAGAAGCACGACAGCGCCCTGGTGAAAAGATCCAACCCCTGGCCGGGCGGCATACAGAACTTGAGAGCGGCCGCAGCCAAAACAGAAGAATCAGCTAGATGAGGGCGGAGGAAAAATAAGATGCACATACACACGACGCAAGATAAACAAAAAGCAAACAAGCAGAATGTCTAATTAAGGGAAGTCAGCGGGTGCCTAAATGAAAGGCAGAAGCAGACAAAAGCAAGTCAGCGGCCAAGAGAAAAGGGGGAGAGAAAAATTAGAAGAGACCGCGCGCAGTTTAATAAAATAGAAGCGTAAAAACGGCCCTGCGTACTACTAAAAGTCACCAGTTTCGCTGCAAAAAAACTAGTGCGGCGGTCTGATTGATATCAGCGTTGGGAATACGCTCGCCAGCTACCCCCTATGATTACCTACCTACTGGGCGCAGCCGGGATTTTTTCAACGGGGGAAGGAGGTACGGTGAAATAATAACTTGCGTTTATAGATCTTTAAAGAAATGCCGATAATGGCAAAACAACGAGATGTGCAGCGCCCGTGTCTCATTCGCCTTCCTTTGCATGTCCCACTTTCAGTAATCGCCGGCTATTACCCCCTGGTCAAAGATGATCAATTTCCATTTCAATGTGTCGTTAACTATATTACTGAAAGTTAATTTGTCGCAAATTTGAAGTCCCGTGATATTTTCACATAACGCTTCTCTACTTTTAGCGGTGATTTATTAACATATGTACCTTTTCACGACCTTTGACCCCCGAAAAATTCTATACTATACCATAGCACAAATTTTCGGAGCTTATTTTTCAAGAGTGGTTTTGCGAGTTGGCGCCTGTAAAATGGGGTACTTGTTTCAAACAATCATTATGATTTATCGCATACAGCAATCTGTTTTTTAAAAGTACCGGTAAAGAACTTTGGCCTAGTCTATCACAGCTATTTCTAAACTAATTTGTTATTACTGCAATTTGATCAAAACTTCTGAGAAGACAGAGTGATCATTGAATTGTCTGATTTATATTTAAATTTCCGAAACACAACTGAAAACTAACGAAAAGAGTTCAAAAACGCGAAAACGAGGTAATGTTTACGATCACGCCTGAAAATCTGTCTGAGTGAGAAAAGTGTCTGAGCGGATGCGAAAAGGAAGCATTGTTACGTCACTTTTTGCATCTTGCTGATTGGCCAATGTCACGAAGTAAACAAGGAAGTCGATGCCCGGGAAAGGGTCCATTGTTACCAGTTTGGTAAAAAAACTGAAAAAATGCATGCAACTATTTTTGGCCATAGGGTTGAATTGGTTCTTTGTCATTTCAAGCAAGCCTTTATTTCTTTCGCTTATTCAGCAATCGAAATGTGCTTTACTCCGCAGGGCTTCCTTGCGTTTTAGAGCTTCAAAGTGATGCCGATGATGGAGAAATACCGACACGTGTAGAGCTTTGTCGCACACCAACGACAACGTGTTAAATTCGTTTCTTGAACAACTTTAAACGCAGGGCATCATGTAAACGGAATTTGAACGCAACATTTGTTGAGATTATCAAGAAATCCCTTTTTATGTGATTGTGAAGTGAAAGATGTTTCTGAAGTTATTCAAGAAGAATTGTTAAAATTAAATTAACGATTTCGACGAGATCAACTTTGCATTCTAGAGGAGTTTGGGGTTAATATTCAACGTTCCTATTCAAGACTGGGTATTTATACCCTGAAGATTATTGTGCCCTTTGCACAACTTGCCTGTGCAAGTGCGGATTTTTTGCGTCAAGAGCAGCAGTCGCATCAAATGTGATTGTCATGCAGCTTCCTGACCAAGCCAATTTCTTCTGTTTTTCCTCAGTTCTTTGTTAATATCTTTCTCCCTACCCGACTCTCCCACACTCCTTCCCTCTCACTCTCCCTACTCTTTTTCATCCCAACCCACTTTTACTCCCCCACTATTACCTCCTCCCACCATCCTCCAGAAAGGGGAGAGAGAGACTTCGTGTCTTAAGTTAGAGCTCTTTATAGAGGACTTGTACGGGTCACGTGACTTTGTTTACTGGACGGCAAAAAAACAAAAACGTCCATTTGGCTCCTGTCAAAGGCAAGTCGGATTATACGTTTCCGTTTTGTTTGGCTGTTGAAAATGGTTATTTCCTATTGTTCCGTTGGCTGTACGTATAGTAGCCTATAGACAACGAAATGGATCTTCAGTCATATTCCACTGTTTTCAAAAGATTCGGAACGTCGCGCAATGTGGACATCATCTATTGATTGGCAGGACTGCTTGGTGTCAAGTCCAGAAGTCATCTAGCTTGTGTTTCACTGTTTGCGGACAGCAATTTGCTGACGGTGAGTGATAATGTGCCGTTATCAATTTCTTTAAATATTCATAAGCTTCCTCATTTCAATGGAAAACAGATGACAAACTACTGTTATTGGTAGGCCTAGGCGTAAGCCTACTTGACTTGTGTCAGGATTTAATCATCAATTGCCAAAGGGTATTGTTTCCATAGTTAGCAGGTAATCTATTAGTAAGTGTGAAAAGTTGAATAGATAACTAAAGTTTAACGACAGTGCTCATGCAGAAAATAACCAGAATTCAATTGAATTCGCCATCTAGGAATACGCTCGCCATCGCATCTCTGATAACCCTGGTAGTTTCACCGGTCCCAATCCCATGCGGGGATAGTCATGTGCGAGAGTATTGCAGCTCTCCTCCCACTGAGGGTGGTCCACGACCGCTGGTCGATTATGACATTCCATCAAGTCCATGCTTCTGAAAACAAATAACTGGCTAACTAATTCCGACATAGAATGGTAATCGTACGATGTTGCACCTTGCAAACCTTACCTTATGGCCAAACAATACCTTATGGCAATTGATGATTAATTCCTTACACAAGTCAAGTCTGCGAGTAGCCTAGGCCTACCAATAACAGTAGTTTGTCATCTGCTTTCCATTGAAATGAGGAAGCTTATGAATATTTAAAGAAATTGATAACGGCACATTATCACTCACCATCAACGAAGTGCTGTCCGCAAACCGTGAAACACAAGCGAGATGACTTCTGGACTTGACACCAAGCAGTCCTGCCAATCAATAGATGATATCCACATTGCGCGACGTTCCGGATCTTTTGAAAACAGTGGAATATGACTGAATTTCCATTTCGTTGTCTATACCCTCTATAGTCTAGACTCTATACTATACGTACAGCCAACGGAATAATACGAAATAATCATTTTCAACAGCCAAACAAAACGGAAACGTATAATCCGACTTGCAACTGGCAGGAGCCAAATGAGCGTTTTTGTTTTTTTGCCGTCCAGAAAACAAAGTCACGTGACCCGTGCAAGTCCTCTATACTATGTTCGACGAATTTTCAATAAATGATCACCAATGGCTGTATTGGGGGTAAATCCTAGCCTACTGCTTTAGAAGGAATTATGAACTGCGACAGGTGCAACGACACGAAGCAGTGCCACTCTTTCGCGAGCTGTATTCGCCAGTTTTATACGCACTGAATGAAATTCCCGGCTCACACTAATAGTTTCCCTACAATCAAAAACAATCGACTTGAAAGAATGCTGATATGATAATAAAAAAACGTCAAAATGTGTTTGGAATCACGGTGAATGTAGATAGGGAGTTCGAAAAAATATTTAAAGATATTGAAACAACGCTAGAAAAGGTAGAAATTTCAACTACAACAAGGGGATTGCGCTCGAGCGCGACTTAAGATGTAAAAACCGCTATGCTCCTACAGATATATAGGCTATTTCTAGGGCTATTGTGGACTGCCTATAGATGTTAGATTGGGTGAATCGTTCCATCTAACAACAAAAAGAGTTTCTATCGTCCCTTTGCATATGAGAAAACGTGAGTTATTAAGTCTTAAACATCGAAATGTAATCTAATTATTCTAATATAATTACAGACCCCGACATAGTTCTCGCGATGGAAGATTTTTCAAACATATTCCGACTAACTGGATTCCTGCCCGATAGTCGAAGCTGAGCTAACAATGTGGCAGCATAAGTTAGCCGACGTAAATGTAAATGATCTTTCTGCTAACGTATTCTCCGCACTTGAGTTTGTCCGATCATATCCTATGTGGGTTTGCAGGTTATAATCCTGTGGGAATAATTACGTGCGAGAGGATTGGTGGACTCCCACCCAGTTGTTCACATGATCTTTGGTCTTGTGGCTTTCTCCACCATTAAGTTTTTGTATCTAAAACAAATAACTGGCTAACTGATACCAGGGGTTCTCAATCTTTTTTACTAATAAGTACGTATCCCTAACGCGTAGCACGATGAGCCATACCGCCGCGCCGAGTAATCACACTTTTCGGAAGCGTGAGAAAGCTGAAGATCGGCACATGTATTTTTTCTGTTTTGCATGCTTTTCCTGCTTATTATGAACAGATTATGAATATTTCTATGTTCAAACCAGAAAACAGTCATCTCATGGGCAGTATAATATTCCAGGGCCTTCACCCTGAAATGCGATTTTTTTTTATATATTTCTTTTAAATTGTGTATGCAGAATTCGTATCTTTCAGCACGGCGAAAAAGATAAATTACTGATTACTTCGCATTGACATCATGTATAATATCAGTAATCAGTAATCAGTAATTTATTTTTTCACCATTCTAAAGCACACAATGTGAATACACAATACAAGAAATAGGAAATATGGTACTTTAGGGCGAAGGGAGGCGCGAGACACCAAGACTGGTGATCGAGCAGCGACACCCATGGTATGATATATGAGCTTGTTGCGACCCTTCAGGTTGTCACAAGACGCGAAACAGAGATCTTTTCCAGGTGATGCAGAGCAGGATTGTGAACCTGGTGCCAAGTTGACGACTTTGACATCTTTTTGTAAATTCATTATGTTTGATGCATCGCGATTTTCTAACAAGAATGGAAGAATAGGCCTCCTTCTGGAGAAAATTTGATCTACTTGCTATATTATTTGTTTTTATTGTTTCAAGTGTGCCATTTTATCTAAAAGCATAGCGAGTGCAAATATGTTATTATTTCCTATCACACTCATTTCAATTTTTTACCGGTCCGACAGAAAGGTTGGGAACCACTGTTTTAAATGGTAATAAACAACAAAAGTATTCATTTCATTTATATAGATTATGGAGCATTAGTGTGAAGGCTGTCCCAGTTTATTGCGAATAAGTTTCTCAATTCGAGCAAACAGCAAATTGTCTTTTGAGATTTCCCAGTTTGGCTGCAAAGCTCCCATTGTTGAGTAACAACAATGCAAGATTAGGGAAAATCTTCGCTGAGTTTCAATTGGCACGCTTTTCCCTCTGATAGTAAAGGACATTAAAAAATAGCCACACATGAAAACTCAACTGCCATTCAAGTACCTCTGGAATTCTTTTCGTGAACCCTTGGGGGTTCGCTTATCCCAGGTCGATAACTCCTGCCCTACATGGCCTGGACCATGGGATTAAGCTGTTGGTATAATGTTTTCTTTTCATAAGTATGAAAATCCTATACTATCCATTGAAGCTGAAACCATGTACATTCAGCAGTATCCAATACATTGTAATTGAGTAGAATAACAAATTGCACTATTGACAGCTTTACAAAATGTTATATAACTTTTCTTAATATAATACAAGAAGTTCTATACGATTTTGTCAATTGTAGTCTTGAATTGTCTGCATGTGATTTCTCTTGATATTAAATTTTAAAATGCGGTCAGTTGTACCGAAAACAACAATGATTATTAATGACTAACAAAGAAATATACTATCAAAGCTAACACCATTATTAGTCCCAACTATGCATTTAAAAAGATGAAATCTTGGATCTGAGAATGCAATAAGAAACCTTTTAAATTCAAGATTTCCATGTATTTTCGCTCATATAGTTGTAGTTAGGATGCAAACAACTAGAAAAGTTAATCCATTGACTTTAATACAGTCAGTATTCCAATCTACAATAGGCCATAATATCTGGTAATAAGAATAAATAACTATCCAATGAGTAAAATGGCTGACATATTCCAAACATGCAAACAAATTTGACAAACTGTTTTAGCTTTGTGCCAGTCAGTGGAATATCCACATAGAAAAACCAGGAATGAAATTTTGTGGAATACTGAAAATCTTCAGAAAACATTTTTAGAATAGTCATAGACTCGTGATTGATAACAGAGGAGACGATTCGGGAAAGCCCTTGGATTGGAATGACATTAGAATTTTTTCCACCTTCACAAAAAATTCAATTACAAATGCATTTGACATAATGTTATCATGATATTGGACTTGCATCGAACATTACATGAGGCGCACCAGACGATACAAGATATTCACAATGCTCATACTGGAATCCAGCACAAAAAAATCATGTCTGTTTGTTCGACAGGCACCATTCAAATGATTGATACAAAATAATTATGGTGGGAATATATCTGACATATATCTATATCATACTTTTATACTACATATAGCACGATGAAATATAAATGAAGAAAGAGCAATAGACTAGGTTCGAAGTTGAAATCGCCCAGCTTTTGTAATATATTTTACTCCTTTGAATGGTTTATACCTCTCGCCGTACATGTCCAATCTGTTAACTCGAAGCCCAGAAATACACAATTGCTGGATTTTAAAACTAACAGAAAGAGTAGGTTTTTCTTCTGGTGCAGCAACTCCAGATTGCACACTAATCGTTCCTCGGATGGAAGGAGGTTTTGCAGCATTTATTGGCCCTACAAACCAAGTCATAACTTTATCAACCTGGTCAAACATATAGTGACCTTGGCTTGGTGACAGACCTAAATTGAGAACTTGCTTAGGCATGGGAGCTTTAATTATAACATCTTCCAATGTTTTTCCCATTGCTTGTCTAGGTCCAACTACAAGTTCGAATTTTCCACCTGAACCAGCATATTGAATATTGTGTCGAACGTAAATAGGAATCGCAACCATGCTGGAACTACTGACTTGGTAAGAGCATAATTGGAAGGAACCGTCAGGAGGAATGAAGGAAAATACTCTTTCTGTTTCCCAACGTTTCAGTCGAACACACGGATGAAAACTGACATCATCTAGTAATCTTGGGTTGACAAATGAAAGTGTGAGGTCAGGCATGCCAGATAATTTCACTGTTGCTTCAACTGTACCCTGAATTTCAGCAAAAACTGTTGAACCAGATCGATCAATTATGGCATCTACCTCTTCTGTGACATCAAAATAAGCTTCATTGCTTGTGTATTTCACCCCAGTTCGTCTCCAAGGTACATTCGAGAGTTGTCCTGTAGGCAGTGTATCAGCAACATTGCTTTGGCCAGTAACAGTGTTTACCACTGATCTTAGAATATTGGGAGGTTTTATCAATTCCTTCAGAACATTACTTTCAGTTGCAAGAGGATAACCATTATCCAACATCTCTTCCAATAATTCATACACAATAACATAATTCTCTTTTATTGATCTTTCTGAACATTCATCAAAATAATCAATAAATGTGTCAACGATTCGATGCAGAAATTCAATAACAAACAACGGAGGGGTTTCTTTATTAATGACAGCAACAAAGTAGAGTCTATCCCGGAATATGCTAATTAGATAATGGTGAGGAGTAGATATGATGGGAGGAATGTCATTTGGACTAGATGCTTTTTCTTGAGCTTTGAAGAAATAATCACAAACTGCACGTTTTATGGCAGTTTTCCAATGCTTCTCCATGAAAATATCGCCCCTTGAATTTATCATGAAAAGACTGTGTATCATATTGACTCTCTTCTATATACCGCTCTGTAGTATTATATATTATTATATGTTTAATCTAAATTATAAAATATTACTGTATTGAATGACAGAATGATTACGTAAATCACTAGTAAATATATACAAGTCTTCATACAAAATTTAAAACAAATTTACTTAAAATATCACTGGGATATGTAATTTTTGTGTAACACTGGAAATAAAATGTAGATGTAGATGGATGACACTGACATATAGACATAATAGTATGTCAAAACAAGAATAATAATTACAAATTTCAGACGCAAATAAAATAAGAAGGTACCGGTACCGGTATTTGACAAGAAATAATAAAAAGGTTTATTAATGTTAAAATCACTACAAGTGCAGTGAGCAATTTCAAAATCAAAGGTTTTGATCAAAATGCTAGGCTAAGTCTCATCTTATTGACGAGTCAGTGAGCTAAAATTCAGTTATGGGTCTAGGCTAGCTAGGTAAACGCCATAACTCCTCAAAATAACACCCAACAAAAATGTGATGTGGAATTATTGTCAAAACTGCTTCCGCCAATGTAAGTGTGATATAAATTTTTGTTTGAAAAAGGCTGTGTGAATCAGAAGGAAATTCTTGACAAACTCCTCATTACAGTATTAGACCAGTAAGTTAAAATCAAACCGGTACAGCCAAGGCAGACTTATATTTTAAAAAAATAAAATTTGGGTTTTATTTTTACATAACATTTTCGTTTGGCGTTATTTTAGCAGCTACCGGTACGGTACAGCATTCATTATCACATCCCAGCATTCATGTTTGACGTGACCACTGACCGTATTCAGGTTCAGATTCAAGCGATTGCGACGTGAGCGGTACCATTTCTGCACATTACTGGACTAGGATGTCATATTTCTGTATTCAGGTATTTGCTATTATAGATACTGCGGCACTGGTACCGGTACTTGCTGACAAATAAACCCATTTTTGCGGTTGTCTGGTTGTGCACCTTCATGCTCGGCGTAAACCACAAATGTTAGATCGAAAAAACCGATGACGCGCAAATCGACTTGGTGGCGCGTCGGTGTCCATTCGCGCGAAAGCCATAACCTTGGTGGCGAAAATCCATCTTATTGTTTTGCCGAATAAATTTCAATGGACCTTTCCCTGAGCATCGACTTCCTTGTTTACCTCGTGAGATTGGTCAATCAGCAAGATGCGAAAAGTGACCTAACAATGCTCCCTTTTTGCATCCGTTTCAGACACTTTTTTCACTCAGACAGATTTTCAAGCGTGGTCGTAAACACTACCTCGTTTTCGCGTTTTTGAACTCTATTCGTTAGTTTTCAGTTGTGTTTCGGAAACCTAAATATTAATCAGTAACATAATGATCACTCTCCCAATTGCAGTAATAAAAAATTAGTGTAGAAATAGCTGTGATAGACTAGGATAAAATTCTTTACCAGTACTTTTAAAGAACAGATTGTTGTATGCGATGAATCATAATGATGGTTTGAAACACATACCCCATTTTACAGGCGCCAACTCGCAAAAGCACCCTCAAAATAGCACCGAAAATTTTGCAATGGTAAATTATCAGAAGAATTTTTGGGGGGGTCAAAGGTCGGGGAAAGGTCCTTACCAAACGGAATTTTTGCATTGAGAATTAGTATCCAAGAATTATCTAGTGAAAAAATATTAATAAACTGTGATATCCAGCTGGCAATTAATGGTTCTTTGCTCTCATAATTTTAATACAGTCTCCAAGTAATCCAAATAATAAATATCAGTGTACCTCACCTGTACCAAAATACAATTTTTTAATACAATCCAATATGTATTTATCGAAACCAAGTTGATCCATATTTCATTCAGTCGTCACTTATGCATACAGCACAATGAAATGACTGTAATTTTGCGCGAATGTGGTTTCGAGAACAATGTTACCGGTTATATGGGATGCTAACTCATAAATCATGTGTCGCACCCAACCATTAATCATATCTGGATAATATCCTTATCTAAAAAGATACGGGAATACTACTTGATTAGAGGAAGGTGAAAAGTTGGAAAGTACGGCGGCTACAGGCAATGACCTAGCTATTCACTCAAAACAACATATTACAAGCAGTTTTTATTAGGCAAAATATTTCATTAACAAGTGGAATACTTAAAAATTTGGTACATGCTCCAAGTTTGACTCCAAAGACTGAAAATACTGCTTCAGGTTTCTTGGTTTTAAAACCGTACAAATATTGTTTCGTTTTAAAACTACTCAAAATACACATAAAACCGTATCAAAAAGCACACACAATAGTTTCAACATTTCATAGTTTTGCAAAATGACACATTAAGTGGTTAGCAGAAATACCATGTCATATCAGCTAATTGATGTTTACAAATTGGTACCAGCACATCGATAAGAGTTCCATACTACACCAAATGTTATATCCTGACTGATTACAAAATTTCGAAACTCCAGAGCAATATATGGCCTTTAATTGGATTGATGGATATTTCATAAGTAAAAGTTTTCTACATTAAATTGAACAGGAAAATTTAAAACCCATAATTGATTATTTTAGAATCAAATCGAACTTGGAATAAAACATAAAAGTTTTCCTGGAATTTTTTCATTGTCACGTACCTATGCTATACTGATAAATATGGTGATGGATCTAAGAATCAAATCTGTGAATCAAGCTTTGCTTCAGACCACAAGAAGCTGAACATGGTAAAACGAAGAAATTACTCAGAAATATGAGGAAAAATGATGAAAAAATAATGCAAAATTTCTTTCAAAAAGACATTTTTTGGCATTTGCAAGGAGTTTGATAAATGATGAATTCGATACAAGCAGCCACCAGAAAAAAAGGTTACTAGGGTTTATACAATTGAAAGATAGGAACAATTTAAACAAAAGGGTAAAAAATACAGAAGAACGTGACAGGCTAGCAAATTTAGAACTACTGGTATCAAAAAACAATAACAGCATAAGAAGACTCACACAATATGGAAGAGAGCAATGAAAATACTTTCCAAACACTTTTCCTACGCAAAGATTGAAACTCAAATTATACTGGTTCAAAAGCTGAAACTATAGTCGGCTATTTTTAAAATAAAGAATAGCTATGAAAATAGAAAATAAGATCCACCACAAAATACTTGAACTTTTGGCACATTATCATGCTGTAGTAAATGAAAGATATATTTATCCAAGTTCTTATTTATTGTTTACAGAAGTAATCCAAAATATGGGTTCTAATTTATTATGTAATTGCACAACAGTGATAAACAAGAATACCACATTGAAATTATTTGGGATTGGGATCATATCTCAAAATCTTCAGAAAAATCAGTATTCTAGATCTGAATTTTTAATTTGAAGCAGGATTCTAGAATGCTAAATAGGAACACATCAGTATACTGAAATAACCTATTTTATGAATTCCAGACGGTAGAATACAAAAATAATAATCATTGTCATTCTGGTCGAAATAACATGTGTGTCATTTTATGTATGATATTTTATACTCAACCAAATCAAAGTAATATGTAGAATCTCAATGCTATTTGTGAATAGAACTTGATCTTCTCCAGCATCATACAAGACAAAAAAGCGAACAAGGATAAGAACTGTCTTTTCACTCTGCTCTGTATCGGCTATTGATAGATGCCCATTAATAAAACATGTGGTCCAAGATCGGAAATTCTGGTCAGAACTATAGCAAAGCAAATTGTTATTGCAAAAAATATATGTGATGTTTTGTAGTTACATAGGAACCTGAATATTTTCGAAAAACATCGATAAAATGAATCGATAACTTTTGGAGAAATTCAAAATAAAATGCATGCTTATTACAGAGTCAGACAATCCATATGCAACAAACGAAGCTATCTTGTCAAGTATAAATTAAACTGGTGATCTCACAGAGTATATAACAGAAGAGCGGTAAAAATCAGATTTGAACTTGTTTATCATACAGAAAATATACTGAGAAAAAAGTAAAACAAAGACTTATGTTCCGCAATTCCATAACAGATAAAATCTTTAAAACCTTTAGTGCTGTAATATTGAACAATTATTTTCGAAATACATTAATCACAGACCAAGTCATCCCATAATAACTGCGTTGAATGTCGAAGAAAATGAATCATCACGCAAAACATAAGATGGGAGAATATAAAATTTGTCTGTGGTGGGGATTGTGTTGCGATGAATCTAACATGGCACTACATACTTTGTACATACAAAAACTGGATTAGTAAGGTTTAGGCACAAAAAATCGAGAAAAATTGGCATCACCATTATCATATTAATAATGTCGTCAAATAAAAAGAAATATGCTACAATTGAATATAAGAAAAAGGTATTAATAATAACAATAAGTAAATAGAATAATAGTAAAATGAACAATAAAAACATTAGTACTAATTTTGGCAGGTAAAAGTGTAATTCATCAGCAAATAAGAAATCTTGATCTAGTTCATCCACTTCAAAATAAGCTAGGTATGTAGTAACAATTTAGCATATGCTTTGCTGGATAGGTCTATAGATATACCATGAAAAGTCTTGTTGACCTAGAAATTAACGCTCACCAACATCTAAACCAAGGGCTAATTAATTGATATAAGTAGACAGAGAAGTTCCTGTCATTCAAGTTCATACTACGCCATACAGTACCTACTTGTTCGAAGCATTGTTCAGGAGAAATATAGATGAGATTGAAAATACTGTTCAACTCAATCCTTACTATGCAACAATACAGATACTGATCCGATTATAGGTAGTACAACTACATCATCTGCATTGCTCTTGAAAAAATTCATGACAATGGGCGGAATCCAAGAAATAGCTTCCTATTGGAAATTGAATCAAAAAAGCCTTGGAAGCTGCCACAATATGGGCAAAAATTTTCATTACAGCAATGCTATAATTTTGCAATTGATATTGCAGGATACCTGAAAATACAGAATACACTCCAGTTATTTTAACAAGTGAATTTGTTTAGGATTATCCCTATGCTTATTATTATTACCTAATACCAGTCAATAATTGATATTAAACCATAGATAAATAGTAATCAATTTAGAGGTTTTCGGAGATTTAACTAAGTGTAACTGCAAATATGGAAATATCAAATTAACTTGCTGTCAAGCAGGACAAAACTTTTCTTGAAACAGACTGTTCGAATATTTGCAGCTGAATAAAGACTTATTAAGACTAAATAAATTTTGACAATCAAAGTTTATTTTGTAGTCTCAGACTTAGTAACATACAGTGATCATTTTACATATTTCATTGCTAGAAATATAGTTGAATTTTTGAGATGAATAGAGCTGACGTGAAATCATGAAAAACCGAGTAAATTATTTGAGGAGTTAGTTTTTGCATCATATTTAACTAAATAGCCCTTTTCCGAGCAAATTTAAATTTTTGACAATTCCTTAGCTCACATTTAAACATACCATTGTATCTTCATCGTATAATTCTGAATTATGAAGTGAACCACAGAGAGGGTAAAAATTCAAACTGTACTATGAAACATAAAATAGGTAGGGTGGAGAATAATAAAAAAGTAAAAAAACTTCCAAACTCAAGTTAATTTGCAGTACAGATGTATGAAGACATTGAACTAATTTGCAGCAGCATTAGGCCCCTTTGGAATTCCAGCAAAGAACTTCAGAAAGTCTAAAACTGATGCGTGAATTACAATTGACTGGCAATATTACCATGTATTGTCAAATATCTTAAAAATGGCCTGTTGTTGACTTCCAATCTAATCCCATAGTTGTTCTTCGTCTTCCACATTCACAGACACATCTTCCTCCGATGCTTTGAACATAGATGAGTCTGAAGAGTTCTTGTGGTCTTGTCCATTTTCCTCAAGTAAATCTTCTTCCATTTTTAAGGAAGTATCAGAAGAGACATTCCTTTCTTCAGAATCTCGTTTGGAAGGTGCATTATTTTTATCAATTTTTTCATCTTCGTCGCTTGAACCGGTCCCAAGAATGTCTCGAATGCTGTGACCGGAGCGACCTTTTTTCTTTTTCATATTCAATGGTTCAGGAGATAAATGATATCCTGGTAGCAGTCGTATCGGAGCTGGTGGAGCAAAGACTGATAATTGCAAAGATAAATTCAAGACCTTAAATACTATTGAAACTGAACAGAGAAAATGTTACAGTATAATGTTACAGAAATCATACAAAAAAGGAATAGGTTGCTGGAATTGCATTGGAGTAACTAATATCAATTATGGAAGTAATACATTGTCAAAAAAACTATACCACAAAATTAACATTGTTTCAAAAATCACTCTTGTATTGTTAAAAATAAATTCATCAATCATATCACAGATGAAAGTGTTGTCAACAATCATCTTGTGGTTAATACACACTTTAAAATTACATTGAACTAAAAATCAAATTGATATTTACTCAACATCACATATATAATCCATACCTGAGTTGCCTGTCGACCCGAAGTTGAAAAATGAACTTGACTCTTTAGAATGATTTTTAGTCAAATGTGATGGTGAATTGAGTGATAATGAATTACCAAAATGTTCACTGACATCGAGATCTTCAGATAGTTTACCCTGTGCATTGAAAGATAAATATTAGAATGATATACAATCTTATCATCTCAGTGTGCAGTGCATCGTCGTAATTTAGTTGATGATAGGTTTCAGTAGTTGCCATTCAACTGGAAAACACAAACATATACCTATTGCCAATGTAAATTGTCCAATTCACAATTAACAAAATAATGATTTCACTGTCACAAATTCAAGCAAAAAAAGTCCAGAACAGTATATATTCACTACTAATCACTACTCAATACTCAAAATACATATTTTTGATTAGGGATGTCGGTACCCAAATAATTTGGCATACTAATACCATAATTATGACACACAGCACACAATCAACTTCTCTACATTATAATTTAAACCTATTTTGCAGTACATGTAGTATGACTTGAACATGAATTGTATGTACTACATTTCTTCTGGATAGGTTAGCTCAAAGCAAGGTCCCGAGCCCTTAACCTAAAGTAGAAATATCATGCAAAAGTGCAGAAGTTGGAATACCTGAATGAATTCATAGATACATTTCTCTGTTACATTAAAAGTGGAACTCATTTAAAAACTTCTACAAGCGTCTATATTTTCAGTATCAAAAGACTTAGATTACCTTAAACCTAAGTTTTGGAGGAGCCAATCTAGTGGATTCAGATGAAACACTGCGATAACTACTTTCCATTGTACGGGGTGGTGGTGATGGAACTGATTCTGAACTTTTTATGGCTTCTTCAGCATCATGCTTCGGTGTTTCAGACTCAGAAAAACAAGAATTAGACGATTCATCGCAGTTTGAAACTGTCTCGACATCGATTTTTTCTTCGTCGCTTGGAACATAATCGTTTGCATCTGTGCTTAGCTGAGATAATTCTGAGGAATCTTGATGATCATCACTATTATTATCTGGAACATTTTCTGATTGTATTATCGCAGTAGGAGTCTCTTCACCACTTAATAATCTCTCTGATTTTATCTGCTTCGGTGTGCATCCCCCATCACCAACATTACTAAATAACAAGTTATATGATTGTTAGTTGTTGAGATACAAAAAAATGTTTTGGGTTTTATATAAATTAGAATTTGCATTATGTAGCTACATAATAAATCATCAAATTATTTAAAATGAGACTGGAATTAATTTATAAATATAAAATTATAGATTATAGACATTATTAGGTCTATTTCATTTTTTTACTGTCTAAAAATTCAAAAACATTGACATTCAGATTCCATTCATCCAAATACATTCAAATATTCTAAATCACAATTTAAGTAATAGCATAACATTAAATCATTGAGGCCTCAATCAAAGATTTGCAATATTCCGCAAACTAACTGAGAGAGCACAGACAGCCATTGCCATTCAAAATACCCCACTAATGCATTTGTTGTTCTTGATGTAGGCAGAGGAACAGCCATGACAAATTTCAATACCTTCTTTTTCTTGTCAAAGGAGGTTTCTGCAACTTGATCATAGCATTATGTGCCAATCCTCCGTTCATATTTATCTCATGTTTTCTCAGAGGAGATAAAAGCATGGAAGGGGTGTGAGGAGTGGAAGGTGTGTTAGGAGTCAAAAATCCGTTTGACACATTGTTTGTTGTTGCACCATTAGATCCAGTTGCCTGAGAAGAGTGGGAAGATGTGCCTGGATTTGTGCGACCCTGAGGTTCATGGCTGAAAATGGAAACAGATTAGTTAGAAATTATTGTATTATTGGCTTACTTGGGCAACCCAAGCCAATCGTATGGCTTATAGTTGTTGTTAAAGCATTTGGGCCTGTGCATCATATTAGCAACAAATGTATTTACCATTATTGTGAAAGAATTTGACTTGATATTTTAAACAAGTGCCCATGTATGATGCACAGGCCCAAATGCTTTAACAACAACTATAAGCCATACGATTGGCTTGGGTTGCCCAAGTAAGCCAATAATACAATACTTCAACAACTTTAGTGAAAAATCAAAGCCATAACTGACCAAGGCAATGTTCAGATACATTGTTTCAAATTTTATGTAGTACAAACCCATATTCATTATCCAAGCAGAATCTAAACTTTTCAAAAAAAAAATGAAATAAATTGTATAATATACCTGTGATAAGCTTTGATATCATCAACATCGAAAGAAAAGAAAGGTCCTTTCCTTCCTCCATTGTGAAATCCTGGGCTGGCAGTTTGGGCGGGACTGAAACCAGGAGAAAAGGACGGACTTGGAGTGTATCCTAGATATGTAGGGGTGGTTGGCAGTGACCCAGGATACAAATTCAATGGCAGCCTAAAACTGCCTGGTGTGTGTGGGTTTCCTGATAAAGCTGGTGGTAAACCACCTGGATAGAGTCCAGGGCTCCCTGTGAAAAGTAGAATGAATCCTTATGAGTGTTCCCAATGATAATGTTTTCAAGTGTTGCCATTGAAAATAAATGCTACATTGCATTGAAAAATTCACCACATTTTACCTTGAAAATTTTAACAAAAAATTGATTTTATATTAGCTTTTTAAAGCTGTTTAACTTCATATTAGCAATGTCCAAGTAATTAATTTCAAACAAAATGTTGTTTAAACAGATGTTTTCAAAAATATAGATATATTTAAAATTGCGTTACCAAGTAAATATAGAAAACAGAATGGAATTCCACTGATCAATGCGTGGCACACATCATATTTTAGTTGCGCAATTGATCCAATTAATATTATACAAAGTATAAAATATTTAGAAAGAATTTTAGAATGCTTTTAGATATGATCTTCCCAACTAGGTAAGCATAAGCAAGTTTCAATAACAGAGTTCAAAAATCCCAAATCTTATTTATTGCTTTTCTGAACATAGGTATTAAGTATCGAAGAAAACTTTGGAAAAGCAATACTGTAGGTACTCTGTGACTCATCCATAAAGTTGAACCTGAACTAGTACAACATATTATACCCTTCTACATAAACAATACAACCCACCTTGAGCTGCGTACATACTGCTCAGAATAGAGGCCGGCATCATCCTGTGCCTGAAATGTCCTGGTATAACAGAAGGATGACAATGATATTTTCTTAAACCGATAGGTCCTACAAGAGGACTGATTGGTGCAGCATGGCGAGATAGATTGCCATTTTCAGAATCTGCTTCTGAGGTGGGCAATGATTCTTCGCTTCCATCACTGACAGATCCACGCAACAAACGAGCAGCTGCTACTAAAATATATCACACAATGATATCGCTATTCGCTAGTACTAAAATACATCTCTTTTTGCATAAATTAGTATGGGAATAATTTGAAAATGGACTATGATCTTGTTACGAGGCCCAAATTCTTTGTTTTATGTGACGTTTTTCTAGGCCTTTTGTCCTGAACAAGCCTCTGCACAAGCAACACTGCTAGGTTAGAAAGAGCTACTATAGTTTAAAATACTGGTCTAATTCACTATGGCTACAGCCTACAGTAACATTTGACAATCTTACAAGTTTTTCCAATAATCTATCAATTACTGTAACATCCCACCTGTTTTCTGTGATATTGGATGAATAATTGGGGAAACAAGTGGTGATTCTTGCAAAGAACTAAATACATTTTCATTTGAGTCACATTTGACTGGACTTGCAGCAAGCAGCGTTGGTGCTCTTAAAGAATTCTAAAAAATATACATGGAAAATAAATATATGTTGGGAGATAAATAAGAGCAAGTGATGTGATAAACAACATAATTTACTATGATATATGATATTAATAGAAAAGGAGGAGATGGTCTGTTTATTATCAATTTAGAGTTGCAACATAAGATACTATTTTGTAATCACAAGAGAGTAATGATCATATATGAACATGAACATGAAGGTTGGATGACTGTCACTACATCAGTAAAATACCGACCAAATGTTAAAACAACTACCGTATTTATTCGATTATAACGCGCAAAATTTTGAACTGAATTTTAGGCAAAAATCAATGCTGTGCGTTATACACGAGGTCTGAGAAATGCAGTATTGAAAATGTGGTTTTAAACATCTGAAACGTTCCAATGCAGGACGATTTCGTGCAAGCACACGCACATGCGACAGCTCAGCGTGCGTTTGACATTCGTGCAAGCGTTCGATTTCGTGCAAGCACACGCACATGCGACAGCTCAGCATGCGTTTGACATTCCCGCTGCGTTGAGAATATTTATTTGCCATTATCGTACTGTACTGTAGATACCCATTATATATTACCCATTATCTATTATGGCAAGACAAAAACGTTCTGCATATAGGGCTCCATTCAAACTGGAGGTTGTTGATTATGCGGAAACTCATGGAAATAGAAAAGCTTCTAGAGAATTCAATGTACCAGAGACAAATGTCAGAGATTGGAGAAAGCAGAAAGTTGTTCTAAAAGATATGAACAAAACAAAGAAAGCGCGGCGAGGGAGACAAGCCCGGTACCCAGAGTTGGAGAAGGAGCTTTATGATTGGATAGTTGATCAAAGATCTAGTGGGTACATCGTCACTTCGCTCCATATTAGACTCCGTGCACAAAAGATTTGCAAAGATTCAACCTTTAAAGCATCTAATGGTTGGGCACAAAAGTTTATGAGAAGGCATGGACTTGCACTACGCCAGAAAACAAAAATTGCACAAAAGTTGCCTTAAGATTTAGAAGAAACCCAAACAGAAATCGAACAGTTGTTTGGTGAATCAGAGACTGAATCCGATTTTGAAGAGTTTTTTACCAATTTTCATTCAAAATTTAAAGGTGCGCGTTATACACGAGTGCGCGTTATAATTGAATAAATACGGTATACTTAATTAATGTCATGCAAATGTATGGCCTGCAATTATAGAAAAACAAGCAAAATTTGAGGTGAATTATGAAAAAATTTTGATATTAAAATCTGTATTTTTGGTAGGATATAGGATTTTCATATTTTTCCCAAAGGGAAAGCCGACAAAGCAAAGCAAGCAGCAATTTTCTATTCCAATTTAAACCCTAAACAATATAAAAATATTTTTTGTACCTGTGTATGATTGAGCAGCAGTGGATGATGTTGTCGACCAAACATGTTTGCCGATATGGCGGCAGCAGCAGAAGGTGACATCTGGTAAACAAAGAAATGAATCAGAAACATCAGCATTGCGGGAGGTAATTATCATCATACATTCAAAATAAAATGCAAACAAACGAATGGTAATTAGGATTTAATGAAGTCGTGGAGTCATAAATATGGCCTATGTCATGTACACTGACAATAAAAACGACTAGGTCAGAATATTCAAATTTATCAAACAGTTCATGGTCACCTATTTGATAATTAAAATGCCAAGAGAGCTGTCAATAATTATAGAGCAGAAATTAAAATGAGTGAAATAAAAAACGCTCCTTCTCTGGGAATTGTAACAGTTTTGTAAACCACTACAGTAGTTCCCAAAAGATATATCATGACATGACACACTAATGTGTTGTAAATAATAAATCCATTTAAAAAGTACTTTTTTAAAACTCAACCATATAATAAAACACAGCAATTTTTATCTAGGTAAAACCTTGTTTTGATAATCTGAATTTTGATGTGTTTATTATAAGTTTATCATTTGTTTAGCAACATCAGAGATAAGTTAAATCTGATGAACTACACACACATTTTCAAAAAACATTCCGTGTAATTAATTCTAACCAATTCGCAACACTGAGTAGGATTGACTTTAATCATATCCAAATTCTCATAATATGAACACTTTTGAAATATTCAATCTTTGAAGTTCAGCCTTCAATATGCCTGTTTGTAATGATAGATAATGTATACAGACTATTGTCGGAGATTGCCAAAATAGTACTACAATCCATATAAAGCTATTTTAAATATTATAAAAACAATAATTTCAGAAAAGAAATTTATAGACATGTGGACATTTTACAAATATTCTTTCAGTATTGATTCAGTCCTACACTTGTATTTTATTGTTTTTTCAGGCCCAGAAGTGCTCAAAATTTGAAAATACTATACAGCCTATTACATGTTAAAAAATTATATTGCCAACTTACAATATAAGCTAATTCAAGATTTTAACTTTTGCGCATACATGAACTATTGTAACATGAATAGTTTCCACCAGACAATGTATGGAAAGTCCCGGACTAACATTTATACAAATCACTTCAAAGAATAATTCGGACTGCAGAATAAAACATTAAGAGCACTTTATGTGTGTTGTAATGAGTAAGAAGATAAGCATCACGGCCTATTTTACCATAAAATTCATGTCAAAAGGTTTTCTTTAAGAGACAATAAATATTTCTAAACTTCCATCAAAGGCTAACAATATACTTAAATAGCTTAGTTAGGTAGTAAACTCCAAAAAAATATTTTTTTAAATATTCAAATAGCATAGAGCAATATTAAACCAAACCAAATCATTTTAAACCAAAAAATTCTAGTTTATTAACCAATGAATTTTTTTTCATTGCAATATATAAGAAATTATTGAAACAAAAACATTTTATTTTGTAACACCTTTGAGTACATATCCACAATACTTTCAGAATCAGAGATGAACTGAATAAAAATTACAGATCATTTGAATATTAAATACCCTTGAACTATATGTACATTGATAAAAACATTCAGAAATATGACATAAGAAGCATCTTTCAAATATTGGTGTTTAGAACCTGGAATAGAATTCATTATTAAATAAATCGGAAGTACATACTTGATGGTTGGGAGGCAAGGGAGGTGTCAGTCCTATGGGAGCAGCCAGTTCACGGAAATTAAATTGATATGTAAATCTCTTCCCTTTAGTTTTGTACAGAATTCTCTTGTTGTAATAATACCTGAAATGAAATACAAATCCGAATAGAAGAAAATCAATATATATTTGTTATGAAATACTGCTTATAGATATGTCATTACAACCCACATTGAACATAAATTGTAAATGTTCATCCCTAAAATCTCAATATTCTAGAAATCCTCGTCAATATTCAAAATTAGACTTTGTCCCATATTACAATTTCACAACCATTTAGCAAGTCAATATCTATTAGTAACTAGGATAGATCAAATAATGATCTTATCAATATTTTAACCAGTTTGGTGATACAAATTAAGTATAAAAATCTCTTAGGTGCTTATTAAATCCTCATACACCTGAGACAGCTAGAAAGCACTGTTCAACTTCATCTGATTAAAAACTATAAAAAAAAGTTCAAATTTGGCATATATCATGATTGTTCTGAGCGAAAAATTTAAGGGATACTCTTGAAATCTGCCTTCCTTTAGATAGACAAAAATAGTTTGTATTCAAAATAATTTGAAATTAGTAGTTTTATTCTAAAAACAACAATGAGTTGAACATTGGCATATAACCTATAAAGATATATGGAGATAATAAATCAAAAGTAAACATTAAACTCTCAAATGCAATCTTCTTATCAAAGTTTTAAGAGAAAAGCACACAGTGGAATGTTAATTGTGACTTTCTCTTATGTCTAGGGGAGGGCATACAAAGAGTAATTGCGAAATGAGAATCAAAAGAAAAAAACTAAACTACTACCTTCATCAAATGGCTAAATTATAATAATAATTTGGATAATCAAAATTACTATTTTGAGGATGTGAATTCGCTTATATAAGATGTGTTTAATAACAGTTTATCACATTTTATAATCCAATTAATAGTAGATTCTTTATGAAGCTCTATATATATATGTTTGGTAAAAAAAATAAGGATCTATTTGAGCAATGCGCTGAGTTTTGAATTGTTAAATGATGATTCCACCAAATAAAAAATAAATTTCGTTTATCAATAACATATGAATAAGAAACAAATTATACAAAGCCTTGGCCAACGTGAATATAAGAAATGGTATCGGCATATCATGTTTTATGCCACACAATGACAGATGCCAATAGTAATTAAATGTGTTTTCTATACAAGCTGCCAGAGAAACGCCCTGAACATTAACAACGCATGCATTATTCTATGTATGTTAATTGGAAGACTGAAAATGGCCAATTTCTGAGAGAGAATATGATTTCCTAATCAATTTCTTTCTACTAATCCCAGACTAAAATAACAACAAGATACGAAAGCATTATTTATGTCATAGATTAGGCAAATTATCCACCTATATATATAAGTCAGTGATACTAATACGCTTCCATGAATATATCTGAACCGCTCATGCTACTGCTTGTGAAAATGACCATATATGACCCATTATGAAGATTAAATCAGAAATTGTGAAAAGATTGGTCCACTAAGGACTAGAAAAGTTTATTAAAATACATTCTGAAACATGGGCTGTAAGAATGTAATATATTTTGAAACAAGCATTTTTAAAAATCAGGTTATTCCCATTCAAAACATTGACAATGATATGCGCAACAACATGGGCCATTGACTTTTATTTTTTACACAGAATAATGTAGTAGTAATGTAGAAGCATGCCGCTAGTTTCAATATCAATTGTGTGATATTGACTGGCAGTTGGTATGATTTTGGGGTAGATATGATTTTGGAGTATAACTATTTGGGGTACGACTTTAGCTACAAAACAATAATAATTTAATACATTATATAAAAACAAAAAAAAAATCAAACACAATTCAGATTTACTTGTCTGGTCCGTCTTCTTAGACTAGACTAATGTGTGGATCAATCCAATCATGACTCTTACTAATAAAAGCGAATATAATACATATATCTCAAGGAATCAAATCTCACCTCAATGCTCTACTCAGTTTATCATAATTCATATGTGGTTTGCATTTTCGTATTCCCCACAATTTTGCAACCTCGTCTGGGTCTTTAATAACGAATTCACCATATTCTCCTTGCCATGCAATCACATCCTGAAGTTTATTAAAAAAAATTATTAACAATAGTTCATAACGTTAAGTGAAAGAAGAGAAGCAATGGCTTAGAACAAATATCTCATCCAGATAAAACAGTTTTATTTGAATTTGAATGAAATAAATATATTTTTCTTCACATTTCAGTTTGAATACTAATATTTACAAATGCTTGTTCCTGTTCAATTTAAATTACAGTTTACTATCCACCACGCAAAAATTAGGATTTAGGTTGAAGCAAGGTCTTTAAGGTGACTTTACGTTGTACAACTAAAGTTATTTTAATCTTGAAGAGCCAAGTCGAGCTAAGATAAAACATATAACTTCAGAGTTTTTACCTGATATTGTTCATCTTGCAATAATTCTAGAATAAAATGCCATAATTGAACTTGTCTGCTTCCGGGTGCTGACTCTGGTTTGTATGCCCAATCAGGCATGTTTGGCCCTCCTAGAAAAAAAAGAACGATATAAGTGGATCGAAGTCTACTAATGACCTGTTCCGCTTTTAAATCATTCTTGTTGATAAAAAGAATAGATATACTAAAGGTTAAAACAAGAAATTTTACTGTAGTTGGGGTATAAGTATCGTTAGGAACTACGGTATATACTAAAAGAACATAAAACAGGATTATCAAAAACTCATTTGATAGACAAAGAGTACCAAATATGAAGTATGGAAAAATTTGTAGTCGAATGCCATACAAAAATTTATCAATGATACAAAATTTAATAATATGTTGCAAAAAATCATGGAATATATTATGTGGACAGAAAACCTGAAGTATTACACATTGAAAAAATCTCCAAAAAAGTCAATTTTATTTTGACATACACCACCAATCAGCAATTAGACTCCAAGCATATTCTATGATTCAGATATTTCAAACTCTAAATTCTTTTTGGTGAATTCATTCATATTATTAATTCTTTAATAGCCTATACTTATTGATTCAATGATTCGGCAATAATCTGCCATTTATTATTTGCATTTTAAATATAATTCAAATATTCAAACAAGGACTTGAAATGAAGTAAAGTAAATAAATTTCATGAAATAATGAATTTTTAATTTATAGGTTACTTTTATTAGTTTTACCTAATGTATACACTGATACATGAACGAGCCATATATTATAATAAAAAAGAATACCTCGCCATCCAGTTGGAGGTCGTTGCATCATCCTAGCAGCAAATATATTATAGAAAGCTTTGATATATAGATTATGTCACCATAAATTTATTCCAAAATTCCATCATGCAAGCATATTGTTTCTCAGACTGTATTATTATAATCTAATTGTCAGTCTAAATAAATAGGCTTTGAAGAATGGGTTGTAAGCTTTTAATTTCCAAATCATTCCTTTGCAAAATTATATCTACCAAGTTGTGGCATCGGTAGTCGAGTCTATACGAAATGAGAGTGTAACAAAATGAGTGAGATAGGACAAATGCACATCACAATGGCAATAGCTGGCTGTCCATAGCTTCAATTAAATGGTGGCAACGATGTGATGTGAAAATTAATGCAATACTTCTTAACGAGAATATCGGTCGGAGGCCGAAGTCTTATCAATCGAAACTGCGGTTTTGATTTATGACTTTATAGTGACACCGCGTGTCCCATCACTAATTAATTAATAACTCACTAATTATACGACATAATTCATCCAAAATCAATAGGCTTCTGGTCCGAGATATGATGAATGCACATGCAAATTTGGAGCAGATTCGACCACGCCTTCGTGAGATATCGCGTGCATCTAACAGACAAATACCTATCAACATACTTACCGATCTAAAGATCGAAAAGTAATAACCCAAACAGAAATGTGATGTGAAATTTTTATGATTTTAAAAAAAAGCTGTCTGGCGCGGAATGAAATTCTTGACAGACACGTTTGGTGAAAAACAAACTCACTCAACCTTCAATTAATCTGGTATGTCCCAATGCCAAATAGAGTAGCCTACCTATAGCATTACGAGCAAGACTGCCTTTTATTTGAAAAAAAAATAGAATTTGGACAGTATTTTCACATCGCATTTTTGTTGGCGTTATTTGAAGCTCTTAAAACGTGTACTTCTTTAGACCTGTTATTGAGACTAATAAATTAAAATACACATACAGACATAATACAGTAATATGATGGAGATAGTGAATGATCCTGGATAATCTTAATTTTCCATCCCTATGACCTATCAGTAAAATAGTAAATTTCTGTCAAAGAAACCCAAAGAAATGAAATAGCCTATATTTCAACCTCTTTTAAATTTGATTTCCATTTTCTATGAAATTTACTAGGCACAGTACTGCAGTACCTATATTTAACTGCATTTCCTACAATTGTACAATTTGTAGCAATACCCGATATATACCAGTATACAGAAATATGATATGCTCAATTTACACAACCAGACAACTCCCATACTCAGATACTCATAAACCAGTAAACTGTTTTCGCCTTATACAGTTACAGAGTTAACTTAGACTATGTGACTATGGGAGCAGATTCTGAGATTGACAACCTGAAAATATGGAATAATATTCCTGATACTGTAATGTCACCTTGGTCATCTATTTCCACTTTTTTGTTGTCAGACAGCAGGACAGCCAGGATTCATGGATTCAGTTGTGTTTAAATCGTGGAATGCCGATACAGGGGTATCCGCAAGGTAGTCTACAGAATCCACACTTTTCCATTCTAACATTCGTGTCTAGCCCAATACCGGTAATCATAAACTGAAATACCCTTTGTTGTCATTAGTTCCTCCATACAGCCATACAAAGCCAACATCTTATCTTATCTACCACAGTATCAGTAACTGAGAAAGCCAGAAGCCTACAGACAGACAGGCCATGACAATAGTGTACTGACTGCAAGACAGGACCAGCGCAGCTTGGCAGCTGGGGGAGAATCCACATTTTTCCTTTCTGACATTCGGGTCTAGCACGATAATCAATTTTATGCCCGTCGCAAACTGAAATACCCTATGTTGTCATTAGTTGGCCCCATACCGGTACAAAGCTAACAATGATTGATAATTTGTCAACTACGGTAGAGAATTAACAGGCAACCCACAAATCCTATAGATTACCAAAGACTCGAGTTTATGGCGTAAAGCACGAGACGGCCCCACACACAGACACATCTCACAGTCAGTACGCGACACACAATGCTCGAATTGCGAACGCTTTGCACTCGGTTTCCTTTTGATCAAAACATCAGCGATTTCCTTTTCTCCGTGTAAAAGTACAATCAAAATGCTCGGAAAAAGGCACGGCGCAGTTCAAGATTAGAGTAGTAAAAAACGAGTTTGGACCAGTAACAGGATATTGTGCTATTCTATAATCATAGGGGAGTATAAGGCATAAGCTCGTATTATATACGCCTGATAACTCGCGAGAATCTCGATCATAAAACGGAAATACCATTACGTTCATAAATAGTAACTGAAATACCGATACACCAAAATTCAGAAATTAAAAACTTATCAGTGAATTGTGCATCAGACGGTATTTTCTTTCTCAATACCAAACTATAAATAAATCAAACTTAATAATGAACTGAATCACTGCGACCCCCTATAAAACTTTGCCCACCAAAACTATCCAGTAACTTTCAAAAATGCCTTGCTGCCGTCTAACATCAGCTCTTTTGAAAAGTCAACACTTAGAATGAACGAAGTTGATAGTTAGTGTTTTAAGGCAAACATTTTTCCAGGCGTTTCTTATTCTATCCTGGCTGTGTGAAGTGGGGCACATGCGCTGATTTGCTTAACAAGCCGGTCAAACCAGGGGCGTAGCCATGGGGTTGGGTAGTTGAAATCATTTTTTCTATATCACTCATAGCAATTCGGACTCGCTATTTGTTTCGGTCTAACTAGGCAATTAAAAATTTCCAAACTCGCCCATTCAAAATTTCTGACTACGACTCTATGTCGAACTGAAGATCTCTCCTCTATGCGGCGAATAACTGCAATTGAACCACATAGGCTTACTTGGGTAACCTATGTCTTACAAACCAAACAAAGACGGGCGCTTCATGAACAAACGAGATGACTTTTTTTCCGAAATAATTCCTTCATATTAGTAAAAAGTGCCATAGATATACAGCGTTATCGTTTTATCAATGAAATGAGCACACAATAAATATAAAACATTAATAAAATGCGAACAACCGTGAGGACCACGTTGGGTAGCAAAATATTAGCTGTTTCCATAATTCCCCAATTGATTGTTCACATTAGTATTCTATGCAATTGGAAATCGCAATGTGACAAGACATAAATACAGTTATAACGGAAATCGGATTAACATTTTCATCGCCGAAGGCTAATTTGTCGCCTTATACGGAGTTCATTTTAGTTTCGACTATTTTCGCCTAAACACACTTCAAAATTAAGGGAAAAGCTTTATCCCTACACAAGGGTATAGTTTTTCTGTGGCAAAAACTGATCAGCGAACAATGGAACTTCAGTAACCCGATATTGCGTTTCAATTCAAGCACCTGACGTCTGATTTCTCGAGCATGCAAAATCGCGTGATGCACGATCTACCGCGATAGATGTTTGTCATTAGCTAAAGCTTTCGTTTATCAAATAATAAACTAAAAGTAAGCATGAGAAAATACGACGATTAGAGTTAGACCATGATTGGTAATTATAATGCTCGAAATCCCATCCTATTCGTACATGTGCTACCACAACACTCCAGGGCTCTTTGTTGCGCTTCGTTACATGATAATCTATTCACTCGTGCCTCTTCATCAGTCAGAACCACATATATATCGGAAATCATTGTAGACCAAGAGAAAATATTATTGTGTCTGCCTGGCTCTAACGTCAGGAATAATTTATGAAACTTGTCGTTGTTATTCTTTTTTTACACATTAACAACTCATAGGACGCCATTGATTTGAGTTTCTTCGCACCTCCGCTACTTGGTTGAATAATATCAAAGTATCCCGGAATGGATCACATGCTCTAATCACAATAGCGATTCCGACCTACACCTTAGTTTTGCAACGTTAAAAATGCCACGTATATACATGACGATGGAATTTGTTTTAAATATAAATATTTGATTTTCAACTGATCGTCGTGGTTTTTGAAAACTCACCACAAGAATATATAATCACAAAAAATATTGACAAAATTTCTTGGCATAGAAAGAAACAAAACTTATTCAGTTTTAATCATTTAATGAGCATCTGTGATAATATTTGAATCGAATTGTCATATTTAAGATGTAGTACTCTCAACCTCTTGAATACCTGGCGGATCGTGGTCAATAAGTCGAAATAAGAACACAAACCGATGCTTCATAGCGGAAAACTAACAATTAAATTACCGAAAATATTTAACCTCGCGTATCGCTGAAGTTTTTTTAGAGATAAGCAAGGCATATCTTTCATATGTAAGTCTTCTACAAGCGGGATCACAAAAGAAATCGTCAGTACTGTTTGCGTCCTACATATGTAGTAGGATATTTTCCGACTACAACTGCTTGAAATATCGGTGATATTGCATGTTCGCCCTATAGAAAAAAAAGTCAATAAAATGATGGCATTAGTGTAGTGGATAGTTCTAACAAAATTTGTAATCCTCCAGTAGATAAATTGAATATGTCATGTCACCAAATGTCTGGTAAAAAAATTTAGGTGCATATAAAAATATCAAAGAAGGAGGCTACTAGGAGGCCATTGTTATCTGACAATGAGCCAATTTCGGTTGTGCGCAGCACTCCCCATTATGAAATGAAAACTTTTCATCTCTCGTTATTAGTAATGATGGTGCTCATATTGCATCAATGAAAATGAATTAAATTCATTGAAGTCGCATTATAATTTTATACATCATGAAAACTAACCACAGTTGCTGTATTTGGGACGGATTCTTAATAACTATGTATACGTACAATAACTGCTTTTCAATCAAGCACGGAAGGTCGCAAAAGATCATATCATATTATTTTTTTTTTGTTATAAAAAGACTATAACATTGTCTATTCTCTATCTAACATCCTTTTATAATTCGGTGCTATGCTACATAAAAATAAGAACAATTCACACTTGCTTACAGAAATTAAATTCGCTAAAATATGGAACGAAAATTCTATATACATTCTGACTCAACTGTAAAAATATATGAAAAAATTCGCTTTAATTTTGCCCTAAACAACTCTCAAATTACGCCCGAGGCTTCATACAACCGTATATTATACGCACCTAAAACCACTAACGACATGAGAAAAAAGCTAAAAACTTATCTCGGTTGGCCAACGCTTAATTGCACGCTACCTAACAATTAGTAGAATTCGGTGAAATTGGAAGCAGCCAACA